CTCTTCTTCTTTTCTTTCTTCTTTTTCTTTCTTCTTCTCTTCTTCTTCTTTCTTTCTCTTTTCTTTTCTTTCTCTCTTTCTCTTCTTTCTTTCTTCTTTTCTTTTCTTCTTTTCTTTTCTCTTTCTTTTTCTTCTTCTTTCCTTCTCTTTCTTCTTCTTTTCTTTCTTCTCCTTTCTTCTTTCCTTCTCTTCTTCTTTTCTTTCTTCTCTTTCTTCTTTTCTTTCTTCTTCTTTTCCTTCTTTTTTCTTCTTTCTTTTTCTCTCTCTCTTCTTTCTTTCTTCTCTCTTTTTCTTCTTTCTTCTTTTTCCTCTTCTCTTTTCTTCTTCTTCTTTCCTTTCTTTCTTCTTTCTTTCTTTTCTTTTCTCCTTTCTTCTTTCCTTTCTTTCTTCTTCTTTCTTTTTTTCTCTTTCTTTTCTTTCTTCTCTTTCTTTTCTTCTTCTTTTCTCCTCTTCTTTCTTCTCTCTTTCTTCTTCTCTTCTTTTCTTTTCTCTTTTCTTCTTCTTTTCTTCTTCTTTCTTTTCTCTTTTCTCTTTCTTCTTTTCTTTTTCTTTCTTTTTCTCCTTCTCTTTTTCTTCTCTTTTTTTCTTCTCTCTTCCTTCTCTCTTCTTTTTTCTTCTCTCTTTCTTTTTCTCTCTTTTCCTTCTTCTTTCTTTCTTTCTTCTTTTTTTTCTTTCTTCTTCTTTCTTCCTTTCTCCTTCTCTTTCTTTTCCTTTCTTTTCTTTCTTTCTCTTTCTTCTCTTTTTTCTTTCTTTTTTCTTTCTTTTTCTTTTTTCTTCTCTTTTCTTTTTCTCCTTCTTTCTTTCTTTCCCCTTCTTCTTTTTCTTTTCCTTCTTCTTCTTTTCTTTTCTTTTTCTTTTCCTTCCTCTTCTTCTTTTCTTTTCTTCCTTCTCTCTTCTCCCTTTCTTCTTTTTTCCTTTCTTTCTCTTCTTTTTTCTTTCCTTCTTTTTTCTCTTTTCTTTCTTTTCTTCTTTCTCTTTCTTTTTCTCTTTTCTTCTTTTTTCTTTCTTTCTTCTCTTCCTTCTTTCTTTTCTCTCTTTTTTTCTCTCTTCTTCTTCTTTCTCTTCTCCTCTCTCTTTCTCTTTTTTTTTCTCTTTTCTTCTTTTCTTTCTTTTCTTCTTCTTTTCTCTTCTTTTTTTCTTTCTTCTTTTTCTCTTTTTCCTTTCTTTTTTCTCTTCTTCTTTCTTCTTCTTTTTCTTCTTTTCCTTTTTCTTTCTTCTCTCTTTCTTCTTTTCTTTCTTCTCTTCTTTTTCTTCTCCTCTTCTTTTTCTTCTTCCTTTTTTCTCTTTTCTTTCTTTCTTCTTCTCTTTCTTTTCCTTCTTTTCTTCCTTTCTCTTTTCTCTCTTTTCTTTTCTTTCTTTCTTTCTTTTCTTTCTTTCTTTTCTCTTTTTTCCTCTTCTTCTTTTTTTCTTTTTCTTTCTCTTTTCTTTTTCCTTCTTCTTTTTCTTTCTTTCTTCTTCTCTTCTTTCTTTCTTTCTTCTTCTTCCTCTCTTTTCTTCTCTTTTCTTTTCTTTCTTCTTTCTTCTTTCTTTCTCTTTCTTTTTTCTTTTCTCTTTCTTTCTTTTTTCCTTTTTTTCTTCTCTTCTTTTCTCCTTCTTCTTTTCTTCTTCTTTCCTCTTTTCCTTCTTCTTTCTCTCTTTCCTTTTTTTCTTCTCTTCTTTTCTTTCTTTCTTTTCTTTCTCTTCTCCCTTCTTTCTTTCTTCCTTTTCTTTCTTTTTCCTTTCTTTCTTTTCCTTCTTTTCTTTCTTTTTTCTCTTTCTTTTCTCTTCTTCTTTTTTCTTTCTTTTCTCTTCTTCTTTCTTTTTCTTCTTCCTTCTTTCTTCTTCTTTCTTTTCTTCTTTTTTCTTTCTCTTCTTCTCTTTTTCTCTTTTTCTTTTTCTCTTTTCTTTTTTTTTCTCTCTTCCTTTCGCTCTTCTCTTTCTTCCTTTCTTCTTTTTTCTTCCTCCTTCTTCTTTCTCTTTTCTTTCTTTTCTTTTTCTTTTCTTCCTTCTCTTCTTCTTTCTCTTTCTTCTTCTTTCTTCTTTCTCCTTCTTTCTTTTCTTCTTTTTCTTCTTCTCTCCTTCTTCTCTTCTTCTTTCTTCTTCTTTCCTTTCTCTCTTTTTCCTTTCTCTTTTCTCTTTTCTTCCTTCTTCTTTTCCTTTCTTCTTCTTTCTTTTCTTCTTCTCTTCTCTTTCTTCTTTTTTCTTTCCTTTTTTTTCTTTCTTTCTTCTTTTCTTTCTTTTCTCTCTTCTCCCTCTCGTCTCCTTCTTTTTCTTCTTTCTTTCCCTTTTTTCTTCCCTCCTTTTGCTTCTTTTTCTTCTCTTCTTTCTTCTTCCTTTCTTCTTTCTTCCTCCCTTCCTCTCTTTTCCCTTTCTTTTTTCCTTTCCTTTCTTCTTCTTTTCTTTTTTCTTTTCCCCTTTTTTTCTTTTCTCTTTCTTCCCTTTCTTCTTTTTCTTCCCTTTTCTCCTTTTTTTTCTCTCCTTTTCCTTTTTTTCTTTTCCTTTTCTTTTCTCTTTCTTCTCCTCTTTCTCTTTCTTTTCTTCTCTCTTTTTCTCCCTTTCTCCCTCTTCTCTTCTCTCTCTCCTTTTCTTCTCCCTTCTTTCTCTTCCTTTTTTCTTCTTCTTTTTCCTTTCTTTCTCTTTCCTTTTTTTTTCCCTTTCCTTCTTTTCCCTTTCTTCCTCTTTCTTTTTTTCTCTTTTTTCTCTCTTTTTCCCTCCCTCTTTTTTTTCTTTCTTTCTTTCTGTCTTCTCTTCCCTTTCCTCTCCCTCTTTTTCTTCTCTTCATTTCTCTTTCCTTTTTCCCTCTTTTTTTTCCTTCCCCTTTCCTTTTTCTTTTCTCCCTCTTTCTTCTCCTCTTTTCTTTCTTTTCTTGTTTTTTCCTTTTTCCTCTTCTTTTTTCTTCTTTTTTCCCTCTTTCTTCTTCGTTTTTTTTCTTCTCTTCTTTTCTCTTTTCCCTTCTCTCCCTTTTTCCTTTTTTCTTTTCTCCTTTTCTCCACACCTTCTCCTCTGTTTTTTTCTCTTTTCCTTTTTCTTCTTTTCTTTTCTTATTTTTTTTTTTTTCCCCCCCTCCTCCTTGTGTTTGTGTTTTTTCTCTTCGTTCTTTCTTCTTCTCCCTTTCCTTTTTTCCCTTTTCTTCTTTCTTTCTCCTCTTTTCCTCATTCCTTCCATTCATTCCATTCCTTCTTCTTCTTGTTCTTTTTTTCTCCCTTCCTTTTTTCTTTCTTCCTTTCTCTTCAACATTTCTTTTTCAACATTTCTTTTTTCTTCTTTTCCCTTCTATTTTTCCCCTTTTTCTTCCCTTTTTCTTTCTCTTCTTCTCGTTTTTTTTTCTTCTTCCTTTCTTTCTGTCTTTCTTCTTTCTCCTATTTTTCTCTTTTCTTTTCTTTCTTCTCTACTTGCTTCTGCTTTTTTTCTTCTTTTTTCTTCTTTTTTCTTCTTTTCTTCTTTTCTTCTGCTTTTTTCTATTTTCTTTTTCTTCCTTTTTTCCGTCCGTTTGTCTCTCTCTATCTAATTTTTTTTTCTCTCTTCCTCTCTTCTTTTTCTGTTTCTTCTTCTTTTACTCTTCTTTTTCTTTCTCCTCTTTTCTTTTCTTCTTTTTTCTTCTCCTTCTCTTTCTCTCCTCTTCTCTCCTTTTTCTCTCTCTCTTCTCCTCTCTTCTTTCCCTTTCTTCTCTCTTTTTCTTCTTTCTTCTTTTCTTCTTGTCTCTTTCTCTTTCCTTCTCTTCTTTTCTTTTTTTCTTTCTCTTGCTTCTTCTTCTTTTCTCTTCCTTCTTCTTTTTTTTCTCTCTTCTTTTCTTCTTTCTCCTCTTCTTCCTCTTTCTTTTCTTTTCTCTTTTTCTTTTCTTCTGCTTTTTCTTTTTCTTCTTTTGCTTTTTTCCTTTTCTCCCTTTTCTTCTCCTTTCTTGCTTTCTTTTCTTCCCTTTCCTCTTCTTTTCTTTCTCCTCTTGTTCTTCCTTTTTCTTTCTCCTTTCTTTCTCCTTTCTTTCTTTCTCCTCTTTCTTCTCTCTTCCTTCTTCTCTTCTCCTTCTCCTCTTTCCTTTCTCTTTCTCTCTTCTTTTCTTTTCTCTTTCTTTCCTTTCTTTCTTCTTTTCCTTTCCTCTTCTTTCCCTCCTCCCTTCTTTCTTCTCTTTTCTCCCTCCTTTTTCTTTCTTCTTTCTTCTTTCTTTTTTTCTCTTCTCCTTTTTCCCTTTTTCCCCTGTTCTTCTTTTTTCCTTTTTTCTTTCCTTTTTTTTCCTTTCCTCCTCTCTTTTTCTTTCTCTTTCTCTCCTTCCCTCTCTCTCTCTTTTCCTCTTCTTTCTCTTTCTTTTCTTCTTCTCACTCTCCTCTCTCTTCTCCTCTCCTTCCCTTCTTTCTTTCTTCTCTTGTCTTTTTCCTCTTTTCTTTTTTCTTCTTTCTTCCTTTCCTCTTTTTCTCTCCTTTCCTTCTCTTCTTTTCTCTCTTTTTCTCCCTCTCTTTTCTCTTCTTCTCTCCTTTTTTCTTTCTCTTTCTTTCTTCTCTTTCTTTTTTCCTTCTTTTTTTCTTTTTCTCCTCTTTTTTTCCCTTCTTCCTTTTTTTTCTTTTTCTTTTTCTCTCTCTCTCCTTTTCTTTTCTTTTTTCTTTTTCTTGTTTTTTCTTTTTTTTTTCTTTTTTTTTTTTTTTTTTTTTTTTTCTTCCTTTTCCTCTTTCCTTTTTTTTTTTCTTTCTCTTTTCTTTTTTCTTTTTTCTTTCTTTCTTTTTTTTTTTCTTTTTCTTTCTTCTTTTCTTTTCTTCTTGTTTACTTTCACATGCTTCTTTTCTCCTTCTTTTGCTTCTTTCTTCTTTTTTCGTTTTTTTTTTTTTTTCCTCTTCTTCTTTTCCCTTTTTTTTTTCTCTCTTCTTTCTTCCTCTTTTTTTTTTCCTTCTCTTTTCCCTTTCTTTTTTACTTATACCTTTTACTATCTTCTTGTTTCTTTATTTTCTTTTTTTTTTCTTCTTTTTCTTTTCCCTTTTTGCATTATGAGTTCCTTGCCTGACAATAACATTCACATTTGATTGTTATTTAAGTAGGCAGTTCACACCAAAGCATTTACATACATGGATGGTCAGAAGGAATTTGTGCAGATTGACCATGATGATCTATATCCCTATATGCTTGTTAATATTGGTTCTGGTGTCAGTATGATCAAGGTATTCTCATAGTAAAAATCAAATACTTTAGTTACTGAATTAGCTTCATATATTTAACTTTTAAAGGCTTGACAATGTCGTCTGTGTTGTGCTATATAGGTAGATGGACCTGGTAAGTTTGAGCAAGAGGAACCAATGTTGGTGGCGACACCTTTTGGGGTTTGCAACATGCCAATTTTGGCTTTTGGGTGGTTATGGGTCTAATATATGACTTTTGTAAATTTCGACAAGCTGGTAAGTTGATTTGTAGTATACAATTTGTTATTTGTAAGTCGTATGAGCAGTTGTTAACTTCCAGTAAGTGGTATGAACAACTGTTATACTGTTCATACTCTGAAACTGAGTTGATTTATATAACATAGTATTAACAATGTACTTCTATGACATAGTATTAACAGATTTTCAGTAACAAAGCACGCTCTATATTTTGCTCTATATATGGCTGTGCACTTGAAGTTTATGATATGCAAAATGTGATTTTTACTAGGAAAATAGTTCTATGACATAGTATTAACAATGTACTTCTGTGACATAGTATTAACAGTGTTTTTTTTTTTTTTTTTAAGTGTATTTCCTTTGCCTTTGCGATTGTATCTGGTGAAACTATGGACAATTGGAGGTGGCAGCAAAGGATATCAAATCTCTTGTTAGGGTTTTTTGGATTTTTTGTATGAAATGATATGTACAATGTTTTTCTATGAAATTGTATTAAGAATGTTTTTCTATGAAATTGTATTAACAATATACTTCTATAGCATAGTATTAACAATATACTTCTATAGCGTGGGTATTAACAATGCACTTTTATGACATGGTATTAACAATATACTTCTATGATATGGTTTGCGGAGGTTTGATGGAGAATGAAGGGTCGTGGGGACAGACCCTTGGTTTTCGTGATTTTTTTATTTATTTTATTTTAAGTTTGGGTTTTTTTAAAAGAATCTAATATGGGCTCGCTGGGCTTGTTTTGGGTTCTTTTGGGAATTTTGTGTTGGGCTTGTTTTAAGTTAATCAATGGCAGAGATGTAATTTATAGAAATTTCAATACTAATTTTATATGTAGTAAATGGTTTTTGGGTGTGTTTCTAAAGTGCATTCTATGTAGGGTTTTTTTATAATTACAGTCCCTATTTTGGGTATATTACTAAAGCTCCCAATTATTTAACTGGTTCGTTACTAAATGAAGTGGGTGATTTGGTAAAACTTGTGGAGCTGGATGTATCAGGAAATAAGTTATCAGGTGAAATTCCAACAACTCTTGGCAGTTGTATTATGTTGATGCGCCTGTATTTGGAAGGTAATGAATTTGAAGGAACAATTCCTCAATCTCTTAAAAGCTTAAGAAGTTTGGAAGAAATATATTCACGCAACAACTTATCTGGGCAGATTCCTAAATTTCTAGAAAATTTTACGTTTCTTAACCATCTCAATCTTTCTTATAATGATTTTGAGGGTGAATTGCCTAAAGAAGGGATCTTTTCAAATGCAAGTGGTCTCTCAGTTATTGGAAACAATAGGCTCTGCGGTGGCCTCCCCAGAATTACTTCTGCATGCATGCTCCATCAAAAAGTCCCATTCATCTCAACGACTACTTGCCCCGAAGGTAATCATTCCTGTAGCTTGTGCACTTGCGTTCATAATCGCTTTGTCATGCTTCCTCATTGCTCGTTCAAAGGTGAAAAAGTCAAGAGGTGGACCTGCAACTTCACATTCTTATAAGGGTTGGATATCAATCTCTTACTCAGAACTTGTTCAATCAACTGGCGGGTTCTCTGTGGACAACCTGATTGGTTCGGGAAGTTTTGGTTCTGTATACAAAGGAGTACTTCCTACCGATGGGAGGGTAGTTGCTGTTAAGGTATTAAACCTTCAACAACAAGGAGCTTCCAAGAGTTTTCATTGATGAATGCAAAGTTTTAAGAAGCATACGACACCGTAATCTTCTCAAGATCATAAGTGCATGCTCGAGCATTGATAATCAGGGTAATGACTTCAAGAGTCTAATTTTCGAGTTCATGGCAAATGGAAGTCTAGACTCATGGTTGCATCCAAGAGATGATGATGAATCTCAAAGTAAGAGATTGAGCCTTATCCAAAGGCTCAATATTGCAATTGATGTTGCTTCTGCATTAGATTATCTCCACCAACATTGTGAAACAACCATTGTTCATTGTGATCTAAAGCCAAGCAATGTTCTTCTTGGTGATGATATGGTAGCCCATGTTGGTGACTTTGGTTTAGCAAGGTTCCTCTTGAAGCATCAGATAGTTCCCTCCCAAAGTCAAACCATTTCTGCTGGGCTAAGGGGTTCCATCGGTTACATTCCTCCGGGTATGAGTTTCTACCATTCTCTTCCAAATAAGTTTAATCGCCTTTCTTTTTTTCTTCCTATAAAACTCAAAAATGAGATCTAAGATCTAAAGATTATTTGACTGTGACATTCTAATGCATGTAATGAATGACAGAGTATGGCATGGGAGGCCAAGTTTCCATCTTGGGAGATACTTATAGCTTTGGAATACTATTGCTAGAAATGTTCACAGGAAAAAGACCTACAGATGACATGTTCACAGAAGGTCTAAGCATTCACCAATTCGCAGCCATGGCAATGCCTGACCATGCCATTGATGTAATTGATCCTTCATTGCTCATTGTAAGAGATGATGCAGATGGTGATTATGAAATATACAACAATGACATACGAGCAAGGCCAGTTAGAAGTTATCATGATGGCAGCCCTGTCCTTGCAACAAGATTGGAGGAGTGTTTGGTTTCGGTAATGGAGATAGGACTCTCATGCTCTGCAATATTACCATCTGAGCGGATACAAATGGATGTTGTTGTGAACAAAATGAAGGCAGCTAGAGACTCATATCTCAATTGAGAAGAAGAAGGAGATTAAGAAGCTAGCAATATTCAAGACAGGGCTAAGTTTCTTATCTGATCTCAAATCTGTAGCCGCATCTATTTGCAAGAAACTATTCGAATAAGGATATTATATGTACCCATGTCTGCAGTGACGGACCCAGGATCCGAAACTCCGTAGGGTCATAGTGTAAATGTTTGAAAGAAATTTTAAAAATGGGTTATTTTTCTTATCTATTTTTTCTCTTCCAAATTTTATTCCTTTATTACAAAAATATACTTTGAATTATTTCAATTTGTCATTTTTTTATGTATGTTTTTGAGTGTTTCAATTCATAAAACAGGTTAAAAAGATTTTTTTTAAAAAACAGTGTTATAAACTAAATAGATTGAGATTGAGAAACTGAAAGATTGAGAGAATTGAAAGGGAGAGAAATCCTAGTTAGGGAGTTTTATTCGGATTGATCAATCATTACAATGAAGATGAGGCCTACCTTTATAGAAGGGAGGAAACGTGCTCATCAGGTATTGTACAGGGAAATGTGGGCTCCACATGCATGTATTTACAACAAACAGGTTAATATTGGAGAATGGAGGGATACGGAAGGGTTTTTAATTTTAAAAATTTTCCTGGGCCAAAACGACGTCGTTTTGCCCAGGTGTTTTAAAAAAAAAACAGAAGCGCGTTGTGCTGCTTCTTCTTCCTCTTGCGCACAGCTTCCTCCCTCTTCCTCTCAGGCAAAACATCAAACACTTGGAGGGCAATCCAAGGGGTCACACAGCCAGCTCAAGTGGACCTCCAAGCCTATTTCCATGGCTTCCATAGGGTCGTTTGACCCCAGTGACCCCACTGTGGGTCCGTCCCTGCATGTCTGTGACATTATGTAATGATGTTTTATTCTGTTTATGCATGGGCTTCTTCGTTTTGTTTGTTTATATGCTTTGCTGCTTATTTTGCTTTATTGCTTTTTGTGAATTCAGCATTTTATATACAGAGCATGGGAAGGATGTTTTATTCTGTTTATACCTTTCCTTTTTCTTCTTCTTCTTCTTTTTTTTCCCCATTGGTGGTGCCACTATGAAACCATGCTCCTAGGCTTGGGTATATTGTGAATGCTAAAAAGTAAGATGTATACAGAGACATTATTAAGGGAGCAAATTTCATGACCCTATTTTCATTTTACAAAGATAAACACAAATTTACCCAACAGTTATAATATAGCCGAACACCAAGTATCCTCATAAAGACTAACCGATAATTTAACCTCTCATAGGCTCATAGCTATAGCTTTTGTACATACGTTTATGATATGATTAATGAATATGTCTTTGACCTTACTTGCACGGTTATGGTCACATCAAATAATTCAATAATTTCCCCAGTAGCAGAATCCTTGTAGCTGATGAGTTTAGCGTGGAAACAGTATGAAGCTAGTGTAGGCAGAGAAAACTAGGAAGGACATTTTTTCTCTGGTGCGCGTCTCCATCAATTGTATAATTTGTTCAGCTGGTGGAGTGCTTGCTGAGATATCTTGTTCAAAATTCAACAACCTTAGGAGCGCCACTCACTCTCACATGTTGGAACCGCACCAACAAACAGTCCTTAACATAGAGAATTATAGCAGATCATCGTGTCATTTAATAAAAAATAAAAAAAAACTTAAGACTTTAAATTAAATGCCCTACCAACAAACGATTTTTTTGGCCTTATTCAGTTTTTTGGGTCTGAATACAATGTCCGGATTGCAGCAAATTCCGGATTGCAGCAATCCTATGAATTTTTACCAATTACTTATGATTCGCACATGCCACTTTGAAGGTTAGGTTTTCCTAATTTATATTCTACTTGGAACCTCCAACATAGACCGTATATCTAACATGCAACCCGTTCGGACGTTCGAATCAAATCTGAACATGAAAGACTCATTAAGTTTTGTGAAAACCCTTTGAAAAACCATGCAACCCTTAAGACGTGGTGTTCATCTTAAGTGAAATTACAATTATTAATCACAAGAAGCTAGCATCAATTTCAGGGAACCTTCCGACCAAAATTGCATCCAATTACTTTTCTAAAGATCCTAATGGTGATCAGGCATTAAGACAATTAGATAGTTTAAAACAGTGATTAACAATTCAAAGTAGGTATGCACTCAATCATAAGCAATTAAATAAAATCACATATTCATGCTAAGGTTCAAGGCTTCACCCTAGCAAAAGAGAATTAGTTACACATATTCATAATTGAAATCCAAGAAAATATCATTAAAAAGAATAAGAATGAAAACACCGCAATTGCTCTTCCCAATATCACATTCAAAGTTGGAAAAGAAGTCTCAAAATTGCTGTGAAAAGAAGCTTAAATATCTCCTAAAACCTAGCTGCCCAATCCCCACAAGGAAACTAAGTTAAACTAAAATAATACTATGAGATAAAATCCAAGTTGGATTAGGAGAATCTATTCACAATCTGATCAGCTACGTTTTGGCCTCAAATCTCCTCCAAACCTGGCCCAAGATAGCTCGTTTTAAAGATAAAAATATTCTGAACACTTCTCCAGAAGGTCACCCATCTGAGGTCATCTTGGGCTCCAAAAACGCACTAAAAGCTCAAAACGTCACTATTCCAGCACCGCTCACTGCTCCTTTATTTTATTGCCAGAAAATAACCGCTAATCTGAAATTTTGATAAGATCAAGCTAAGTGACTCACGAATGTCCTCCAACTGGAATTACTCCAAAATTCGTTCTTCTGATTATGTTTTGCTCCAGAAGAAGTTGAAAGTCTTATATTGGAAATATAATTCAAAGTATCAAAATTCTTCCAAAATATACTAAGAATGAGGTTAAATATATAATATAAAATATACCCATCAGTGGCCTCCCAAAATTACGTCTACATGCGTGCTCCATCAAAAAGTCCCATTCATCTCAACGACTACTTGCCCTTCATAATTGCTCTGTCATGCTTCTATGAAACTATGCTCCTAGGCTTGGGTTTATTGTGAATGCTAAAAGTAAGATGTATACAAAGACATTATTAAGGGAGCAAATTTCATGACCCTATTTTCATTTTACAAAGATAAACACAAATTTACCCAACAGTTATAATATAGCTGAACACCAAGTATCCTCACAAAGACTAACCGGTAATTAACCTCTATGAGTAGAGCTTTTTTACATACGTTGATGATATGATTAATGAATATGTCTTTGAACTTACGTTGCACGGTTACGGTCACATCAAATAATTCAATAATTTTCCCAAGGGCAGAATCCTTGTAGCTGATGACTTTAGCGTGGAAACAGAAAACTTGGAAGGACATTTTTTCTCTGGTGCGCGTCTCCATCAATTGTATAATTTGTTCAGCTAGTGGAGTGTTTGCTGAGATGTCTTGTTCAAAATTCAACAACCTTAACATAGAGAATTATAGCAGATCATTGTGTCATATAAAAGAAAAACTTAGACAATTAAATGCCCTACCAAAAACAATTTGTTTTGCCTTACGAGTTTTTTGGGTCTGAATACAATGTCCGGATTGCAGCAAATTCTGTATGGTATAAGTTCAATTTGTGTGAAATTCATGAGGCTTTGCTCCCCGACCCCACCAAAGAAAAAGGAGAAGTGAAAAACAGAGTAATAGCAGGCTATGCGGCTTTTCTCCTCTACCAAAAGTAGGTTTAAATTTCTTGAAACTGATTAGTATTGCCCTAGGTGATTGGTTGAAAACAAGAAACTCCAATTCTAATTAGTATTGCAGTAAGGCATTCTTTATTTTGGTCTTTCTTTTTTTTTTTTTTTTTCTTCTTCTTCCCGCATTTCTCTTTTACACAATACTCAAGGCCCTCTATTAGTGTTTGCAATCTTTTGAAAGATAGAACAATTCCTGAATCTCTTAAAAGTTTAAAAAGTTTGGAAGAAATAGATATTTCGCGCAACAACTTATCTGAACAGTCCTAAATTTTTAGAGAAGTTTACATTACTTACCCATCTCAATCTTCCCAATAATGATTTTGAGGGTGAATTGCCAACGGAAGGGATCTTTTCAAATGCGAGTGGTCTCTCAATTATTGGAAACAATAGGCTCTGTGGTGGCCTCCCAAAATTACGTCTACATGCATGCTCCATCAAAAAGTCCCATTCCTCTCAACGACTACTTGCCCTAAAGGTACGTAGTCATCCCTGTAGCGTGTGCATTTGCCTTCATAATTGCTCTGTCATGCTTCATTGTTGCTCGTTCAAAGTTGAGAAAGTCAAGAGGTGGACCTGTAGCTTCACATTCTTATGAGGGTTGGAAATCAATCTCTTGTAGCTGATGATGATTTTAGTGTGGAAACATAACCTAGGACCTATATCAAGCTATTGTAGGAAGAGAAAACTTGAAAGGACATTTTTTCTCCGGTGTGCGTCTCCGTCATTTGTATAATTTTTTTTTGTTGGTAAAACATCATTTGTATAATTTGTTCAGCTACTGGACTGTATATGTGTTTTGATTAGATGTCTTGCTCAAAATTCATCAACCTTAGGAGCCCCACTCACTCACTATCACAAGTTGGAACCACACACCAAACAGTCCTTAGGAACTCCGATTAAGAGGTACTAATTACCACACACCAAACAGTCCTTAGGAAATGCATTTTTAACAACATTTGGGAGTTGCAGTCTGTCTTTCAAGACTCGCAGTACCACTGTAGTAAAGGCCCTGCAGATAGAAAATAAATAAAAAGGGTCAACTAACCACTTCTCTTGGAAAATTGGTGCATCGATGGGCCTATGCATTATTCCTTGTAGTATTATTGCATTCAATCCAATCACAACCAACAATTTCTCCAATTCATATTATATCATGCAGGGCCAGCCATCTATGTTTAGTGACTATAACAAGTCAGCAAGTTAGTCATGACTCACGAGCACAACTTGATAGACACGGTGAAGCTTGACTCTAATTTGGCTCCTCACATTACTAGCATTATTCATGGTCGGGGGATTTTGTTTCCATTCTTTCATGGGTCCAATTCTAAGTATCGCAATCAGGCATTCTTTATAAAGAGAGACGTGACTTAGGATCCGAAGGGGGAGGGCCAGAAAGGTAACGTTCAGTTGAGGGCAGTTTGCACCTTCTACTGTGCTGCTGGGAAAATATAACGGAGAAGGGCAAGGGCGGGGGGCATTCAAGTCATTACACTGTTGCTTTGCCACGTGTCACAACTAGTATAGCCGGACGGATATACTTTGTTGTTTTTTTAAACCGAGTATAGCCGCGCGGCTATACAATTTATATAATTAAAAAAAGGACATGGCTGGCGCTAGCGCCTATTTCGCCACGTGTTAAAAATAATACAGCCAGGCGGCTATACTATTTTTAGTATTAAAAATTCGGGTATAGCGGAATGGCTATACATAGCGGAATGGCTATACTACTTATTTAAAATAAAAGACCGCAGCATTGCGCATATTTCGCCACGCGTCTAAGTTAGTATAGCCGTCCGGCTATACTAATTTTTTTAGAATAAAAACCGTAGTATAGCCGTGCGGCCGTACGATTTTTAAATAAAAAAGGTCCAGCCGCCTGGTGCCTATCTCCCGCTTCGCCACGTGTAAAAATAATAGAGCGGCCAGGCTGTACTATATTTTTTATAATAAAAACCGTAGTATAGCCGCGCGGCTATATGATTTATTTATATAAAAAAATGGCCCATCTAGCTGCATTAGTTTATACGTTATAGATATTAATTGGTCTCATCATATAGTTAATGGCTGAATCAAAGCTGTAACTTCTGGTTAAGACTGCAGGCTCTCTACCTGGCTGGTGCGTCAAAATCAAATTGGCATGTGCGTCTGTGCATGCATTTTTTTGATTTGCACTTTCCAAACCAGTATAACAGAGTAAACCTAAACTTGCAGCTGCTATTCTACTTGGGTAACAATCACCATGACAAAGATGAAGTCCTGTTAGCAAATGACCTACTAATGTAGTGGTGTAGAGATGATGATCAATCTCAAAGTAAGAGATTGAGCCTTATCCAAAGGCTCAATATTGCAATTGTCGTTGCCTCTGCTTTAGACTATCTAGCAAGGTTCCTCTTGGAAGCATCAGATAGGTCCTCGCAAAGTCAAACCATTTCTGCTGGGCTAAAGGGTTCCATCGACTACATTCCTCCAGGTATGAATTTCTACCATTCTCTTCCTAATAAGTTAATCGCCTTTTTTTCCTAGAAACTCAAAAATGAGATCTAAGTTCTAAAGATGATTTTATTGTGACATTCTTATGTATGCAATGACTGACAGAGTATGGCATGGGAGGCCAAGTTTCCATTCTGGGAGATATTTATAGCTTTGGAATACTATTGCTAGAAATGTTGACTGGAAAAAGACCTACAGATGACCAATTTACAGAAGGTTTTAGCATTCACCAATTCACAGCCATGGCAATGCCCGACCATGCCAGAGACATAATTGACCCTTCATTGCTGATTGAAAGAGATTATGCAGATGTTGATGATGAGAAATACAACAATGACATACGAGCAAGGACAATTACAAGTTATAAGGATAGCAGCCCTATCCGTCAAACAAGATGGGAGGAGTGTTTGGTTAACGAATTCCTTGAAAATGGAAGAACAAAGAAGCGACATCAGGCTTATTGATCTGGCTAATCGGTAAAAATCAAGGGCCGCTTGCTTAATGGAAAAGAATAAGTAAAAAACCTCAAAACATTAACGGCAGTAGTACAAATTACAAAAGCACTTAAAGAGAGATGGAAGTTAATTACAACATCTATTGGCGGAGATGTTCCATATATAGGTTCCGAGAATCATACTTTCTAAACGATACATGAATTCTGGTTTGGGAAACTAAATGAATCTTGTAGATTTTGGTAAAATTTTACCATATCAATCTAGAAGAAGAAGCTTCTACCGCTGTTAAATAAGTTTGAACAACATGCATTGACGTGTATGACACAAAAAAGATACACAATGTTCTGCTAGAGACTAGATTATATGACTTTTGTGATCCTAGTTTTCTGTACATGATATGCCAATCCAACCACAACGCTCAAATCTTTGTAAATTAATTAATTAATTAGTGTTTTGAGCTAGGAAACATAGGGCCAGGTTTGTTACCTAATCTCAATCTATAAGCACGCAATGATTTTAAAAGTGTATTATATATCAGTGTGTGTGATTTCATCTGAAGGTTGAATTCAGCATTTTGTAATTATATAGCACAACAAGAGGAGAATGTTTTCTTCCATTTATGCCCCTGTGTCTCTCGGCATTTTGTAATCAACGGCTACTAATGAGCTATAAATCTCTGTTTTGCAGTTGACAACATCAAATGTCTGTTAGGATCGGTTAGTGCTAGAATGGGAATCTTCACAACTCAAACAACAATATGAACAGAAAAATAAAGAACACCAGAAATTAACGTGGTTCGGCAAGCCTACGTCCACGGGGCAGCAGTATAAACTTCTTCCACTATAACAAATAATGGGTACAACAAGAAAGATCTTACCAAGCCAATGCCCAGGGCTTGATGATACACACAGAGAAAGTACAATGACACTACACTATACTCTCCCGCTTTTACCTCACTCACAAACTTAGAGTGGTACACAATTAACACTCTCACTCTCACAATATTGGAGTGAAATACTGATGGCTTTTGGATGGTGTTCTCTCACTTCTCTCTGCCTCTCGGCTTCTACCCCGCAAATGAAGAACTAGCGTCCCTTTTATAATTGAGCAAGGAAGGCTTGAGAAGCCTTGGGATTTACTTCCAACGGATATGAGCCACTGGCAACATTATTTGCCCAACATCGTCCTTTGTCTTTTTAATATTATATTGGTGTCACCATTGTGTTGGCAATGATATCCACCTTTTGACTACACCGATAGTATATTCTTCTCTCATGGGCTGGACCCATGGTAATATACCAACAATGTCATGGCTAGCTTGGGTTCCAAGAAACATACCTTAGTCTAGAGTAATTCAAGTGGACCTCATCAGAGCTTCTGGATACGACTTTGTCAAAAAAGAACACAAAAATAAAAAATAAACACAGAGGATATGACTTGGTGGAGCTTCCAAATTTTAATTTATATGGTACAGAGATTGAGATTGTGGAGATCATTTATTTACAACTGTCTTACATCTGGGTTTGGGAAATTAGAGTTAATCTTGTAGATTTTGGTAAAATGTTACCATCTCAATCTACAAGAAGAAGCTAGAAATATGGAGCATTCACGGTGTACTCATGGTAGGCTGATTTTGTTCAAGTTCCTTCTTGGGCTCATTCTTTTGAGCACGAGCACATGTCTGGAATCTGTAACTCTAACCCAGTAGCAATATTTTTGGAAATGAAACCCATCGCCTGGCACTGCTTGACTTGAAGAAAAGAATCACTCAAGATCCTCTGCATGTCATGAGCTCATGGAATGCTTCCATTAATTTTTGCATTTGGGTTGGCGTTAAATGCAACCATTCCACCAAGAGTCTTGATTTTGAACCTGAATTCTCAAAAACTGGTAGGATCCATACCACCTTCTATTGGGAATCTTACTCATCTTACAGGAATCAACCTCAGAAACAACAGCTTTCATGGCGAAATTCCTCAAGAAATGGGTCGTTTACTGAGCCTGAAATATCTCAACCTGTCTCTAAATTCCTTCAGCGGGAAAATTCCATCTAACATATCACACTGAACACAACTGAAGAGGGCTTCATCTAGCTTTCAACGAGCTTATTGGGTCCATTCCAGACCAGCTCAGTTCGCTCACACTATGTGCGTGAGGTTGTAAGGAAAGAGAGTGACTGAAGGGAATAGAACATTCTGCTGCTACACGTATGGGACAGAAATCTTTGCTCTAAATTCTTCTTTTCTTCTTTATCACTCTGCCTTCCAAAATCTCAGAAAACACTAACAAGGTGGTCACTCTTTGGAGATTGTGGGTGGCTTTGGTTGATTGTTTAAATTGGGAAGGAACAAGTAATTTTTTAGGGTAAAGACAAACAGAGCTACTCTGGGATAGAACTGGGAAACGAATATTAAACATGTATAGTGAAAGCCGCAACAAACTCACAAGGCTATCAAATTCAATATAGACAGGCTGTTCACCAGCTTCAAGCCACTCCGCAAGTGAATCTGGGGGTTCATAATTTGAAGCAAGGTCAAGAAAACAAAGAACACAACAACATCAACCATGAGGATTCTGAAATGACCATGAATCTCTATCATATCTTCAACCATGAGGAGTCTGAGTAATGGCAGAAGGCATCTTCTGGTACTCTTTCTCCCTATTAAATGAAATTATGATTTTAGTTTACTTTTTAATGAAATAAATTACCTCGAAGATTCATAAACTAGAGGAGGGATCTAGTAGACAGTAGATTGTGAAATTATTCACATACATTTTTAGCCAACCAGATTATTAGCATACTTTAAAGTGCAAAACAAGTAAGAAACGAGGTGAAGAGTAGTAAGGAAATCCACAAGGAAAAAAATAGTAACAAGCTCTGCGAGTTCATACTTGAACTGCATCAAGTGGTATCAGAGCGTCCTTTCTTCATTTTGCATCCTTCCTTGAGTTTAAAGCAAAGAGCTCTCATAGCAGATGCTGCACGTGCCCTGGACAAAGCAAAAATGATGCCGCACGGCTATACTTTCTAATTACATTCGAATATTTTAAAAGTACAGCCGGTCGGCTATACTCTTTAAATATACTCAAACGAACACGAAGCTTGCACTCGCAGAGGACGGAACTCTCTCCCAGTCACTGCTTCGTCCTCCAGGTTCGGCACCGAAAAAAGACCCAACCCGCCTAGGCGTCAGCCTAGCCACCGCCTAGCCGCCTAGCGCCCTCCTAGCACCGCCTAGCCGCCTAGCCGCCCGCCTAGGCTGACTTTTCAGTTCTCGCTCTCCAGCATCCAAACGCATTCTCTCTCTCCCCGTGTCGTCAAGGTCTGTTGCCTCTGTTCATTCATTGTAAATTTTAGTATTCAATAGTTCATAGCTTTTTCAATTTTTCAATTTTGAATTTTGATTGAAACGCTAGATAATGTAGGTGTTTTAATTTGTTTAAACATGCTCTTGACAATTGTTGTATGAGGGCACCTGTCAATTGTCGTAAATCAGTAGAAAAATGTGCTCTTGAATTTTGTTAAGATTATATTGAGAGCCTAATGTTGGATTTTGAGATTGCAGTTTAGGAGAGCATTACGTGATTTTTCATGTAGGGAAGGGAAGTAGCATAATGACTTTAGGTTTTCGTGTTATGGCGCAACACCTGAAGTTCTTGAAAGGCTTTATAAGGTCATACAGAGTCTAGCTAATCTAGTGCAACAGTATTTTAGGCTGGATGGGATACCAGTCAAGGAAAGGTTTCATCGGAAATACTTCACAAAGGGAGTGTGGGGACCACAAGGAATTGAAGTTCATGAAGTTGGTACAGTTGGTATAGAGGAGCTATGAAATGCATAAATAATTATCTAGGTTTGATGACTGCATTTTACTCCTTACTTGTGGCCTGTGAGCTCTGTATAAATTTGCGCAGAGTCTAAGATGAAGCATCATTATAAAAGTCTCAACTCTGAAGTTGACTTCTTATTTTGAGTTTGTGGACATAGCACAGATAATAGAAATGCACTGTGGGGGACAGTCATAGTATTTGGGAACAGAAAATAGCGATCTAAATTCCAACTACCAAGTGAGAAGAAAATCTGGGAACTTAAGAGGTGAAGACCAAGAGTGATTGACAGTGGATCATTATCTAGAGATCTATTTGATTTCGTCTACATTGCAGGCAGAAATAAAAAGGCCAATCGTAATGGGAGAACCATGCATGCCTCAAGCCTGGCCAGTGTCCCACATAATGAGTGATTGTCCTTTCCTTAGGGATGTTGATAGCTAAGCTTCATCATCGTGCGTGCCCTTATTTATCTTTAGCTAGTTTTCCTTCGGTTATAGGTACATTTGGTGGTCTATGTTGTACATGTTCCTATCACATTAACTCTGTTAACTTATCACTAACAGGGTTCCCTCCCAGTGTTTTTCTATTGTATTGATTTTTAATTGTCCTTTTGAAGTCACTCCTACCATCCATATTAAGCATTCACCAATTCACAGCCAAGGCAATGCCTGACCATGCCATGGACATAGTTGACCCTTCATTGCTGATCGAAAGAAATGATGCAGTTGGTGATGATGAAAGATACAACAATGACATACGAGCAAGACCGATTACAAGCAATGAGGATGGCCGCCCTATCCAAGCAACAAGATTGGAAGAATGTTTGGTTTCTGTGATGCAGATAGGACTTTCATGCTCTGCAATGTCACCATCTGAGCGTATGCAATGGATGTCGTTGTCAACAAAATGAAGGCAACTAGAGACTCATATCTCAATTTGAGAAGAAGAAGAAGCTAGCAATAGGCAAATTGGTCAGCAAATTGATAGACACGGTGAAAGCTTGACTCTAATTTGGCTCCTCGCATTACTAGCATTATTCATTGTAGTGGGATTTCTTCTTTCATATACAAACACTTGGTTTCTTATTTTGACAGCAAAGGAAAGAAAAAACAAGCACTTTGGTTTCTGATTTGCTCATGGTAGACGGATTTTGTTTCCATTCCTTCATGCATGGGTCCAATTCTAAGTATCGCAACTCAGGCATTCTTTATAAAGAGAGACGTGACTGACTTTAACATATACAAGTACTGTTCAACATTCTCTCCAAGCCCACCGACTTGGACTTCTCCTAGCCATTATTTACAATATTATTATCATGTTACTCTACACACAAAATAAAAAATAAAAATAAAAAATGGAGGAGTCTATAACAAAAAATCAGCCACACAGACATCAATTACCAGATTGATGAGCAGACTGGGGGTTCCTATATTGATTACTCCAGTTCTTTTCCTTCCATCTTCCTCCCTGTAACAACAAACCAAACTCAATTTCTGATTTACTTCTCAATTTTCGACATGACAAATGAATAAACCAACCTAGAAAAATAAAAGAACGTTAAAACCAACCCTTTTTTTACGAAACCTAGAAATTCCTTTGAGCTAAACCCGTGCGATGAGAGGAAGGATGAAGCGCAGCTGGACCGGCAACACTAGACAACGTCTGAGAGGAAAATGTATCAGACAAAGACCAAAAGGGAAGGGCAGTTTGCACATTTTACTGTGCGGCTGGGAAAATACAACGGAGAAAAGGGGGCATTTGAGTCATTACAATTTATAAAATTAAAAAAAACGGATTATAGCCTCTCGGCTAAACTATTTATAAAAATAAAAAAAGACTGGTCTGGCGCCTAGAGTCCATTTCGCCACGTGTCTAAAATAGTCTAGCCGCCTGACGCTAGCTCGCACTTCGCCATGTGTCAAAAAAGTATAGACAAGCGGCTATACTATTCTTTAATAATAAAAACAGTGGTATAGCCGCACGGCTATACTATTTAACTATTTAACTATTTATTTAAAAAAGGACCGGCCTGCCGCTAGAGCCATTTTGCCACGTGTCAAACGTAGTATAGCCGCCCGGCGATACGCTTTTTATTAAAAAAAAACCCCCGAGTTTAGCCGCCCGGCTATACGTTCTTCTTATTTTAAAATGTCCCTTCTAGTTGCATTATTTTATACTTTATAGATATTAATTAGTCTCATCATATAGTTAATGGCTGAATCAAACTATAACTTCTGGTTAAGACTGCCAAAATCAAATGCCATGTGCGTCTGTACATATGCATTTTGACGTTGCTTCTGCATTAGATTATCTCCACCACCGTTGTGAAACAATCATTGTTCATTGTGATCTAAAGCCAAGCAATTTTCTTCTTGGTGAAGATATGGTAGCCCATGTTTGGTGACTTTGGTTTAGCAAGGTTCTTACAAAGTCGAACCCATTTCTGCTGGGCTAAAGGTTTCCATGGGTTACATTCCTCCGGTATGAGTTTCTACCATTCTCTTCCTAATAAGTTAATCACCTTTTTTTTCCTTATAAAACTAAAAAATGAGATCTAAGATCTAAAGATTATTTGACTGTGACATTCTGATGCATGTAATACTATTGCTAGAAATGTTCACAGGAAAAAGACCTACAGATGACATGTTCACAGAAGGTCTAAAGCATTCTCCAATTCGCAGCCATGGCAATGCCTGACCATGCCATGGACGTAATTGATCCTTCATTGCTCATTGTAAGAGATGATGCAGATGGAGATGGTGATGATGAAATATACAACAATGACATACAAGCAAGGCCAGTTGTTATCAGGATGGCAGCCCTGTCCCTTGCAACAAGATTGGAGGAGTGTTTGGTTTCAGTAATGCAGATAGGACTCTCATGCTCTGCAATATTACCATCTGAACGGATACAAATGGATGTTGTTGTGAATAAAATGAAGGCAGCTAGAGACTCATATCTCAAATTCTCAATTGAGAAGAAGAAGGAGAAGAAGAAGGAGAAGAAGAAGCTAACAATATTCAAGATAGGACTAAGTTTGTTATCTGATCTCAAATCTGAAGCCTCATCTATTTGGAAGAAAATATTTGAATAAGGATATTATATATGTCCAATTATTTGGGTAATTTTCACTTTATTTGTATGAGGTTGATTGTAATTCCCTATCACAAGGGAAGAATGTTTTGTTCTGCTTATGCCCTTGTTTTGTCTTTTTTGTTCAGCTAATACAAATTGCATGATGCATGTGGTTAATATCGGAATGACTCTTTATCAATGGAGCTGTTGAAGATAGGACTGTTATAATCATACACCGTCCGTTATGGTTTGGACTTCTTGTGTTCAATCTCTGCTGTATGTGATAATTAATACATCCTTCATAAACAGTCTTTTTGTGTCTCCATGGTTCATTGGTCTCATGATATTGTTAATGGCTGATTAATTTGTTGATATAAGAGTTTGACTGTTGCATGGTACTGAGGCTACAGACTCTTATCCATTCTGTTCATTTCCCGCCAACCAATCCCTCTCTAATTCTGTTTCATTCTACTTCTATTTGGTTGAAATGTCTCTGGCTCTGATAATAGCCTGGTAGAAATAATGGAAAGGGTTTTCTGTCAGTGTCAATGCGTATAGCAATCGGAGAGGTTTGATTGAATGCAACATTATTCAATCACATCCATATATATAATCAATTTCAAAAAAATGTCCTTACCTAGTTGAATGACTAGAATAACCCTGAAATTCGTCAAGAGCAGGATTGTTTTCTAGGAGGAACGGATTAGTTTATATTATCCTGCTAGATTGCTAGCTTACTAGCTTAATTACATACATGAAATGCAACTCATAGAGACTTGTTGCCGACTTGTACAACCGACATAGGACTCTCATCAGCCACACATTGTGGCTCTCTCTAGAGATTTCTTAATCACCGACTTGGCTGCATTATTCTAGAACTATATCATATCCGACTTAGCCTCTTCTTCCACCAAGCTTTCTAGAATTATTTATGTAGATAGATTCCTCTCAAATGTCCTCTCAAATGTCCATTACTCGGTTCAGATAAGGAGTCACACATCTCTCCCCGTCAGAACTCTTACTATCTGGGTTCGAGTTTCGATGCGAGCGACGTGTTCCGTAAGTTGCCGTAGCATCCTCCTAATTTCCTCCATGTCGTTGTAGTTGTCAACACGACTCTCCATCCAAAACCTCCCTGATAAAGCAGATCTTGAGCCATAGCTCTGATACCAATTGATGGGGATTGGGATTAGAACACAGGTCACCACCACATACACGAGCACCAAAACTAGGGTTAGTGCAAACTCACATATATCGTAGCAAATCCATGCCACAAATAAACTATTTCATTAATCATCAATATTCAATTTCCTACAACTATTACAATAGCCTTATTTATAGGCTTTACAAGACTTGGGCACCAAGACTGCTTGGTCCAAAAGTAAACTAAGTAATTATAAAATCACACATAATAAATAAATTTTTTTTTTTTTTTTTTTTTTTTTTTTTTTTTTTTTTTTTTTTTTTTTTTTTTTTTTTTTTTTTTTTTTTTTTTTTTTTTTTTTTTTTTTTTTTTTTTTTTTTTTTTTTTTTTTTTTTTTTTTTTTTTTTTTTTTTTTTTTTTTTTTTTTTTTTTTTTTTTTTTTTTTTTTTTTTTTTTTTTTTTTTTTTTTTTTTTTTTTTTTTTTTTTTTTTTTTTTTTTTTTTTTTTTTTTTTTTTTTTTTTTTTTTTTTTTTTTTTTTTTTTTTTTTTTTTTTTTTTTTTTTTTTTTTTTTTTTTTTTTTTTTTTTTTTTTTTTTTTTTTTTTTTTTTTTTTTTTTTTTTTTTTTTTTTTTTTTTTTTTTCCAAAAAAAAAATTTTTTTTGGCTTGTTTTCGTGTTGCTTTATTCGTCAAGAACTAAATTTGCACTTCTTGTTTGGAAACAGGGAGGGTCATTAATGTATCTTTCTGATTGTCTTTCAAATCTCTATTATCAGGTTCCTTGGGAGATTCAATTTTATAGAACAACTTTTTTATGAAGAATCCGATCAAGCAAACTTCAAACTGCAGGATTTTGAGTTTTTTTTTTTTGGGTTTGTTTTTGGCACACTTTCTCTCCATAGGCTTTATAAAAGTTTCTCTCCTGAATCTGATCATTTGGGTGGCTTAGAATTCCCTGCTGAGAGAAAAGAGATTATGGTTTAACATTTGGAAGAACCTTTTGTCTTCTTTGTTTTATAGTTGTGCCTTTGCTATTTTATTCTCATAATTGTTTCTTGCACTTTGCTTTGGCAATCTTGGATTGTTATGAACATGTAGATGCTGCATTACATGTTTTCTATTTGTTGGATTAGATGTCGATCAAAGTTTGTCCTCTTCTAAAAGAACGATGCAATGAAGACAGCGGCCCAGAATGGCCCAAGATTTTGCATATTTCAAACATCAAATGTAAGTTTTTCTATTTTCTTATTTGTTTTCTTTGGTTTTGATTCTGAAATCAGTTATTTTCTTCTCTCTACTTTTTTTAATTTTTTTTAATCTTTTGGTGTACGAATTTTATGGCTCAGAGAGTAAGAAGGGTGAATATATGCACAGCATAGTGACGGGTTTACATTTTTGAGTAAATTCTTAGGACTGTCTTGAAATTTACTTGGAGTTGTTTTGCAATAATATTGATTTGGACAGAAATTTGAAGGCTAAAACAAAAGTTAAAAGGGCAAGCAGGTTCTGGTAAAAGTACATGTGTGACATTCGTTGTTAATTTGGCAGGCAGCAAGGTGTGGAATTCTAGTTGCGGGTCCTGGTAAAAGTAACATCCTGTTCCTCTACATACACAAAGGCAAGTCAAATGTGTCGTCGTTTCGAGGCACCTTCCTCCTCCATGCTTTGTTTAATATGATTGGAGAAGGAGATGGTTTGGTGGGCTTTGAAAAGGAGATATACAAAGGGCACCTTCCTCCTCCATTCCATGTTTTGTTTAATATGATTCGACAAGGTTTGGCGGAGGGCTTTGAAAAGGAGATATACAAAGGGCACCTTCCTTCTCCATTCCATGCTTTGGTTAATATGATTCGACAAGGTTTGGTGGCGGGCTTTGAAAACGAAATATACAGACAAGTATTGCTCGTGACCGATGCGATTCCATACAAAAAAGTAAAGACAAATATCACAAGTCGGCTTTTATGTAAGTCAGTCATGATCATGAAAGAGAAATCTATATATAACTATTGCACGCAATCTGTATAGACGTTCTTTACAACATAAGTTCGTCTATAGATTCATAGAAACCTCGAGGAAGCTAAGCGATATCTTGTTATTGGTTTCATCTATTTTTTCATTTTTTTTAAATGAGAGATTTTTGCATTTTGATCTCACGCGTGTCATATGGACATGGCGACATGGCGATAGCAGCACCGGAAGTGAGATTCTTCTGATATAACATTTTACTGACACATCACTGTCTATCCACACAATAATTCAGCCAACCGACAACTTTAATTACGAGTATTTATCAGAAAAACGAAGCTAATATCGACTTAGGCCTAATTTAATTACAACACTACACGAATGTATGTAGGTTTAGAAACTTTAGATTCAGATCTCACCTTTGTCTATAATAAATACACTGATATATATATATATATATGTCTTCTTGTAGCTAGTTTTCCCAACTGAATGAGCATTCATTGATCTGTTCTTTCTTTAATTGTCTAGATTGAGCAGAGAGGAAGAGAGATAGAAAGATGGCAGAAGTTGTTACTTTCAGTGTCCAGGAAATAGTGAAGAAAGTGGCTTCACTTGCCTCTGAAGAAATCAGTCTTGTATGGGTATTTCAAGGAGAGTTGACAAAGCTGCGTGAATCATTGTTGCTGACTGAAGCCATGTTAAGAGATGCCGGGCAATCAAAAGAAGTTCGGCCGGAAGCCGTGCAAATTTGGGTGAACAAGCTTGAAGACATAGCTCATGAGGCCGATGATGTGCTGGATGAATGCGGATATGAACTTCTCCGCCGTCAGGTGGAAGTGCGAAACCAAATGAAGAAAAAAGTGCTCAACTTCCTTTCACTCCACTACAATCCCATTTTATTTCGTCTCAAAATGGTACATAAGATTGAGAACATCAACTCTGCTTTGGAGAATTTGAATAAGAAGGCAGCTAGCATTGGGCTTGTCAATAAGAAATTCTCAGATGCAACCTCCTCTCGTGAGATTGCAGTTGACAGGGAAACTGTCTCCATCTTTAAACAAGATGAAAAGAACATTGTTGGAAGGGAGAAGATTGTGTCAGAGATAGTTACAACCTTGATCAACTCAAGCAATACTCAAGAGAATGAAACTCTACCCGTGATGGCCATTGTGGGAATGGCTGGCTTGGGAAAAACAACTTTGGCTAAATCTGTATATCATGAAGATGAGATAGGCAGACGCTTCACTGAAAAAATATGGATATGTGTATCTATTCCTTTTGAGGTCAAGTCAATTTTAAGCAAGATCTTGGAACATCTTAAACCGGAAAAGGCTAGGATGCAAGACAAGGATGCAATAATAAAAAATCTTCAAGAAGATCTGAAAGGGAAAAGATATTTGCTCGTATTGGATGATGTGTGGAACGAAGATTCTGAAAAATGGAATGACTTGATGAGTTGTTTGTTCAGTGTTAAAGATACCCAAGGAAGCAACATTCTTGTCACTACCCGGAGTGCGAGGGTTGCATCAATCTGTATACACATTCTTTATAATATAAGTTCGTCTATAGATTCATAGAAACCTTGAGCAAGCGAAGCGATATCTTGTTATTGGTTTCTTTAACCGATTCTTTTTTGCATATTTATTTCACCCATGTCAAGGAGGTGCCTTGCCAGAAGAACTTCCACGTGATGGATATCATAATCGTACTGTGATGATATGATTACAAACAAACCAATATATAACAAGAGAAATGCTAACTACAGTCGCTTCTAGACTCTTCCTAGATTACATCATCAATTAAGAAAAATGTGGTAGCAAAGAATATACATTTTAACTAAGTGCAATTTCGTGAATGTTTGATCAATCAACCATCATCAGCATCGCTTCCACAAATATGAGCTTCCATAGCTATAGTTGCTTCAATGAGGACCATGAATCTGGGATATATATTTGTTTGACTAACTGACTTTCTTTTATTAATTTATATGAGTTTTAGCTTTAAGAGCATTTAAGTCTATTTAAATGACTTTTTTGCAATTTTTTTTAGAAGTTTTTATAAAAACTAACATTTATGAAATAAAGGAAAATTGAGGCTTTTTCTCCCCCGTTCATAAAAAAATATATGTTTTGAGTTGGAAACTAAGAGGAAAATCGTGAAAAGAATTTCCAATTAAACATGAAAAAGGAATCTTCCTGGTCAATTGCATGGGAAAGGGTAAAGTCTAAGAGCATGTCCACCCCAAAAGGCTAAGGCTAAGGCAAAGGCAAGGCCCTACTATTCACGTGAATAGTGGAAGTCTTGTCTTTTTTGGTTCCACCCCAAAAGGCTAGGGCAAGGGCAAGAAAAAAAAAGAATATGCAACAAAATAAACTTGTTATGTATTTATAGGGAAAGTGAATAAAATTGTTATGTATTTATAGGGAAAACATCCATAATTTTCTGGTATTTTTTTTTCCATTTTTTTTTTTTTTTTACTCGCTGACGTCAGCGCCCTCGGGCTGAAGCCCAAGCAAGATATGCCCTTGGGCTTGCCCGGGCTGGTGGGACCCAGGGCTTGCCCGGGCTGCAGGTGCTGCGCTGGAAGTCCAAAACCGAGGGAATGGGCCTCTTGCCCTGGCTAAAGTCCCTGCAGTGGAGATGCTCTAAATAGATTTTTTTCTGCCTCATCACTTGGTAGTCAGTCATGCCACGATGGAGGAAATCTACCCACAATTTTGGCATGTAATAATTCAGCCAACCGACAACTTAGTTTGTTGGGTGGGCTCCTAAATTATTATTAGCCTTTGAAATCAGCCTTATGACATTCAAATTTAATTACAATTTATTGGTCAGGAAGCATAAGCTAATTTCGACTTAGGCCTAATTTAATTACAACACTACACCTAAAATACTGTATGCTTTTTTTTTTTTTTTTTTTTTTTTTTTTTTTTTTTTTTTTTTTTTTTTTTTTTTTTTTTTTTTTTTTTTTTTTTTTTTTTTTTTTTTTTTTTTTTTTTTTTTTTTTTTTTTTTTTTTTTTTTTTTTTTTTTTTTTTTTTTTTTTTTTTTTTTTTTTTTTTTTTTTTTTTTTTTTTTTTTTTTTTTTTTTTTTTTTTTTTTTTTTTTTTTTTTTTTTTTTTTTTTTTTTTTTTTTTTTTTTTTTTTTTTTTTTTTTTTTTTTTTTTTTTTTTTTTTTTTTTTTTTTTTTTTTTTTTTTTTTTTTTTTTTTTTTTTTTTTTTTTTTTTTTTTTTTTTTTTTTTTTTTTTTTTTTTTTTTTTTTTTTTTTTTTTTTTTTTTTTTTTTTTTTTTTTTATACTTGTACTCTTCCTCAGCCTTGTTGTATCTTTTCCTTATCAGCTTATGCAGCAGCATCTATTAGATTAGGGTGTGTACTTTTTCTTTATACAGCTTCTGCTTTTGCTTCGTATCAATCAAAGATTAATTTTTATAATTTTGAGGATTTTCTGATGAGTTTTAGTCAAACTTTCTCCAAATTTTAGCTTCCAAATTTGCATTTCTTTTCACGCCTTTTTTCTTATTATTTTGTTGTTGTTTTTTGTTTATATCCAAAATAACAGAGTAGGAAGGTGATGGAGACATTCAACCAATTGTGACAGTTTCCCAGTCAGCTTAACCCTTGGAAGGTGATGCCATGCGAGGAAAGCTTTTAATGGCTCTGCAGCTGCAAGGTATGCATAGCCCTTGGCTTGTTTTCGTGTTGCTTTGTTCGTCAAGATAGCACTAAATTTGCACTTCTTGTTTGGAAATAGGGTCATTAATGTATCTTTCTGACCGTATTATCAGGTTCTTTGGAGATTCAGTTTTATGGGACAATTTTTTATTAAGAATCCGATCAAGCAAACTTCAACACTGCAGGATTTTGAGTTTTTTTTTTTTGGCACACTCTCTCCCTAGGCTTTGTAAAAGTTTCTCTCCTGAATCTGATCATTTGGGTGACTTAGAGTTCCCTGTTGAGAGAAAAGAGATTATGATTTAACATTTGGAAGAACCTTTTGTCTTCTTTGTTTTGTAGTTGTGCCTTTGCTAATTTATTCTCATCATTGTTTCTTGCATTTTGCTTTGACAATCTTGGATTGTTATGTTGATGTTGCATTACATGTTTTCTATTTGTTGGATTGGATGTCCATCAAATAATTTTAGATGTCATTTTATTTTGGCTTAAGTGCTACAGTGCCCCTTGAAACATTGGTCAATTCTCACTTTACCCCCTGAAAGTTAAAGTGACCCACTTTGCCCCATTGACCAAGGTTTGATATTCCACATTGTCCCTATCGTTAACTCCCTCCAAAAGTCCGTTAAGTTCGATGACGTGATAGGGATATTTTAGTAATTTTGTGCACCTAGGTTTTTTAATTACTTTAAAAAATTAAAATACAAACATAAAATTGAAAATAAAATAGATTTTAGGAAAACAAAAAACAAAAAACAAAAAACAAAAAAAAACCTTCTCCCCCATGTCGCACCAAATCCATCCCTTCCTTCTCTGTCCTCCTCCCTCCTCCCTCCCCACAACCCACAACCCACAACCCACAACCCACAACCCATCCCTCTCCTTGTGCAGAACCAGGAAAGCCATCGCCTTTGAGATGATGAAGCATCCCAAAACTATAATTGCAGGAACACGACAAGCTGTAATATTTCCTAAAAGAACCATTTCCCATATCAAAATAAGTCCATATCACCTCAACTTGAAATATAAGAACAATACAGGAAAGAATTAACAAATTCAAGCATACTCCATTCGTTTCTTTCAAAACTTTCAAAAGCCCAATCCGAATTTGAGATTTCTCCCCCCCCTCCCTTCCCCACAACCCAAGCTATTCCCCCCCAAACAAAACCCGCAACCCACCCCTTCCCTAAGCAAAACCCAGAAACCCATCGCCCCCCTCCCCCAGCAACCCATTCTGCCTGGGCAGAACCCAAAAACCTACCCCCACTGATTTCTTCACCTCCCCCCTTTCCCCATCGAGACCCATCGTCCCCTTCCTATGGTTTTTTCTACCCCACTCCCACAGAACCCCAGCCCCCGTACCCATTTCCCTTCTCCTCGACCCGTGCCCCTCTAGCCCATTTTCCCCATCACAACCCACCCTGCATAGAGATAGAGAGAGAGAGAGAGAGAGAGAGAGAGAGAGAGAGAGAATTCAATTTTTTAAAGTTTTAAATTTTATGTTTGTATTTTAATTTTTTAAAGTTATTAATTTTTTATTAATTTTTTTATCCATGTTGGAGGTGGGCTCCACTCAAATTTGTGAATAAAAAATCTAGATGTTAAAAATTACTAAAACACTCCTGCCACGTCATCAAATTTAACGAATTTTTGGATGGAATTGACGGTAAAGGGCATTGTGGAACACCAAACTTTGGTCAAAGGGACAAAGTGGGTCACTTTAACTTCCAGAGGGTAAAGTGAGAATTGATCAATGTTTCAAGGGACACTGTAGCACTTAAGCCTTTTATTTTTGTAAAAATGACCGTTGAAATAAAAATTTTACTCTACCAAAGGCATGCATGACTACAGCACTAAAAAAAAAAAAAAAAAAAAAAAAAGAAAAAAAAAAAAACTTTCTTTTAAAATAATTAAACCCCAAAATAAGAAAATGGTAAAGAATCAAAACAATAACCAAACCTAAACTTAAAACGTATTGGGCACTAGGCCCAGCTTTCTTTCAGCTTAGATTGGGTTTTTATTTGGTCTTTCAGGCCTCCAGTTTGCAGACATAAGCCTCACGAGAGACTCAGCTTCCCGCTTCTTCAACCAACCCTATCTCGCTTCCCAAATCACAACAAAAAATGGCGGACAAGAAAAAAGCCCAAACGCCGACAATGGTTGCGGACAAGAAGAAACGCTGGCGACCCGACCCGAACTCCGACGACGAAACCCATCACCCCTTCAAGAGCCTCCTCAAGCCCAACCCACTCATTCCCCAAACCCTCGACGACCTCCGCTCCGCCAACGCCTCCTCATCCTCTTCTTCCAAAACCATAACCCTCGCCGACCTCGCCGTCGGCTCCACTTGCCGCGAGGTTAGCGACCTCGACCTGCCGTGCATTCCATCGAAGATTGAGCTCCAGATGCTCAAGGTTATCAAATCCATCCTCGACGGCAACGGCTTCGCGTTTGAGGTCCCCTCACGCGCCGCCGCTAACCAGCTCTATGTTCCGGAGCTCGACCGCATTATGTTAAAAGACAAAACTTCCCTCCGCCGTCCACAAGGCCACCATCACAGCTCGTCTTCTCCAGCTGATCCGCCAGCTCTGCCTCAATTTAATTTTTTTTTTTTTTTTTTTTTTTTTTTTTTTTTTTTTTTTTTTTTTTTTTTTTTTTTTTTTTTTTTTTTTTTTTTTTTTTTTTTTTTTTTTTTTTTTTTTTTTTTTTTTTTTTTTTTTTTTTTTTTTTTTTTTTTTTTTTTTTTTTTTTTTTTTTTTTTTTTTTTTTTTTTTTTTTTTTTTTTTTTTTTTTTTTTTTTTTTTTTTTTTTTTTTTTTTTTTTTTTTTTTTTTTTTTTTTTTTTTTTTTTTTTTTTTTTTTTTTTTTTTTTTTTTTTTTTTTTTTTTTTTTTTTTTTTTTTTTTTTTTTTTTTTTTTTTTTTTTTTTTTTTTTTTTTTTTTTTTTTTTTTTTTTTTTTTTTTTTTTTTTTTTTTTTTTTTTTTTTTTTTTTTTTAAAAATTGACACTTTCATATAATTTCTCTTAGCTTATGAGGCTACAAAACCAAGGTAATTTGTGCATTCATTTTTAACGGGCATCATTAGGAAAATTAGCATTTGCATTGACTAATCATATACGCCAATATTTTGCAGCACATGATTTTTAATGAAGTGTAACACCCCGACCCCAAATTTATACCATGTTTTAATTAATTAAGTGGAATTGAGAAATTACCCGTGGGATAGGGGTATTTTAGTCATTTTCTTATCCGGAAGGAATTTGGGAATTCCGGATGTACCGTTGCGTAAAGCACAGCGAGATGAGTTCGTAGACACGTAGTGGGCTCGAATCGGAGTTGTAACGAAGAAGTTACGGGCAAAACATCACCAGTGGCAAAATCGTAAATATTTTGAAAGAGGTTTTTGGTTAAAAAGACGGAATTGCCCCCGTCTCTCTCACTCTCTCTCTCTCTCGCGCGTCCCTCTCTCTCTCCTCTGGTTCGCGACAGCTGAAACAGCCGGCCACGTTTTGGCCGGCCGTGCTCTCGTCCGGCCACCAAAGTTGACGGGGCCGGTACCAAAATGACCGGGCCGCCGTCCTCTTCCTACCCCGGCCAGGTCCCGTCGCCAGCCGCCGTGATTTCGCCGGAAAACGAGGAGAAAAAGCTCCGGTTTTGACAGAAACTTCGCCGGCTTCGTTCTCCGTCGTCCGGCCACCGATTCCGGCAAGTGAGGTATGGTTTCTCACCTATTTTCTGAGCTCTAGCTGCCTGTTGGGTAGGAATTGATCAATTTGTAGCGTAAGTAGCTCGATCTACGAATTGAAATTCGGCCGGTTTCGGGATCGCGATTCCGGCCACTTCCGGTCAGTTTTTGGGGTAAGTCCAAGAACAAAAGTGACTCCAAATTAGGTGTTTTACCTAGGGTAGGAGTCTTGAGCCGTGATTTGTGGTTTTTCCGGCGATGGGTTATCGCTTTGGACACCCACGCGCTGCCGGCGCGTGGGCACTGTAGCTGAGGGGCATTTTTGTCCCACTGTGATCCTCTCGATGTCACGAGCGCGTAGGTGTGCTCGGATTTCAATTTGGATACCGTTAGAGTCCCGAACGGATATCGCATATCGCGTATTTTCCGGGTTCGCTAGGTTTGGACCGTTGGATGGTCCTGAAGTTATAATATGTTGATCTAAGTATTACCAGGATCGTGTAGGATTCGACGGATCATAAAACGGAGTCCCGGATACTCCGAAAATGCCAACCCTGGGGTTAGGGTTTTAGTAACCGTCCGATTGGGTGATCGTGAGCGATCCGACCGTCCGATCTAGACCAAACTTGCAGGACATGTGTCCTAGAGCCTATAGAACCTATAGGAACTTTCGGATCGGAATTTGGAGGTTGTGGGCCCCGCAGGCCCGTTTGACCCTAGGTTGACCGTGAGACTTCTGAGATAGTCTTACCTTTCCTTGAGGGTTAGGATGACCTTAGTGATAGGTCTTGAGCATTGTTGAGTTAAATGGATATTGTGGGTTTAGGATATAAATTGGTGAATTTAAATGAGGGAGTTTATGGAATGCTTTATTGGTTGATGTTACTATAGGATTAGAAATTATATAGTATACATTTAATTGTATGGTTGTGTAATGGTATATAAAGAGATTGAATGTTAGTTTACAGTGCTATACGCACTACCCCACGTACCCCCCCATATTGTGATTATGTCGAGGCCCTTAAACCCGTGCGGCTGGTGAGAATGTAGCCAGGCCCAAGTGACAATATAATGGCTGGTGAGAATGTAGCCAAGCCCAAGTGACAATGTGATGGCTGGTGAGAATGTAGCCAGGCCAAAGTGAACAGTGTGATGGCTGGTGAGAATGTAGCCAGGCCCAGTGTGAGATCGCACGCGTCTTTGGATTAGCCGGCGTGTTGACAGACCCCATACGTGGCCGGGTGCGTCCCGACGTATGAGGGGAGATGTGATTGTGTGAGGGCTGGTGAGAATGTAGCCAGGCCCAGTGTGAGGTCGCACGCGTCTTTGGATTAGCCGGCGTGTTGACAGACCCCATACGTGGCCGGGTGCGTCCCGACGTATGAGGGGAGATATGATTGTATGAGGGATGGTGAGAATGTAGCCAGGCCCCCAGTAAGGTCGCACGCGTCTTTGGATTAGCCGGCGTGTTGACAGACCCCATACGTGGCCGGGTGCGTCCCGACGTATGAGGGGAGATATGATTGTGTGAGGGCTGGTGAGAATGTAGCCAGGCCCAGTGTGAGGTCGCACGCGTCTTTGGATTAGCCGGCGTGTTGACAGACCCCATACGAGGCCGGGTGCGTCCCGACGTATGAGGGGAGATATGATTGTGTGAGGGATGGTGAGAATGTAGCCAGGCCCAGTGTGAGGTCGCAAGCGTCTTTGGATTAGCCGGCGTGTTGACAGACCCCATACGTGGCCGGGTGCGTCCCGACGTATAAGGGGAGATATGATTGTGTGGGGGCTGGTGAGAATGTAGCCAGGCCCAGTGTGAGGTCGCACGCGTCTTTGGGATTAGCCGGCGTGTTGACAGACCCCATACGTGGCCGGGTGCGTCCCGACGTATGAGGGGAGATATGATTGTATGAGGGATGGTGAGAATGTAGCCAGGCCCCCAGTAAGGTCGCACGCGTCTTTGGATTAGCCGGCGTGTTGACAGACCCCATACGTGGCCGGGTGCGTCCCGACGTATGAGGGGAGATATGATGTGTGAGGGCTGGTGAGAATGTAGCCAGGCCCAGTGTGAGGTCGCACGCGTCTTTGGATTAGCCGGCGTGTTGACAGACCCCATACGTGGCCGGGTGCGTCCCGACGTATGAGGGGAGATATGATTGTGTGAGGGATGGTGAGAATGTAGCCAGGCCCAGTGTGAGGTCGCAAGCGTCTTTGGATTAGCCGGCGTGTTGACAGACCCCATACGTGGCCGGGTGCGTCCCGACGTATGAGGGGAGATATGATTGTGTGAGAGCTGGTGAGAATGTAGCCAGGCCCAGTGTGAGGTCGCACGCGTCTTTGGATTAGCCGGCGTGTTGACAGCCCCATACGAGGCCGGTGCGTCCCGCGTATGAGGGGTGATATGTGGGTGTGTGTGAGATGTGAGGGAGTCGTGGATGTTGTACGTGGCCGGGTGTATGAGGGGAGATATGATTGTATGAGGGATGGTGAGAATGTAGCCAGGCCCCCAGTGAGGTCGCACGCGTCTTTGGATTAGCCGGCGTGTAGACAGACCCTATACGAGGCCGGGTGAGTCCCGTCGTATGAGGGGAACTATGTGATTGTGTTTGTGTGTTGTGATGGATAAACCCTAGAATGTATGAATTTGTATGGATGAAATGGTTTATTTGATATTAGGAGCCTTGATTGATAGGAAAGAGCTACGTGTGGCTTGATCCCTTAGTAGGGTACGTAGGCAGCCTGGGATAGCGCCTAGGTGCAGCCACGACCTAGACACCACTTAGGTGGTTTTATCGAGTATGATGCGGACCCCGTGGTTGGTCTCGACACTTGGTTGAATTGAGGCTTGTCCGGTGGACTGGGTGAGTGAAGGTGTGTATGGATGGATTTTGAATTGGATATGTGCATGTGTGATGCATTAAGTTATTTTGAAAACTGTGTGGGCAGTCTGCTAGAATCATTTGAAGGCCGGAGGCCATTTATGTAAATTGCATGAGATTATATTGTGTGTGCTGCTGGTTGGATTATAAAATGTGTTTTATGCAGGTGGAAATTTTGGGGAATGTTCAATTTACAGGGGAGACTCTGCCGAAATTTTGGGCAGAAAGTCTCGTGCCCTAAATCCTCTCTGGTAAAAGAGGACATAGTTTTAAGGAGTGAACCTGGCGTGGGTGTGATGCCGGGGTCTCCGCAGGGTTCGTCTCGGATTCCGGGAAATTCGGGGCGGGTCCTGTCATGAAGGCACGTTATTTGCTTATTGTAAGTCCAATCATTGGCTGCCAAGTGTCCTTTTGACCTACCAAAATGACTGGGGCTGGTCTGGACTCACTATCTCTCTCATTTACAATTTCTTAGATGGTTTTTTTTTAGAGAGAGAGAGAGAGAGAGAGAGAGAGAGAGAGAGAGCTAGTGAGAGACTAGGTATGGGTTTGTTTTTTGAGAGGCAATTTTTTTGTCTCTGCCATTTTCACATAGAGGGGTTCATGGGTTCTTGAGATCTAGGTTTTTCAATGAAATTTTTTTTATTGATTTTTTGTTCAATGGTTTGAAATCTTAAGCACTCATGCATATTGGAAAGTTTTGAGAGTTTCTTCCCTCTTCTACATTTTCTTTTTTGAGTGAGTTTATGATTTTAAAATGAGATTTTGAAAATTTGGATTTTAAAATCTGCTTTGATCCTTGAACTCTACTGCTTTTAGGAGAGAATTTTTTAGAGTTTCTTCTGGCTCTACATTTTCTCTCTAAAGGTGAGGTCTACTCTTTTTCATTATGAGATTTTAAAATTTGGGTTTTTGATCTGCTACGAGTTTAGAAATCTTCATCTAGGATAGTTAAACACATACTCATTCATATCTAGATCAGATTCTAGGTTGATTTCTTAAAGAGTATGGTTTCTTGAAGAAATTGATCCTTTTTGGTTCAGAATCGATATTCCATTCAGTTGATAGATCTAGAGCTGAGTTGATGGTGCCATGGGATGAACGAGCTAAAAATGAAGCTACCATTGCCAAGAAAGACTAGTTGCAAGCTTTGCTAAGTTGGAAAGTAAGGTTGCACAGAGGAGGTATAGCTTGTTTTCTAAATAGACCTAGGATTTCTTGAGCTTGCTTGTGAATTCTCTGTAAGAATTTTCTTTAATTAGTTGATTGCCTGATCAGATGATGACCCCCAATTTTTCCCAATGGTGGGTTTTTGGGTGAACAATATTTCTAGGTTTGATGTTTTTGATTATTGACTAGTCATAATCTGTTGATTAGTATCTCTATTTTGATTCAATGAATGTTCACACACGCTACACTCTAATTGTTACTAGCACTGAGGATGCCTAAATTGATGGATCCGTTCTTTTCTTCTAATGTGTATATTTATTGTTACCTACAACTAAATTCATAAAGAATTGAAATTTTTTTAACTTTATAAGTTAATATATATTGGGCAATATTTAAAATAACTCATTTTTAAGCTATATTTTTTGCCCCCAAAAACTTCTGTGGGCTACAGCCCACCACAGCCATTGAAGTAGTTAATTTAAGAGATATTTAGTGATATACCCATTCTTAACACTAATATTATAGATAAACCCTTCATAATTGAATTTCTATAAACAAACCCAAAAAAAACCCCAAAAATGACAGCTGGCCTTATTGAATTTATATTGATTATTAAATTACTTTAATGCCCTATTGAGTGTTTTGGGTATTTTTATGAGATTTTGGGGTTGGACTTGTTTTAAGAAATTTATGATAGTTTTGTAATTTATGAGAAGTTAAAGTCTCTTTGTTATGTTGTAAATGAGTTTTGGGTGTGTTTATAAAGTTCATTTCATATGGGGTATTTTTATAATTTGGGCCCCCATATTGGGTATATTAGTGAATCTCCCTTAATTTAATAGACACGCAGTGCAGCCTCCGTAATATTATATACTACGTATATATAAGTATAATATATATGGTGGACTGATCTGTAAAGTCGTCAAGTCTTTGCCTCCTAACGCATATTAAATTTGTCATTGCTGTCCTATTCTAGATCTGTTTTACATACATCATTAAGGCTCCTATATATATGATCATTAAGGCTCCTATGCAAGAGCCTGAAAAAAAAAGATATTAGACGTATATGGCTAAGCCACTAAGCTCCTACCTTGTGTGCCTCGCATTTTCTTTAGTTTTCAATCTATTGTTGATCTTCAAACTATATGTGGGTAGAGAGTGGGAACTGAGCTGCAGAAGAAGCTGAGTATGTAGCAGCCATCTCTTGCTCAGGGCATGGAAGAGCCTACTTGGATGGGTTAACTCGTGATGGCAACGTGCCTGTTTGTGAATGCCATTCTTGCTATGGAGGCCCTCAGTGCTCTGAGTTTTTGACTGGTTGTGCAGCAAATGCTGACAGGTCTCTCTCTCTCTCTCTCTCTCTCTCTCTCTCTCACACGCACACACACAATAAACACACTATATTCTTAGCTAGTTTGGGAGCTTGGGAAATTCGGAGGGCAGAAAGGTTGTACTGAAAAGAAAAAAATTAGCCTAGAAGTTGTTAATTCAGAAAATTTGAACTAGGAAGCTTAGGAAAATTAAAAAAAAAAAAAAAAAAAAAAAAAAAAAAAAAAAAATAATAAAGTGTGGGTGTGTGAAAAGCGATGTTTAGTTTAATTATTAATATATTTAGTGCATTTCTAGGGACTTGGTTTTTTCCTTTTATTATGGAATTTGTAGCCGTAAAAGATTCCAAAAACAAACTCACATGACATATATTAGTAATGTAATGTTTTAAAATAGGGGTCTTTAGATCACGAGGGTTATTCCTAATAAACTCTAATACTTTTGGATTTGTATCTAATTTTTTAATTTTTATTTAGAATAAAATATTCCCTCATCAACAAGGGATCTTGTTTGGCACAATCTCCTCCATCATGCTTTTTAAATGCTTCTACTAGCTTTCAAATGAACTATTTTGCTCTTCACTCCATGTCAAGTCAGTCATACAACACTACCTACTGCATGTAACGATAATGTTACAGTGTAGTATTTTTTTTCTTCACACAAATGATATCGAGGGAATGGAATTCAAACACAAAATCTCACATGCAAAGGACTATGGAGCCAAAAAATTTGGTAGGACGGGCATCATATTTCTTTTTTCTTTTTACTGGATAGATTAATTACTTCCATAAGTGACCACCAAGATTTCTGTCACCATGTCAAGAATAGGGTAATACAGTGGCTTGACAAAGGGTATATCCAAAAAAATTAATTTGTTCCAAAAGCTACTCTACCTAAGTCCACCTTTTCACTATTAAAACTTACCTCCAATTGAAAGCTCCGTTCAATTTCTCACCCTATTGAATGGAGCTTCCACTTTGGATCTAAGTAGTTTAATGGTGATTTTAAAATACATATATATTAATGGCACATCCAAACTTTATGATCATCATCAGCAGCACATGTGTGTTGTTGGGTGCAGTGGGGATCCATATTTCTTGGAGCCATTTTGGATGCAACATGCATCGAAAAGTGCACTTGTAGTAGCAGGTTGGCATCGAATGAGCTATACCTTTGCTGATCAATCTTACATCTCAGCAGAGCTTGAGAGGCACATTCGCAAACTTCATGCCATCGTTGGAAATGCCGTGACTGGAGGAAGATACATTGTTTTTGGTGCTGGCTCAACCCCAACTTCTCAATGCTGCAGTTCATGCACTGTCTTCCCATAATTCAAGCTCCTTCTCCTCGCCTGCAAGTGTTGTAGCTTCAATTCCTTATTACAATGTGGGATCCTAACTTACTACTTGCATATTTTACGTACAAAGAATAAATAAATTAACTTGTATCATCTCAAGAAATCATCTTCTGTATTATCTCTCTATAGTATACAGATAGTATTAACATGTGTACCTGTGTGGACCTACTTCTGTGGTGTGTCACACCTGTATACATAAAATCACCAATTGAGATGGTACAAATAGTACGTAGTATTACTACAAATATACTGCTGACTGATATGTACGGTTTTGATGTTCCATTTCCCCAGCTTTACCAAATACAAACGGAGTTTTTTCGATCAACAGACTATGTATTTCAAGGTGATGCATCCTTGCTGCAGAACATATCAGATGCTACATGTTAATGCTCTTTTTCGGAGAGGGTCAACTTAGAGAAAAAGGGGTTTGCCTTCAGCAGGGAAAGGGTCTGGGCCTTCAATAAAGGCTAGCCTGCAGAAGACAAAAATAGGGGAAGCAGTCGTCAAGCTCCGGGCACCGGTGTGGTGCCGGCCGAAGGCTCTCCGATGCTTAAGTCAGCTAAGAAGGGTAACTTTTGCAGAGTAATAGTAAAAGGCAGAAAAGTAGTTACCCCTCTTACTAGGGTACTGTTCCCTTTTTATAGGGGAGTGAAAGTGGGAGGTTGGTGTAGATTTCCGATGTGGGACTCTGTGCAAGTTGCCGCGGTGGTGACACGTGTCATGAGAATTAGGTTTAACAGTTTGTGAGCTTTTGGCAGTCGGGAGTTTCGGCAGGTGCTTGGCACCTCGGAAGAGTGTCTTCCTTCGGTAGGAGAGAAGGCGTGTCTGCCTTGGTGCTAGTTGTTTTGAGACTGGATATGCTCGGTTGATTATGGTGTAAACAGTAGTCCCCCAAGTTCGCGGTCAAGAAGTGACTTCTGGGTTGGGAACTTGTAAGCTTTTGTGTGATCATGACCGAGCATTCCAGGTTCAGTGGGAGCCGTAGGGCAGTCCCTAGTCCCCCAAGTTGTCAAGCTAGAAGTGGCGTTAACACTTGGAAGGTATAAGAAAAGCTGTGTTAGCCTCAGTGTGTTGTTGGTAGCTGGGTACCTTTAAAAGAAAAGTAGACTTGGGTTTTTGAAGCTTCAGTAAGAAAATCTGTGGGCCTTAGTGTTTATGACCCGGGTCCTGCCGTTTGGTAACCAAGTGATGATTTTGAGTAGAAAAGGCCTGGGTCCCAAAAGATTGGGCTGAAGCTTGAAAGAGAAAAGAATATGGGCTTCCATTTTTCCATTTTCCTAGCCCCCTTGCCATTCGGGGCCCTTTTTTTTTTTGGCCAAGTGGTATGGGTTTGGGTAATTGGGGTTGGGCCATTGAGGCATCTGAAATTAGGGGCTGCCATGTAAAAAGTGGCCCAAGGTGAGCTGGGGCTTCGGCAAAAAGAGAAAAAGGGTAACAAGGGGCTGAGCCCGTGAGTTTAGTTGTGAGGCCTTGGCTATAGTAGGGTGCTAGGTTGAGATGAGGATTGGTGTGCCTCCTGTATTTAGTTTTTATGAAACCTGCCGTTCGGCAAGCAGTAGCTAGGACCTTTGTGGAGCAAAAAGGCTGGGCTGTTTTGTTGGCTTAGGTAAGTGAAACGCTAGGTTTAGATTTTGTGGGGAAAGTATAAATGAGTTTCACTAGCCCTTGCCGTTCGGCAAGCAGTAGCTAGGACCTTTGTGGAGCAAAAAGGGGCTAGGCAAAAAGGCTGGGAGCTCACGGTTTCAAGGGGATTTTTGAGCAAATCTTGGAGCATCCATTTTTAGTCCCCCATTTTCCTTCCACACAGCCCTTGCCGTTCGGCAAGGGTGTGTTTTGTTCTTGAGCTGGCTCTTGAGAGTTGAGTCTTGGGAGGAAGAGATCGGGGCTGGTACCGTCCGGCAAGGAGGAGCCTGGAGGGAGGCTGGTTTCATCTTGTTCACCCCTCCGCTGGTGAGCTCAGAGTTCGGCAAGGGTGTGTTGCCGGGCCGTGGCTTCACATCAACCATTTCGGCAGGTGAGACTTGGCCTTCTAGCTTCGGCAAGAGTGGAGCTGGGTTCGGAGTTGGTTCTTGGAAGGAAAAAAGATCGGAGCTGGGCCCTTGGCAAGTTGAGGCTACACGAGCTGGATCTCTTCGAGTCTCTGGTCTTTGGCAGTGCTTAGGTAGGTTCCTGTTGAATTCACCTCTTGATTTGCTGAACCCTTGCTGAACGGCAAGGGTGGTGTGAGTGGGTTTTTGTGGTGGTCCTCAAAAGTTGGGTGGGCTGAGTCACATGAGCTGGTCGTGACTTGGAGCTAGGCATCTTGGCAAGAGGGGCCGATCCAATTTCGGCTCAGAGTTAGCGAGGCTGCGGCCACCTTGGCTCGGGTCGAGGTGAATATTTTAGTGAGTTTGTGAGCCTCCAAAAACCTGTTCACGGAGCCTGCCGTTCGGCAGGTTCCTTTTGGTTTGGCTCCTAGAAGGAGGATTGGGGCTGGTCTTTCGAAATAGAGCTGGGTTTGTTGGGGTGGGTGTCTGTGAGCATGTTTCTTCTTTGAACTTCTCTTTCTTTTTTGTTGTTTTTTGTTTTTGGAATCCTTGTAGGAATCGGCTGAGCTGTTGGTGTTTTCTTTGGCAGATTTGTCGTGACTTTTGGAGCTGAAACTTAGAGCTGGGTCTTTTTTGCAGCTTGGGTGTCTTGATCAGTTTGGAGCTGGGACCCGTTGCAACCTTTTGGGTGTCTAGAGCAAATCATGGCTCCTCTGTCTTGAGTTGGTTCCAAGTCTTGAGCAGTTTTTACAGAAATTGCCGTTCGGCAAGGGCTTGGTTTCAGCTCAACCAAGCTTCGGCAAGCAAGGCAAGGTTCAGCTGACAAGGACTTGGTTTGGTGACCTGGAATCGTGACCTTGGTGAGCTGTTCTTCAGTTTGTGTTGCGGCTCTTGCCGTTTGGCAAGTGTAGAGAGGAAGGGAAGAAAATTGGAGCTGGGTCCGAGGTATTGGTGTTGTGGTTTCCCGGGATTCTCGAGCTTGGGCTTCTATCTTGGGTGCTGGCAGATTCGGCAAGTAGGGAGGAGTTGGGCACCGAGGGTCTAGGCCCTTAGTGGTTCGACATCTTTGCGTTTTGGGTGTCTTGAGCAAATCGGAGCAGGGGCTGGGTGATTAAGCGAGTCGGGACCTCTTTGTGCACGGGTATGTAGCTTGGGTCACGTTCGATAGCTGAGCTCTTGGGCTTGGCCTTTGGTGAGCTTAGGAACTTGCGGTTGTCTTTTTGTTTTTAAGCTCAGCCGGATCCGCTTGGTGCTGGAGCATTCGGCAAGCAGAGATTTGAAGGTGCCTTGAGCACTTTGGTTGAGCTGGGCACTCGGGTCTCTTGAAGTCATTTTTACAAATTTGGAGCTAGGCTCCTTGAGAGTTTTGGGGCTTGATCTCTGGGTCCTTTTTTTTTTTTTTTTGAGGTGAGATGTTGTTCAATTTTTTTTTCTTTGCCTCCATTTCGTTGCTGCCCATCCCTTGCCGTTCGGCAAGTTGGCTAAGGCTCTATGTTTTGTAGGTGTCGGCAAAGTGGCTGAGGCACGGATCACCTAGAGCTGGGTCTTGAAAGTAAAACCGGATATTTAGAGAGGCTGGGCCCTTCCTTTGTGAAGCAGAGCTGGGCCTTGCGTGGCTGGGCTTTCCTTTGAGAGATTTGGTGAGCCCTCGGATTTTGTTTTTTTTTGTGATTTTTCGTTAAAATCCCCATTTGGTTTTGGATAGCCTTGGTGAGCTTGGGCTTCCAAGTAATAGTGTCGGGCTTAGGCATAAATAAAAATGATGGGGTTTGGGCCTTTTAGACCTAAGGCATGGATTGGGTTAGCTCGGGAGGCTGGGTGCCTTGATCAAATTTTTGGGTTGGGCAACCTGGAAAATTGTGATGACCTTCTTGTGCTTATGCCCGGGCCTTGCCGTTCAGCAAGGTCCTTGGCCCAGCTTCCCCCTTTCTTTTTTTTTTTTTTTTTTTTTTTTTTTTTTTTTTTGAAATTGCAAATGCTGTGTAGGTACTCTTGTAACCCTAGGGCCTAGGGTTTGGGAGGGAAGGTGAAAGGGTGCTAGGGTTTCTCTTGTAACCCTAGGGCCTTATAAATAGGAACTTGGAGTGACGTAGGCATCATACTTGGAGATTTTTTGAGAAAGATTGTCAGAAAGTGAGAAGGAGAAAAAGATTTCTGGTGAGATTTTGGTGGTGGTGCAAACAAGGTTAGACCTCATTTCCCTTGAATTCTTGAAATGAAATTCAACTTTTTGTATGAACATGTTGAAGAGTATGATGAACACCTTGAGCATGAGTATGAACATGTTGAATGTATGCATCTAGATCAAAAAGCATGTAGAGGCTGTCCAATTTTGTGTTTTTGTGCTTAGATCCTCTTTGCATGTGCATTAGTTCCTTTTTCTTGTTTCTGCATGTTGTAGATGTCTGAGAGTGAAGAGGCCAGTGAGTATGTTTGTTCTGAAGAGGAGAGTTCCCAGACAGATAGTTTTGTAGAAGGGCTTATAGAAGCTAGGATGGGAGTTCATGAGGGTGAGATGGCTGGGCCATCAGTAGAGTCTGGGTCAGAGGCATATAGGAAGATGCAGAAGAAGTATAAAGTGTTAGAAGCCAGTGTTGATCGGGTTCTAGCCTTGGCACATACACCGGAGGTGGGCTCGAGCAATCAGACATCACCATCAGAGTCTGTGGGTATAGCCATGGTTTCAGCTTCAGAGGGGGTGGACATCCGGGTTGGTGTCCCGTTGGGAAATCGGAATACACTCACAGAAGCCAAGTTGGTTGAGCTTCGGACAGATTATAGTGTGCCATCCTATGTGGGCCTGAGGTTACCTAGTGCTGCGGATGTAGTGAGATATCCTCCGGAGGGTTCAGTGATGATATTCACCGATATGTACCAGCATGGTCTCAGACTACCGTTTCATCCTTGGGTACAGATGATGCTGGCCAAGTTGGGGTATGCGCCGGGGCAATACAATCCCAACTTTTGGCTACTTCTTCATGGAGTTTACATTGCTTGGTGGTTGGTTGGGTTGGGGGAGCCAACATTTGAGCAGTTTATGTACTTGTATTCGATCTCCAAGCAACAGGGGACCTTTGGCTGGGTACAAGCCAATTGCCGGAAGGCAAAGGAGAGAGGTTACTTTATTGGGCATAAGCCGAGTACGCAGAAGTCTTGGCGGAACAGGTGGTGCTTGGCCTATGGTGATTGGGAGTGTCCTCCAGGGAAGACCGTCTCCAGACATATTCCAACCCACTTCCAGTCGATAGGTCCTTAGCCCCATCCTTTAAGACTAGTTGTGTTGTAGTGTTTTGACGCTTGGGTCTTTATTTATGTTTTATTGTTTTGCTTGTGCAAGCATAAATGGCTAAGTTGATATCTGAACTGTGGTGCAGGTTCGGTGAAGTGGGGACCGATCTCCAAGGAGCGAGAAGACGAGGTTGAGAGAGTGAGGTCACTGTTGTCGGAGACCCAGCGTGAGCGTAGAAACTTAGTCACCCAGAAGAACCTGTACGAGTCCGGACTCTTGCAAGGGAGTAAGTACCTGGGTCACTGTTGTTGTTTGTCTTATGATTCATTTTGTAGTTGAAACTGACTTGGCTTTTGATGTGCAGTGGCAGGGATCATAAGGGGGGAGCACGAAGGTGGCCATGGATCTGGATGATCCCGAGATGCAGAAACGGCTGAGGGAGTCTCGGGCCAAGAAGGCAGAGAAGGGAGGTGCCCAACAGGCTGCTGGGAGGCGTTCCAGAGATGAGGAGGGCCTAGTCTCTGATGTGCTGGGAAAGAAGAGAGCGCTGGAGGAAGCTCACCGGAGCGTGATGGGGACAGGGCCGAGGCTTCCTCCCTTTGACCCGCAGGCGCCGCCGAAGCTCCCCTTTGGTATGGATGATGTTTACGCCGAGGGGGTAGAGAAGGTGGACTTCTCTGGACTGCGTCGGCAGAAGAAGGAGGTGAACCTGGCCATGCATCGGCAGGAGGTTCCCTTGGTGAACGTCTTCCTGGAAGGCGTGAAGAGTGACCCAGAGGTTCTGGCGAGGACCCCGGCTACCTCCTATGCAGATCGGGCCCAGAAGACGCTCCTGACCCAGGCCTATGTAAGTTGGCTTGCCTTAAGACTTTGTTCATATAATTCGAATTTGCCTTGAACTGATAATGTTGTGTGTTGCAGGCTTATGGTGAGATGTACGTGAATATGGCCAAGGCAGATAAAGAGATCCAGAGGTTGAAGAGGCGCAATGAGATGGCCAAGGATAAGGTAGCGGAGGCGCAGGAGGCCATCCGAGAGAAGAACACCCTGGTGCTGCAGAAAGCGGCGATGGCCAAGGAGATGGAAGAGCTGAAGCGGTCGAGGGCCGAGGAGGTAGCTGCTGCCCGGGTCGAAGCGATCGAGTCGTTTCGGGGTTCGGATGAGCTGAGGAACTACATCATGGATCAGATGGTGGCGATGCAGCTGGGTTGGGAGGAGAGGGTGGCGATGTTCAACCCTTCAGTGGAGATTAACTTTGACACGAGTGGCGAGCCTCCCTCATCTAGTCGTACCACTGATGTCGTTCCAGAGCCAGAGCCAGAGCCAGCCATTACGGATGCTCCATCGACTGAGTCCTGAAGGCGTTGCCTTCTTTATGTATTCTAGCTTTTTAGTTTAAACACTTGATGTTTATTTTGGTTATGTATGAACATTTTGCCTTGCCTGGGGCAAGGTTATTTTGATGTGCTATGATATGAGACTTGTTGTCATTTGATATCAATTGTGCTTAGCAAAATGGGAACCATGTGATTGATGAAAATGAGCCAGGGTCGGGCGTTCATTAAATATGTGCCGGAAGGCAAAAAGTACAAGAGTTGGTTGAGTCAAGGCTCGAGACCAAAGTAGGAGAAAACATAATAGCCTAGAGTCTAGGTATGTTTACTTATAGTAGTACTTGAGGTGATCAGCATTCCAAGGATGAGGCAAGGTCTTGCCCTTGGTGTCACGAAGCTGATAAGTGCCGGGGCGGCAGACTTTGGTAACCTCATAAGGACCTTCCCATGTTGGGCCCAAGGTACCTTCAGTGGGATTCTTGGTGGCCAAGGAAACCTTGCGCATGACCCAGTCCCCAAGTTTGAAAGCACGGGCTTTGACTCGGGAGTCGTAGTACTTAGCGATGCGCTGTTTGTACGCGACATTGCGCATGTTGGACTGGTCACGAAGCTCGTCAATGAAGTCGAGGTTCAGGGCTAGCTGCTCGTCATTGGCCTCGGCCTCATAGGTGGAGGTGCGGTATGTGGGCTGGCCAATCTCCACTGGTGCCACTGCTTCGGTACCAAAGGAGAGAGAGAAAGGTGTTTCTCCTGTTGAGGTCCGGAAGGTGGTGCGATAAGACCAGAGAACCTCTGGGAGTAGCTCCGGCCAGCAACCCTTAGCTTTGTCAAGCTTAGTTTTTAGAGTTTTCTTGATGATCTTGTTCACAGCTTCCACCTGGCCATTAGATTGAGGATGGGCTGGGGAGGCGAAGCAAAGCTTTATCTTGAGGTTGGAACAAAATTGCTTGAACTTTGCGTTGTCAAATTGCCGGCCATTGTCTGTGACGATGGTGTTGGGGATGCCAAAGCGACAGACGATGTTTTGCCAAACAAAAGTTTCAATGCGGGCTGCAGTGATGGTGGCTAAGGCCTCAGCTTCAACCCACTTGGTGAAGTAGTCCACAGCTACAACTGCATACTTGACTTGGCCCTTGCCCTCAGGCATAGGTCCAATGAGGTCAAGTCCCCATTGGGCGAATGGCCAAGGACTGACCATGGCTGTCAATGGCTCAGCTGGAAGTTGTGGGATGTTGGCAAATCGCTGACACTTATCGCACTTCTGGGTGAAGGTCTGGGCATCAGTGTGAAGTGATGGCCAAAAGTATCCCTGCCGAATGATCTTGTGTGCTAGGGAGCGAGCGCCTGAGTGGTTGCCACAGATACCCTCATGAATCTCTCTCAGGACATAGGTACCTTCCTCTGGGGTCAAGCACCGAAGGTAGGGGAGGCTGAAGCCGCGCTTGTATAGGGCACCATTGATGATCAAGTATCGGGCGGAACGATAGCGAACACGCCGCGCTTCAGCAGGATCAGCAGGTAGTGTCTGGTTCTGCAAGAACTGAGTGATGGGGTCCATCCATGTAGGGCTTTGATCAATGACACAAATGAGTGGTGCCCGTGTACTGGGCTGGTCCAAGAACTCGATGTGGATGTTTCGACCTATGCCCTGCTCCATCGCCGAGGCTAGCCTTGCCAATGCATCAGCATGACTGTTCTCAGAGCGTGGCACCTGGCCTATGAGATAAGCATTGAAAGTTGTAAGCAGGTGGCGGGTATGTTGGAGGTAGGCTGTCATGGAGATGTCCTTGGCCGTGAAGTCCTGGTTGACTTGGTGGACAACAAGCTGCGAGTCGCTGAATATTTGGATTTGCTTGGCGCCCATTTCCTTGGCTAGGCGAAGGCCGGCTAAGAGTGCTTCGTATTCGGCCTCATTGTTGGAGGCGTGGAATTTGAAGCGGAGGGCGTACTCAAGGGCAACCTTGTCTGGGGATATGAGAACGAGGCCAGCTCCACATCCCTGGGCATTGGAAGAGCCATCCACATACAAGGTCCACAAGGGCTGAGTTAAGTCTAGGGAGCCGTTGCTGGCGACATGGACCTGGTTCGAGGTAGGAGTAGGCGTGATTGCAATCTGAGGACTGGCCAGAGTATGGGGTTCGGTGAATTCAGATATGAAATCAGCCACGGCTTGGCCCTTTGCGGCTTGGCGGGGTTTGTAGTGGATATCAAACTCACCAAGTTCAATGGCCCACTTGACTAACCTCCCAGAAGTCTCTGGCTTCTGCAACACTTGCCTGAGTGGTTGGTTGGTTAGGACATGGATGGTGTGAGCTTGAAAGTATGGCCGGAGGCGTCTAGCCGAAACCACCAGGGCGAAAGCAAGTTTCTCAATGTCTGGGTATCGAATCTCCGCATCTTGCAATCCTTTGCTCACATAGTGCACCGGATGCTCAGCACCTTCATGTGGTCGAATGAGCACTGAGCTAACCGCTGTAGCCGAGACAGAAAGGTAGATGGTGAGGACGTCCCCAGACTCAGGGGTTGACAATAAAGGGGCTCGGCTCATGTATGCCTTGAGCTCGCCGAATGCCTGGTCACATTCTGCAGTCCAGGTGATGTTGCGCTTGCTACCCTTAAGTGCCTTGAAGAATGGGGCGCAACGATCAGTGGCCTTAGAGATAAATCTGGTCAGGGCTGCGACACGCCCAGTAAGGCTCTGAATGTCCTTGACCGTCTTGGGTATCGTCATGTCCAAAATAGCCTGGATCTTCTCTGGGTTGGCCTCAATACCTCTTTGGCTGATCATGAAGCCAAGGAATTTGCCGGAGGCCACCCCAAATGCACACTTGGTGGGGTTGAGCCGCATCCTATACTGCTTCAAAATGGTGAACGTGGCAGAGAGGTTGGGGATGTGCTGGTCAGCAGTGCGACTCTTGACCAGCATGTCATCAACATAAACCTCCATGGTGTTGCCAATGAGTGGAGCGAAGATGCTATTCACCAGACGCTGATATGTAGCCCCGGCGTTCTTGAGGCCGAATGGCATGACTTTGTAGCAGTAAAGGCCACGGTCGGTGATGAAGGATGTATGAGCTTGGTCCTCAGGATGCATGAAGATCTGGTTGTACCCTGAGTAAGCATCCATGAAGCTGAGGAGGGCTTGGCCAGCTGTGGCGTCAACTAGCTGGTCAATGCGGGGTAGGGGGGAAACTATCCTTTGGGCAGGCCCGGTTGAGATTTGTGTAGTCTACGCACATGCGCCAACCCTTCTTTAGTTTACGTACCATTACCACATTGGCTAGCCAGGTGGGATAATCCACCTCCTTGATGAAACCAATGGTGCTCAGCTTATCCACCTCCGCCTTCATGGCCTCATACCGCTCTGGGTCATAAGCACGACGCTTCTGCCGAACGGGTCGGACGACAGGATTAATGCTTAGCCTATGGGAGATGACGTCAGGTGATATGCCCGGCATGTCGTTGTAAGACCAAGCAAAGACTTCAGAGTTGAGGCGGAGGAAGGCAATAAGATCAGAGCGAAGCTCTTGTGAGAGGGAGGTGCCGATCCTGACCTGTCGATCCGGGATATCCTCATGGAGAGTGACCAGTTCAAGGTCCTCCACAGGTTCGGCCTGTTGGGTGGCAGATTCCTCCCTGGGGTCCTCTGGGCGCTCAGTGCCAGCTCGAGGTGGGGCTAGGGCCTGGGTTACTGCTAGGGCCTCACCCCTATGTTGGCGATTAGTAGACTTTACTGCTGAAGCATAGCAGCTTCGGGCGCCCAGTTGATCACCGCGCGCAGTGCCCGTGCCATAGGGGGTAGGAAATTTCAACAGTAACATATGTGTGGAAATGAAGACCTTCATCTGGGCCATGGCAGGGCGTCCCAGGATAACGTTGTAGGCTGTGGGGCAGTCAATGATGAGGAAGGGAGTGGTGACCGTCGTTCGCTGGGGAGCTGCTCCAATAGAGATAGGGAGATGAATGCTCCCAATAGGCTGGACCACATCACCCGAAAAGCTCACCAGGGGTGTGACGCTTCGGTCGAGCAAATGAGATGGGACCTGGAGCTCATTGAAGGCATCAGCAAACATCACACTGACTGAGCTGCCAGTGTCTACCAATATGCGCCCAACGTCAAAGTTAGATATGTCGGCGCGGATAATGATTGGGTCATCATGAGGGAGGATAACGCCGCGCTCCTCCTCCTCGCAGAAGGTAATGGGGGCCCAGCCTGTTTTTTGTGTCTTCGGCAAGCGTCCCTGCTCAGTACTGAAGACCTGGTGCGCATAGGTAGAGCGGACATAATGTTTGATGGAGTTGTTGGAGGTGCCAGCCATGGTTGGGCCACCACTGATGGTTGAGATCATGTTGATCTGCCGTTGGTGAGGGTTAGGTGGGAGGTTGTGCACGTATTTATCCAGCTTCCCCTCGCGAATAAGTCCCTCAATGATGTTGCGCAAGGCAACACAAGATTCGGTATCATGGCCACCGAACTGATGAAAGCGACAGAAGACTCCTGTGTTAGGCATAGGCTTGCTGCCTGGTTTCCGGGGTGGAGGCTGAGGTATGATAGGTGCCTCGTGCACTAGGACATTCTCATAGGTAGTGTTGAGGGTGGTGAAGACCTCGAACCTGGGTTTGGGTGAGAATGGGAGTGGGGCCCGGTCATTTGTCCTGGGGGGGTTGCTTCCACTAGACTGGTGGTGGTTCCCATGTCTGCCCCGCTTGTTATTGTTGAAGGTATGCTGGTAGCTATCCTTCCTCTTGGGGTGTTGGGCACCCTGGGTGCTTGGTGCAGGGGCAGAATGTTGGGGTGGAGCTGGGATGGGTACCGAAGCAGGTGGAGGATCAGCAAAAGGATTATGCGCCGGGATGGCTGGGCTGCGCTTGGAGTTGAAGTACTCAGCCTTGGCATGAACTGCTGCTTGCTTCATCAGCTCGGCATATGTGTTCCAAGGGTTGCTGTGGACCAGGTACCGGAAGTTAGACTCTCGGAGGCCACTCTTGAAAGCACCGAAGGCGGCACGATCATCAGTATCTGGGCAGCGGGAGTATTCGTGGCTGAACCTGGCTGCATACTCCCGAAGGGGCTCATCCTCACCCTGTCTAAGCATGTATAGGTCGTCCGCGGAGTAGAGGCGATCGGTCTGGATCATGAAATGGTCCAGGAAGGCCTGTTTCAGACTGTCAAATGTATTGATAGTGCGGGGGTTCAGCCTGTAAAACCAGTTCAGGGCCGCGCCACTGAGAGTGGAAGGGAAGAGGAGACACATGCCTTCGTCAGTGAGGCCCTTGCACCCCAAGGCAGACTGGAAAGAATGTATGTGGGTGAGAGGATCCTCTGTGCCAGTGTAGAAGGCGATGCGGAGTGGCTGGATGTCCTTCTCCTGGTGGTAATTAAGGATGCGTTCGGTAAAGGGCCCAGGTCGTGGCTTTGCCCAGAGAGGTTGGTGGTTGCGCTGATGTTCGCTCTCCAGGCGCCGGACTTTCTCGAAGAGAAGCCTCATTGCCGGGTCGGTATGAGGGAGAGTCTCGGGTGCTGGGGGTCTGGTGTGTGGGTGGCCATGGGCTGGGTAGAATTCTTCGAACGCCTCGGTGTGATAAGACTCGTAGTCTTCTGAGTAACCCTGGCCCCAGTTCTCTGAGTCCCCTATACCTTCTCCAAGGGGTAGTTGGGTAGGCTTTGGCGGGGGGCCCAGGTGTTTCATCTTTGGGTCTTGGAGATTAACAGAGATAAGATGGGGTTCCGTTTGACGGTCCAGGATACGGTCCCTGCAATCCCGGTAGACCTTTGTTGGTTCATGAGGCCGGTTCCTTGGTGGGGAAATGCGGAGAAGCCGCGACTTGGTCGTTTCCGGATAGAGGGGGCCTTTACCCTTGCTGGGCTTAGGCTGGGTTGGGACATTGTGGTGGGAGTGCTCCGGCTGGTTTGGCTGTGTACGCTCAGGTACCTGGGTAGGGCTGTGTTGGGAGCCTTGGGTCTGATTCATCTCCCAGTTACGCTTCAGTGTGCGGTAGTCATGCTCGAGCTCAACGTTCTTAGCATGAAGATTGTCATATTTCTCAGACATCTTGGTGACACTGGCGCGGAGGCTCTCCAGTTCTGCCTGGAGATTGGCATCTGCTGAAGGTCTTCTCTGGGAGGTACCCCCATGGGGGGTATGGTGCTGAGTCCCCTGGCTATCCTCAGTAGGCATAGCTGAGTGTGGAGTGAAGAAGAGGCGACGGGGCCGGATAGGAGAAGGAGCCAGCTGGGCTGGTAGAGAAAAAATGGGATTCAAGTATCGTTTCCCACAGACGGCGCCAAACTGTTGATGCTCTTTTTCGGAGAGGGTCAACTTAGAGAAAAAGGGATTTGCCTTCAGCAGGGAAAGGGTCTGGGCCTTTAATAAAGGCTAGCCTGCAGAAGACAAAAATAGGGAAGCAGTCGTCAAGCTCCGGGCACCGGTGTGGTGCCGGCCGAAGGCTCTCCGATGCTTAAGTCAGCTAAGAAGGGTAACTTTTGCAGAGTAATAGTAAAAGGCAGAAAAGTAGTTACCCCTCTTACTAGGGTACTGTTCCCTTTTTATAGGGAAGTGAAAGTTGGAGGTTGGTGTAGATTTCCGATGTGGGACTCTGTGCAAGTCGCCGCGGTGGTGACACGTGTCATGAGAATTAGGTTTAACAGTTTGTGAGCTTTGGCAGTCGGGAGTTTCGGCAGGTGCTTGGCACCTCGGAAGAGTGTCTTCCTTCGGCAGGAGAGAAGGCGTGTCTGCCTTGGTGCTAGTTGTTTTGAGACTGGATATGCTCGGTTGATTATGGTGTAAACAATATATATATATGTTGACAGATTTTCTTCTCATTAGTCATTGACTCATTGCTGAGAGAATTATCTCAGATGAAAATGGAAATATATTAAGCACCATTATACTTACAGAGTTAAGGTTGAAATTAGAGCTCTATGTATGCAAAACATTACACTGATAAAGGATCTTGTTCGAGGATTTCCTTTCCTGTAATTCCATCTTTCAAAGTTTTAAAGGAAACATTGTAGTCCTTCCCGGGGGGTGGATTTTGAGGGTCCACTGTAAATGGCTCACTAAATGGCACAACACTTTTAACCTGCAAATGAGTTTATAAGCATCTCAGAATCTACAAAAGCTTTTAACTTCCAAAAATAGCAAAATACAGCCACAGCACACAGCACACAATTAAGGGACATAAGTCGGGCTGTGACCTCAAATGTCTCGCCAGATGCATAGGGGCTTTCCAACGCAGCAACACAAATATGAGCAACCTCCTCTCTTGATATCTTACCCTGAATATATATATATATATATATTATAAATCATAACATTCAGATATTATTACTATTATAAGGGAAAGAAAGAGCAATACATGTCATCACAGGCATACAACAAAGAGAGAATAGTTATCTTCTATTTGATTATACACCGTTATATTGTCTCCTTGGTAAAAAATGAGATCTGCTCCGGCAGGCTCCTCAGTTAATAATGCACAAGGCCTCACAATTGTATATGGTATTCCACTTTCCCGTATTAAATCAATGTACAAAATTAAAGAGCTAAATCTAACCCAGAAAAAGAAAAAGAACAGAAAAGAGCTAAGAAGTAGTATTTTGAAACACTGATTATATATAAAAATATCAAATAGCTTGCATTGAATTAGTATGAAACCTTCAACTTGAATGTCAGGATAAATCCAATTCCTTTTTTAAACGAACAGCAGGAGGCTGTTTACTTAGATCAAGTCCAGGCCTGTCAGGTCGGGTAATTCCTGCAGAACCAACGTGTACGAACCCACACGGAACACAAGCAAAGAGGTTCTTTAAAGACTAAAACAGAAAGTGCACCTGGCAGATCAATTATGTTTAGTCATAAGAAGATAATCCAACAAAATGAAAAGAATAATGTGAAACCTGGGAGTAATAGGACTCTTTTAGATATGCTCGTATGCTTGATAATGGGAGCTTAAATGCCCTTTCCACAAAAGTAGGATTCAGTTTCCTATCAAATTCAAACTTGCTAAACATGAGCTGCCATAATTTTGAATCCCATCTATAAACATAGAAGAAAATGAAGTGAAAGAACAGACTAAAAGAAAGTGGCTGCAGAAGTGTGCCTGCAATGACATAATATTGCTGGGGTCAAAAAAGGTGGTGCATCTTATACAGTTCTTGCTCGAAATATCGGCTTCAATAAAGAAAATGGCACACGTACCTGGAAAAAATGCAACAGACCCACCCTGGCACCCAGACCCTAAACCCTAACGAACCAGACCCACCCTGGCACCCAAACCCGCCTAGCGCCGCCTAGACCCGCCTAGACCCGCCCAGCGCCTCCTAGACCCGCCCAGCGCCGCCTAGACTCGACCAGCACCGCCTAGACCCGCCCAGCGCCGCCTAGAGCCGCCTAGCCCCGCCTAGCCCCTCCTAGACCCGCCTAGCGCCGCCTAGACCCGCCTAGCACAGCCCTAACCCTCCTAGCTCAGCCCTGACCCGCCCAGGCCGCCTAGGCAGATTTTTCGTAATGCAGAATGTGGATTGGAAGGAATGGTTTCAACAAGAGGGGATGTGTACAGTTTTGGAATTGTAGTGATGGAAACATTCACAAGAAGGAAGCCAACAGGTGAGATGTTTGTTGGGGAAATGAATTTAAAGCAATGGATTGCAAACTCACTATTACCAGATGCAGAGGTAATACCAACTTGTTCTTTCTGAGTTCTATGCTGTAATCACACTTTTATAAATTGCCTGTGTGATTGTAGAAATGTGATGGTAGAGATGAGGATGATGGTGGTAAGACTCCTAGCTACCATAGCTGATTAGCCCAAGCTATGAGCACTAAAGTCTGGTGGTGGTGAGGAAGTTAAAGTTGTAATTAACAGTCTTTTTTCTGTTCTTTCATTTCTTTCATGATGGTTTTTATGTGTATTATGTTGATGTTTGGGCTACAGACCAGTGCCTTTAGTAGTAAACTAGCTTTCATCGTTTAGTCCGTCTGTTCTATTAAGTCTATTTTAGAGGTATTTACAATGTTAATTGAATTGTAGCCACCGAGTTCTTGCAAGGCCCTACAATATATTTATTATGTGATCTTCCTCTTTCATGATGGATATAGTTGATGCTCTCCAAGAAACAACTAGCATCATGGGTGGAAAGCATTTGAAAGTTTAATGCTGATTCTTGCGAATAATTGATATAGTTGCCTCCTAACCCACCCCAAGTGTGGCGCACTTAAGTTTCCTTTGTTTAATTGTCTCTCTATCTCTCCACAGTATTTACTGACTATTTAGTCATCTCACAACATTTGGGTCTTTTCGTTTTCATTATTCTTCGGAAAATATGTGTCCTCGTCTATTTGAAAAATTGTACTCTAGTTCCGTAGGCCGTGGTCATTGATTGACCACTCCTCATTGAGCATGTTGCCCTTAAATGCGAAGTGATACCTTTGTGGCACATGGAGGTTCAAGTAGGCCAATCTTCGAGCCAACAGTGTTCTCAAAACAGAGGCAGCGTCGCTATAGGATAAGGTCTCAGAAAATATGTATGCCTCATTCCGATTTGGACCTTCACCTGGATCCTATTTAGCTGCGCTACATTGCCTGCCACTGCGGCATCATCTGCATTTGTCTTGTTGGCTCCTGATGCAGCATCTATCTAATTGGCTGCTGCTGCTGCTGCATCATTGGTGGCTGCTGATGATGATGCAACATCTGAATCGTGGGTGAAATACAATTCAATCTGATTTGAGGCTGGAAGTATTTGATTTGTTGCTGATATGCTGCTGCATTGGCTGCTCTTTCATCATTTCATCATTGGCGGCTGCTAATGATTGTGCAACATCTGAATCATGGGTGAAATATTCAATCCGATCCGAGGCTGGAAGTATATTTGATTTGCTGCTGAGCACTGGCCAACGTCAGCAATTTGGTTGATCTCCTCTGTGCCTACGATGGTTCCCTCCTCTATGATGATATCCTCCAATTTGTAGGAGGAAGAGAAATAAAATAAAACAAATGGACACTAGTTTCTTAGAAGAATAGGCTCTTTCATTATAATTCAGCACACAAAATAACAATGATAAAGGACCTATTTAAAGACTTCTCTTATCATAACCGATTAACCCACTCTCATATCTTAGACTCTTTATCAACCCACTAATTCATGAAGCTGACAGTTTATTCAACTCAGTAATACATGAACTTATTAAATCAGAGAATAAGAAAAGACTCAACATAATAGCATATTGAAACTTCTTGAATGCAATAATGATGCATATTTGGTTTAATTCTCCAACACAATTTAAGTTCAGGAATGGGCAAGAGTTCTGCTCCAATTCCCTTCCGTCAAACAGTACTGTTATTTGCTGCTAATTTGTTATTGCCAACAGCGCTCTGAAATCCTGTATAAGTGTAGACTTCAAGACCTAAAAGAATCGTACCCGAAATTAAGGTAGTGTGCAATTTCTTCATCTGTCACTGTAACTAAGCTTGCATTACTTTTTCCTTTCGAACTTGAACTTCTTTCAATATTGAGAAATACTACTAAACTGATAGTTAGCTAGTTTGTATCTATACTTGCATTACCAATACAAAATTAATGAAATTACCTAGAATGTGTATGGGATCGCTTATTGCCTCCCATTTGGCTGCTTCCAACACTGGAAATTGATGTTAATGTTTTCTTCGAGGAATAAAACTTCTATCATTTGTTGGCAAAAAAAAATGTTACAAAACTAATGAAAGTATCTAGAATTAATTACCTAAAACAAAACAAATTCATCTATATCTTAACTTGAAGAGTGGGCCCCGGGACTTCAATCATCACTCTTATTATGCCATCGTGAGGACAAAGACACAACATATATCATTCAAAACCATATATATGTATCAACATTCCTCCAACAAATTTACAAGACACGCATCTCTCAAAAACAAAATATAAAAATAAATTGATAAATGTTCAAAGTATTCTACATCCCGTGTTTGGATCTCCATATTGGTGTCCCGCATGCGGTTGCTTTATGATCCGTTGTCACTCTCGAACTCCCTGCCTCACTAATATGACTATTGTTATTATTATTATTATCAGTATCAGTTGAGAAAACTCGGACTTGGATCTGGTTGCAAAAGTAGTGCGTGGAAATAGATTCAGGAGTTCTCCTGTTCCTCAAGTGAGCCCTATAACTACAGTGAACCGAAATCATGAGCCCGAACCTGAACGCCAGAGCTGTGGTGTTGTCATCTGAGATTTCTTTGGCCACATCATAGGGGACGTAAGCACTGAGCATGGGTAATTTGAAACTCACACTTGTCTGATTCGAAGATATTAATAACAACGGACGCAGCGAGGTCGATGCCAGCCTGAGGCCTGTGGGATTGTAGTTGAAGAAGAGTCCGTAGAAGAGCGCGGGTTGGAGCCTGTCGCAGTAGATGTCCCACTTCATGTTGGGGTTTGTGGCTATAAGTGTCACGTCACGCGGTTAAGTAGAGGAGGAGCGAGTCGCATTAATGTGTGGGTACTGTAGGGCCGCTGAGTCTACTCGGAACTCGGGGGCATGAACGCCAACGTGGTTATCACCATTAGGAACCATCTCTATTTGAAATGATTAATTGTTGTTAATGATTTCAGAGAGATGAATATTCAATATTCAGGGGGGCTTGTGCACTCACGGGAGTTTAGAATTGGATTGAGTTGAGGTGTTTTTTTTTCAAGGAGGATTTCTTTCTGTTGAACCGTTAGCATGCAATTGCAAAGCTGATTGGATAAGTTATAAGGATGTGTATATATATTCCTTCAGATCCAGATAGATAGTTAGTTAGTTGACTTGACTTGGGATGGATATTGGATTTTGATTTTGATTTTGATTTCTAGTTTGCAAAAGTTTAGGGGGGAGATTGGCTACTCTCACCACCAGCACCAGGGCAAATCCATAACCTCGAGCTGTAAGGATTTATGCGTGCGTGACACCCAACTGAATTATCTTGTATATTGAAACCTTTTGTTTATTTATCTTGTATATTGAGACCATTTGTTAATTTATTTATCTTGTATATTGTGACATTTTGTTTATTTATCTTTTAAAAGAAATAGTAACCAAAATAAATCTCCTTCTTCTGTCCAGTCCAGTCACTTTGCTACATATAATATATTTATATAAGAGGATTCATTATTGTCATGTAATTGTATTTGTTTTATAATGGTAAAGATTAATGATTCTTTTAGATCTAAATTGATTAATGATTTCTTATAGCGTAGCATAAGCTAGCGTGGTCAAAACTTGAGAAGTAATACATCGTTAGCAATATATATCATCCCACAACCTCATCACCGCTTATATATCTTCAGAGAATAAACACACACACACACACATACATATATAGTATTCTGTGGTGTGGGAAAAACGAGAATTAATCCATGTATTTGGTAATAGATGATGGTGAAATATTACATCTATAGCTAGCAATATCTACATAATATAATTTCATCGATTCAATTCATTTTAAGGGGACAATGCTATCTTCATAACTAGAAATTATCCTAATTGATCCGCTATCTTCCGATCATATCTCATATCACTATCAAGAAAAACAAAATCAAGTATTCTAAATCGTTTGGTTTTCATATCATAAAGATGCAATTGGGGTGGACCATCGTTATATCCCGGTGTAAATCTAAAAAAATAGCGCACGAATGCTAGCTCACCTGTGTGGATTGTACCCAAAGCTCTAACTGAGCACCCACCACGAAAGTACCGTTCGTCTCTGGGCATCAAGCTAACAGTCTGCTTAATCCAGACATGATTTTGATAGTCCTTCGAAATCCATAACACGATCCTGTCTGACTTGTCAACAAACACACCCACACATCCCCCCACCTCAACTACACGTGCACTTCCTCGGGGATAACAATCAGGATCACTTTCATAATCATCATAATCATCCAACACTTGAACATAATCTTGGGGCAGCGGCACCAATCTGAATGTCTCCTCTCTAACGTCAAATGCCACTATCACTTTCTGCTTCTTATATGGAGCCAATGTACCGCCCCATTGATGTACACTCCATCATTTCTTATCCCACGCGCTATATCAGAAAGAAGGTGGCTATGTTAGTGTACCTGCAATGGCCTCCACGAAGAATCCGTACCTATTGTGAATATGTTCAACTCAAAATCCCATTTTCTAAGTCCCCTGGGTTCAACACAGATGAACTGGAGAACCTTATACTCGTTTGTGAGTGGATTGAACCCAAAGTTATAGTTAGCGGATGCCTTGACCATGGACGATCCTTGTGTTTCTATAAGTACATCGGTACGGGGAATTTCGATAGACTCTCGAGTGGTAGGGTTAAGTATGAAAACAGGGCCAAACCAAGTTGATGCACAAACCAAGCCATGCACAGTTTTCTCATCATGAAAACTGCCTTTGACAGCTATGCACTGAGTCAGGTATGGAAGTTCGGCGACGGGTGTTGGAGCATTCCCTTGTTGCTCTATTTTCGACGAGAAGTAGCGGTTATTGTATTTGAAAAGGAAGTGAGTGGTGTCCCTGCAGCGAAAGTTCAAGAAGGCTGCGACAAAGGAAGGACTGCGGATGAGGGAGGGCCAAGACTTGCATACCCACCTGCACCGCATCATCAGATCCTCTGCTGGTAACCGTGGGAGTATATGCGAGAATATGATTTCAGTTGGAAGCTCTGGGATTGGATGATCATGATAAGCTTCCTGTAAAGTTTTGTCCACAATTATATATATGTAAAAATTAAGAAGAAACAAAGAGCAGCAAAAACGGCAATCATAAAATTTATAAATATACATATATACGTATCAATCTCGGATTTACCATGTTCCTTGAACAACTTTCTCTAGCCACCGAAAGACCTCCAACCACCAAGTCAAAAAAAGCCTTCAAATTAACCCTTAGAACTCAAAAGATCAGGAAGCAACAGAATATATAGCACGCTAAGAGGTAAAGAAGAAACCAAGAGATGCGATGCTTTTGCTTGGGTTTCCCTGGTATTGATAGGAAAACCAAAAAACCATAGTCATACAATAACTGGCCCACTCATATGGTAGACTTTTGGTTAGTTTTTTATCTATAGCATTGGAGATGGGCCTGACTGAGTCAACCTTTTGATATAGGGAAATGTTCGCTTACCACATCTTTATACCACATTGTGTACCACCTCTCTAATAGAGGTGGAGCCCACAAATACAAGCTTAGCATTACCCTTTGATATAACACAATTTCTTTAAAAATGGTGTATAGACTTCCTCTAAGCGTTTCTTATGTTGACAGAAATTGTTAGTGTCTCCCTCTCTCAGCCACCAAGTTCTCCATTGATTGTTATTGTTTCACAATTGGTCGGGGACGGTTAGTTCATTGCTCCTATTATTTCACAAGGAAAATTATTTAGATTTGAAGACAGTAGTTTCTATAAATAAATAAAATCAACAAACATGACGTGAATATTTTATAGGAAAATTAGGTATTAGACATTATTAAGTTTACTAATTAGTAAGTGAGATATTAGGTATTTTAGTTTGGGTTTTAATACTTCAAAAAAAATAGCTATTTTAGATTAGGCCAAAGGCTGGCCCAGATTCGTTGGGCCAGCTTAAAAATAACAAATAAAAGACAATTCTACCCTTTTCTCTTAAAAAGCATGGCCCATCTGTAAACCTACAAATTAAATGACGCTTTTGCCTCTGAACATTTAAACGACGCGCGAGTTTCTTCTTCGTTCGTTTTCGTTCGTTTTCTTCTTCGTTTCAGAGCTGGGTTCTGCCATTGGAGCTCAATTTTCTGGTAGGTTTTGCTTTTATTTTCTTCGTTTTTCTGTCTTCTTTTTTCTGCTACGTTTTCGTTCGATTTGCATGCTGAATGACTGTCAGTTTTGGGTGATTTCTGTTCTCCTTAGTTCGGGTATTTCGAGCTCAGTTTTGTGGCTCGATTTTGCGGCGCGATCTTGTGGCGTTCAATGCTAAACCCTATATTCTTCGTTTCGTGATCAGATTTGATTTTAAGCTGCTGTTTGGTTGTGGAGATTTTTGGCAGTCCTAAGTTTTGAGGTATGAGTACTTTAGAACCTGTTTTCGTTTATATCGACTTGTATGTTTATGGAATTTAGTTATAGTACTTTTATCGTGGTTTCCTTTTGGTTTCTATTCGAATTGTTTTGATTTTCTGTCATAAACTACATCTGTTTGTTGTAGTTTTGGTAGAAACTGCATTGCAGTTTCTTGTTTCATAATTCGATTTCAGACTAATATTTGGAAGTCTATTGGAATTTTACAACTGCTCATGTACATTATTTACTGATTTAAATTGTTTTCTGTTTTTGTTTGTTGTTTTGTTTGCATTTTCAAGGCTAATGGAGGTGTGTGTCATTGCCAAGTGCACATATAAGTCGGAAACCATGATGTTTTCAGTTTCATCAGAGTCATCCATGGTTGATATTTTAGATTAGGCCAAAGGCTGGCCCAGATTCGTTGGGCCAGATATTGGGAAAGGCTTGGGCAGCAACAGTTTTGCAGCTGGAGTTGTGCTTCCGCCAATTACAAAGAGGCCAGCCGGAAGACCACCAACAAAGAGGATCAAAGCTTTTGGTGAATTTAAAAGGCCATTGAAATGCAGTCGGTGTAGTGTTACTGGGCATAATAGGAAGACTTGCAAGGCTGTGATATGAACATTCCTTCTCAGTTGACGATTGCTTACGTTAGATATGGTTTAGTGAATGTATAGTCAGTTTCTGCATTGCACTTTTTGCAAAACCTGCATTGCAGTTTTAGTTGCTTTTAATTGGCTACACAGCTTCTAATTGGATATTATGATTCTTTTTTGAAGTTAATGAAAATTATACAATTGTTTCATGAGTGGATATTCGTTTTTGACTGCCATTGAATGCTTGTTTTCAGATTTGAGCAGATTTTGTTGCAGAAACTGCACTGCAGTTTCTGTTTATTTGTTGCAGATTTTGAACAGAACTTGTCCCATAATTCAATTTCAGAATACTTTTTGCTAGTCTATGGGAATGTTATAACTGCTCATGGAGTTAAATGTGTTTTGATATTAGTTTTAGTACTTTGATTATGCCTTTACCTTTTGAGCAGCAGTGCAGATTTTGACCAGAAACTGCAGCGCAGTTTCTTGTTCGAGACCAGAAACTGCAGTGCAGTTTCTTGTTCGATAATTCAATTTCAGAATAATTTTTGCAAGTATGTTCTCATATACCATAACTAGAAATATTTACAAACATCCACAAGAATTAAGATACATATTGTCTTGAGTTAACGAAAGGCAAATCACTAGAGACGATTAATTACACAGTGTTTGTGGTGTAGGAGTTTTGTGACATATTGTGCTCGATATTCATTCATGAATTTCTTGTCCACACTTTTTGGAATGGGCTGTCCTTGTGCTATTTTATCCATGTAGAACATGACGAACATGCCGCAATCCAACCTGCAAATGAATACGAGATTAGCTTTTGGTTTTGAATGATTTCAAATTGTAATGAATGGTTGAGTAGACACAATTCTTACGAAGATGAATTTTGTTGAGCACATTCTGTGTCATCCTCAAATGGAAACTGATATGGATTTTGCAGAATCCAATTTAGAGTGAGTTCTTCATTTGGGGACAAATCAACCTGTGCAGGTGTAGGGGGCCCTTCTTTTTGCTTCACAAATCAACCTGAGCAACATTCAAGAAGCACAGAAACTGCAATGCAGTTTGTGGTTCACTGCAATGCAGTTCACAGAAACTGCAATGCAGTTTGTGGTTCACTTTGTCTTTCACTAAAATGCAAAAAACAGAATATACCAGAAAATATGCATCTACTTGACATGAAATTGAAAGATCAGCATAGCCAAAACAAGAACTACAAAACATAACAGAAACTACATAACAACATGGCGTGAAATAAGCAACATTCAAGAAGCACAGAAACTGCAATGCAGTTTGTGGTTCACTGCAATGCAGTTTGTGGTTCACTAAAATGCAAAAAACAGAATATACCAGAAAATATGCATCAACTTGACACGAATTTGAAAGATCAGCATAGCCAAAACAAGAACTACAAAACATAACAGAAACTACATAACAACATGGCGTGAAATGCACAGAAACTGCAATGCAGTTTGTGGTTCACTGCAATGCAAAAAACAGAATATACCAGAAAATATACATCAACTTGACATGAAATTGAAAGATCAGCATAGTCAAAACAAGAACTACAAAACATAACAGAAACTACATAACAACATGACGTGAAATGGAAAGAAGTATAAATAATTTAGCAGAAACTACAATGCAGTTTCTGTTTTCTTCAGTGCAGAAAACAGTTTTGATGCTCTTTTGTGATTTTTCGGTTTCTAGAGGTTTTCAAACCAAAACTAAACCCAAAACCTAAACTACATTGCAGAATGACAGTAAGTAAAATTTCAGAACCCTAAAATCAAAGGCAAATTTGTGTTAGGGGTCATTTTCTTACGATTTTTTCCCCAAGAGAGTGCTAAACCCTTCAATCGTCGTCGTTGCTGGTCGTCGCTTCTGGTCGTCGCTCGTCGCTCGTCGCTCGTCGCTGTTTCAGATTTTGGGGGAATAGGTTGGAACTGCTGAAAGAGAGAATGAAGAATCGGCTTCGATCGTTGGTGGTCTTCGATGATGGTCGCACGAATGGGTTGGTGGTCTTCGATGATCGTTGGTGGTCTTCGATGATCCTTGGTGGTCTGGAGGTTTCTGGAGTTGAAGTTGAAGATGTTTCTGGAGGTGAAGTTGAAACGTCGCGCGAAGGAGTTGTGATTCAATTTTGGTTTCGGTTGATGTCGTTTTGGTTCAGTTTTGGTTTGATGTCGTTTTTCAGTTTTTGTTTAAAACTAAATACTGAAAATGGCATATGTTGTAATTTTCATATTTTGTAATGGTATTTTTGTTACATTTTGGTTTTTTTCCTTTTGCTAATTAGACTAAATTGTATTTCTTTCTACTAAATTAGTAAACTATATTATGCTTTAAAACTAAAGCTCCCATATTTTATTTAGCTTCTTTGCTGTGCGGTCTAATCACCTCGTTTCTCTAGTTTCCTCACGAGGACTGCGGTGGCACATACCCAACCGCGGCTGTACACAATCTTGTGAAAGTCATCATCCACCCACGACCGTACACAATCGAAAGATATAATTACGGCCAATGAACCATTAAGCTCAAAAGCTGCATATAGGTTTTTATGGTACAAAAAGGCAGTATTTATATTTAAGTTACTTGTTTTCTATTTAAGTTACTTGTTTTCGTCCCTATGCTCAACACTTAGGCCCTGTTTGGTTCATGGAAAATGAGACTTGAGGATGAGAAATCAATTATTTTCCCATGTTTGGTGAGTTCATGTATGGGAAGTTGTTGCCTGGCTCATGGGAAAGTAGGGGGAAAGTGAAGCCATCCTCCTAACTTGGGTTTTGTCTTCCCTCCCCTCATGGGAAAGTTTGGGAAAATAGGCATGCTTGCTAGATCATGCATCTATATTAAATAAACATTTTTCATGATCATGTTGTCCCTTAACAATTTATAATTACAATATATCATTAAATGCATTTTTATTTTATTTGATTTAATATGAGTATAATTGAAAATTTATACAAACTTTGTTTTCCATTCATATTCAAAATAAACATGGGAAAGAAATTAAAGTTATATTTTCCAGTTACTTTCCAAGCGTGTACCAAATGTGGGAAAAGAATCTTCCATTTCCCATCTCTTGGGAAATGACATGGGAAATGATTTCCCCTCAAATTCGTTCCGTGAACCAAACGGGGCCTTAGTTCTTACATTATTCTTAATTTATTTACATAACGTGGAAAGCAACTCAAGCAAGTACACGAACACAGCCACACCGAAGGCGGAATGATCAGAAGACAAAAACTCAGTAGCGGTATATAAGTTGCTTGTATGCATCTTTGTGATTTGAGTAGTAATCGATCTCCGCCTGCAAACAAAACAAATTGTGAAAAACATCATTATAAGCATTTCAATGAAAGGGCATGCTAATGTTTTCGAGGACATTTTGTAATGGTTGAAATCATTTAATAGGTCAGCATTTAAAAAATTACATCCAAAATGTACCTTGCGGATCCCCTTTATGGCGACCAATAGCTTTTCACCAATTAAATCTGTGAAGACATTGTCTTCCTCTAGAGCTTCTAAAGATTCAGAAAGTGATTTTGGCAACCTTTGTAGTTCTGCGTCAAGGCTAGAAGGATTTGTATCTGTTCAATGAAGAAATGTTACTAAGATGTTAGACCACAGTATCTAACATTCTTGAAAAGAAAAAGAACATAACCTCTATGGAAATTTTTTCTTCAAATAGTAGACAGAAAATGAAAAGAAATTAAAACATTGAGGATTATCGTGTCATCTTACCAATAGGTTCTGGGAGAGAAAGATGATTCCTAAGACCATCAATGCCAGCAGCGAGTATTGCAGCCAAGCCTAAGTGTGGATTTGCACACCCATCAAATGATTTGATCTCAAAGTTGCTCACCAAACCATGTTGAATTCCAGGTGGGCACGCAGTTCTTAGTGGAGCTTCTCTGTTTTCTTTTCCCCAGCACTTGTATGCTCCACTCCATGTGTTAGGTTGTATCCGGTCATAACTACACATCGATAATGGTTGAAAATAAGAGAGGATAGACCAAACCAAGCATTTTTCAAGCGAAATAAAAAGTATGAGAAGGCAGTCTCAGCTATGCTATTTCCTACTCAATTGCATAACAAGATAGTGAAACAATTGCTCCCAAGAACAACGATAAGTGCAATAATTCAGGGATAAATAGGATCACCTATTTGGAATTGGTGCTATAAATGCCAAAATTGCAGGAAGATGATGTAGAACCCCAGCCAAGAATTCCTCCCCAACCTTGGACATTCCATGCCGAGAGGATCCATCAGATCCCATAAATACATTTTGTCCATTCTGCCACAAACTGATATGCACATGGGCTCCAGAGCCAATTTCATCTAGAGCATACCTGCCCAAGAGACCACAAAGTTATGTAGAGTAATATGGACATCGAAGGACAAAAATTTCTACAGACCTACAGCTCATCAGCTGTCAGGTAAGAAGTAATGTTCAGCCAAGTTAAACATTGAGTCTCCATAGGCCAGAATTCACCTTCACACAAAATTCTAAAATCCAAAAATTCTTTTGGGCCAATTTTAAACTTCTTTTTGCAATGAAATAAGCATCTAGCATACGTAGGGAAAAATTAGGAACCTACTTTGGCATAAAAGTTGCCAACAACCCATGCTTCCTTGTAATCGACCTAATAACTTCACGGGTATAAATCAAGTTGTCAGCAGCATGCATACAAGCTGTGTGCCCCAGCGCCATCTCAAATTGTCCTTTTCCAGATTCTGCATGTAACTACAGTTTGTACAATGTAAATAGTACAGAAGCTGGTGATACTTGAATTGCATAATCATTTGGGAGGGGGCACTCTTAAACAAAGGATGGCCTAGAGTGCTATATTTTATGTAACTACACCTTCTGTTGAATTTTATTGAAATTTGAAAAGAAAAGAAAAACTTTCATATAAAATATCAGTAAGCATGGTATTATATGGAAAAGTTCCTCCTACAAAATACAAAAACAAGCAGCAAAGATATCATGAGTTTTCTTCCGCACCTGTTCAACAGTAATATTCAAGGAATGGAGAGCAGGAATAACTTCATGAAATAAATAGGAAGCAGCATCATATGATGATGTGGAGCAGAAGGGTGTTGAGTCAAATGGCACCAATTCTTCCTTCCCGTCCCTGCACAAGTTTTTCATTTGTTTTCCAAATTATCACCATGCTTCTAAAATGTTCAATTACAAATTTACCTAGAGACAGAAGTATCCCATACCTTAGTATACTTTTCAAGATAAAAAACTCATTTTCAAAGCCTGCATTCATTACCTGGACAAACAGCATTAAAGGTTTTTTTAAATTCTTTTAGTGAGATAGAAAACATATGAAACTTATTCATGGAAACAAGCAGTCCACCTACAATGTAAACATAAATTTAATAGCTCACATTGCAAACATCTACAATCAAGATCTCCTAAGTAACAGCAGTCTATCAATTTGCATGAATTGGAAAGAAAGAAAAAAGTAGTTTCTATCATTTAGAAGACCCGCATTCTTTTTCTAGATTACCCACCCTTAAGCCTCCTTTCTCAAGGGCCGGAGACAGAAATAGCATTAAAGTTAATTACCAGAGTTATCCAAATGTCAGACACAAACTATTCAACATACCAAGTTAAATTCATCTTTCAAAATTTTTGAAGCCCTGCGTAAGGCCTCTCTTGGGCAGTATTCCCATGCTTCACCTGGTTTTAGGTGCATGTCAGCCAAAACCATTTCCTCTTGTTTTATCCTGTTGAGAAAAATATTGGTATTAAATAAAATAGTGGCAATAAATATTTTCACCTGTGCCAGATTTTACCTGATACAGAAGCATATATAAGTCGGAAAATAAATCATGTCTATGGCTACAAATAGTTTGTGTAACTGATAGTATCTTAACAGATGTGATTATGCAAGGACATACTTGTGTGAGGCTGTGTGTATGTATGCATAGATTTTTCTACTTTATCAAAAAGAGTGTGTAGTAGTACATAGTATATCACCAACTACTGCATGCAATCATAACAAACTACAAAGAAAAAAAAGAGAGGTTTTAACTTAATGTGTAACGAAAATAATAAGCTCCTATAAGAAAAAGTCTAATAAGCTACACATATCATTTCAGTTATACTATACTAAGATAAATACATTGTTACTTAAGAAGACATATGTAGTGTAAATATTTATTTGAAACCTCAGCAGAGCTATTCAGTACCATGGGATTCTCCATTTAGTCGATAAATCAGGCATGAGTCTGATCTCACCCACTCCAGTCAAATTAGTCTCATCAGCCGGACCATCAGTGAATGAAGTCATTCCCATAGAAGCAAAAGTCAAACCAATGCCATTTTTTGTAACAACATAATTGAATCTATTTTTAGGAACAACCTGAAAAGATGGACAAATGGGACAAAAGAAATAAAAATTAAAAATAGTCCTTATCCTATGCAAATTCAAGAAGTCACCTACAAAACTAGAAATTGTTTAGTGGGATAACTTCCCCATTATAAAAGAACATAAGTATGCCATTCTATGAAAAATCAATAGCCACTGGTTTCGTACAATCATTTACTGTACAAGCTTGCTTCAACCAAGAAGGGATAACTAGTTGCACAGGTTGTATCTTTCATTACACAAATTGAATATATCAAATACCATGGATAAAGCATACGAAGTCATGGTTGTACGTCTGGTATGCTATAGTGCTCTAGAATATGGATACCGTGCCATGCGTGAGTATGTGTGTGTGTGTGTGTGTATCCTTACACTCTCTCACAAGAATATAACAAAAAAAGTACTCACCAATTTTAAAACTTAAACCAAAAGGAAAAAACTCACACGACATCTTTGTTGTCCGGAAGCATCAGACCAGATAACACGAACAAATAAGACATCATCTTCTGAGTCATTACCGTTCACTTTCACAAAGTTAGGAGATACACGATTCTCTGACCCAGAGGATTTGACAGAATAATTAATCTTGTAAAACTGAATTGCATTTTGAGAAAAGATGTCTTTAGCAGCCTCAATAGCTTCAGGAATTGAGAGATCACCATCAGCACAAGCATCACGTAGGACAGAAAATACAACTTCACGTGCTTTTTTTGCACCTGTCAAAGATGAAGTGGCACTTGAAGTGATTACCTGCACAAAATATCTCTACATATACAGTTTATAATATTATTATAACAAACCTGAGTAGAAAGTTTAACAAACCTAAATAGAAAGTTTCAGGAAATGCGTAGCCATCAGTGCTGAACATCACCTGCGAATAAATTATGTTCAATACCCAATGTTTTATTAATGCATTTATTTATTTTGGGGGAATGGGAGCACACATGTACATGGGCATGCACATGCACAAGAAACATCTTTTCATTTTTCTACTCGATACCAGGACCCTTCTGCCGAATTTTCAGAGAACTTAAGATGAATGTATAAACAAGACAGAGAGATACTTTCAGTCAGATCCTGGAAGAATGTCCTAATAACTAGACTGCTTCAATGGAGTTTATTGACAAGAAAAAGTACATATACCATTGTTAGAGTTTACCAAAAGTATTGTATTTACTCCATAAGCTCGCATAGCAAGATATTGTATGATAGTGAAAAACCACTCTATGTGTTCTTAGAATTATAATGCACAGTTCCTTAATTTATTCTAGGCTTAGGCTTCATGAGTTGTTACCTTCTTAATTGGAGCTAGCTCCAAAAGTTCTTTGACTGAAGATATCATCCCATGGACACTGAGCTTAGGTACAGCCAAACCAAAGTCAAGGTACACCTGTAAGTGAAAATGTTTGTGACCAGCAAGGTTATACCGAATGTGCAGAAAAATGAAACTCACTGAGAACTACAAAATTTTACCTGGGGATAAATGGAGGCTAGATATGATGCTTCTTTTGAAAATGGGTAGGATGCATGTAAAAGAACTATACGGCATTTAGAAAATCTCTTGTCCTCGAGCACATCCCGAAGATGAAGAGGATTGGATAGCCGCATATCCAAATCTTTGTCGCCAAAACTAGTTACAAGTAAAGAATATCAATTATTAATAAACAGACAACATAATTTTGAACAATCATAGTATCATAAGGATTGAAGTACTTTTCTATTCTACTTCAAAAAGGACAGGGAATAATAGAATCTGTTTTGTGATTCCTAGAACTTATACATTACATTATTAATATAGATATCAACATAAAATTTAATTAATTTCCTGACATAACCTTCAGAAACATTCCTTCAAACGGAGACAACAAATTCTAAGTTTTCAGTTCCTTTCTATAAGTATCAGCAATCAATCAAAGTATAATGCAAAACAATTTTGAGAAATTTAAAACTTCCAATTACCCTGTATGTATCTGCATCGGCAAGTCAAAAAGTAGAGCAACCTCCAAACTACGAATGAAGACATAGTCGATAAAACTTTTATTTGATATGCGAACAGGCTTTGCAGCTGGAGAGATAGACTAATCAGTATACCTTGTGGTTAACATAGAGAAAAAAAAACCCCATCCAAATGTGATACTCACCATGTAAAACCTCAGCTAGACCTTCCTCAGCATCCTTCTTAGTGACATTTGTATTAATTTCCAGCCCGCTGCGGTATGCAGCTATACTTTTCAAGCCAAAAATCTTAGCACCAACTGTAGCATAGTTGATAAGGAATTCAACAAAATCAGGGAGTTACATTTTTACACCAGTGGATGACAAAGTGACATAAATATCCCACAGCTAACTAAAAGGATATGACTTCAACTTTCCAACAAATATTTCGGTGAAAAAATCCAATGTCCAAGAAGATCCAACGGGCAATTCCTAAAAGGAACAGAAAATGGCAAGAACAAATAATTACTATGTGTTTGTTGCTCAGTCAATCAACATAACTAATGATATCATCTATAATACTTATAATTACAACCCAACAACAAAAATGCCTGATAAACTGTAAACATAGATAAACATTAAAAATTAAAAAATTAAAAAACTAGCTGAAAGCATCAAACACTCATCCAAGAAAAATAAAAATGAAGATGCATAAGGTGTCTCACTCACTTCATTAAGAATCTCCTCAGCCAGATGTTCAATTCTCAAAATTTTTCCAACAACAGGTGCAAAATTCTTATGCCAATCTATCTCATGCTTTCTGTCCAACCTCAACCCATCATCAATGAGAATGGCGGAGATTCCTGCAGCTCTGAAGCAAGTGGAGCTAATCGACTGCAATCCGGCGAGTCTGCGATGTACTTCAACTCCATGCAAGGTCTTCTCACACCCATAGAGCTCGGCAACATCCTTCAAATTTCTCTGCAAGACAAAACGCAGCGTTTGGCACATATCAAAAGTTCAGCATCTCGATTTGACAAAACAGAACATCAGATAGATACGATACGATCATAATCAACGGATAATTCAGTGTCGTTGACTTGAGTTTGACCGCGCCTAGAGGCGTAAGATAGCAGGGAAGCGTTGAAGGGAGGCGGAGACTGGAGAGAGAGCAGTGCGCATACCTTGAAGGAGAGGGAATGGGGTGCGTAGGATAAGGCGTCGCCGTTGGCTTCAGAGAAGCCACTAATGAAGGGTAAGGCAGAGTCAATAGAGACGATGTTGTGTGCGTGGGCGTCGACGAGCTCCGCCTCCATCACCGCCTTTCTCAGCTCCGTCAAATCCATGCCGTCGACTGTTTCTGCGAGCGTTGAACCGGGAAAGCTTGAGGTCGTCAGCCTTTCATAAATTATAACAGACGAAATTTTTTATTTTTTATACCGAAAGAGAGATCATGGGTTTTTCTACTTTTGTCTCTCAACACATTCTTCAATATGCCGGTTTTAACGGTCCAAAACTGTAATATCACTTGTGCATTTTTCTCCTCTCTTGTGGTGTAGGGATTTTGAACCTTTATCTATATGGGTATAAATGGAACAACTCCAATAAAATAATCTTGAATGTTAGGTTGGTTGGAAGAGATGGGCTCAGATATAAAGTAAGCTAGTTTGCTAGGCTAATGTCTTCATTGGCTGTGAAAAGAAAAGGAAAAACACAAGAGGTCGACTGAGAGCTTGCCGACTTTTACCGTTTGAGAAAAATGTCGTAGAAAAAAAAGTATGGAGATTGAAATATTAGAATCGTCGTTGACAAACAATTAATCTTGTTAGCTTACATGGTGTTATAAACTCACACATATTATAACACGTGTATTTTCACTTTATAAATTAGTCATTCACTGATATTATAACAAGTGGATTAGTAACACCAACTACACGGCACAACGAAAATCACCACAAAAAATTATTCATATGTAGTATCGATAGGAAGAGTACCATGATAGCACCAGAAACTAATTTAATGCAAACACACACCTTTTTAATTTAGAATGGGAATTAAAATTCTTAACTTGGTGTTTTAATTTTCAAAGCATTTACTGAATCTTGGTGACAAGACCGACGCTAGCGCTGGGCAACTTGATCCTCTAGCTCTTATAGCTGTATATGCCCATAGAAGATGAAAGCGACCTTAATTTTCTTTGTGTCTGACTTTATATTGGTTTGATTTTAGAGTTTTCTTTTTTGGGTTTACATGACAATCATTATCTCACCATCATATATTGCACGCTTTATAAAATATTTGTATATCTCATTGCATACAACTTGTTCTTTTGCAGTTAAAAAGATTGTAGGTCAAGTGGTTAATTAAGATCGTTCTCTCTTGTACTCGAGGTCCTTCATTTCCCCCCTTTTCCAATATTATTTGTATAAAAAAATAGTTAATATAGCTTTGAGATTTTTCATTACGTAAATTAATAATTAGTAGTAAATACATAATAATAAGGGTAAACTATAGTAAACCCCTCAACTTATAGGGTCATTTACTAGTGCATACCCGATTTTGGGGACATTTACGAGTACATACTCAACGTCGCGGAAAACTTACAATTTGCCCCCTCCATTAGTCAAACCATTAGTGAATCTGTTAAATGCTGATGTGGCAAAAGTGGGACCTATTTTTTAATTGACGTGGACTTACAGGTGGACAAATAAATAATAAAAAATTATGTATATCTTAAAAATAATTTTTAAATCATATTAAAATCATTAAAAAATGAAGGAAAAAAATATAATCTCTCTTCTCCTACCTAGCCAAACCCTCTCTCTCTCTCGACTCAACCCCACCTCTCAGCCACCCCTCTCCCGTCGCCCACCACAACCCCCACCCCCAAACCCAACTCTCTTTCTCTCTCCTCCCTCCCAACTCACCTCAACTTCTCCAAAAAGCTGTCCAGAAAGCTCATTCTTCTTCTCCAGAAAGCTGTCCATAACAAAGCTCATCCATAAAAGAAGAAAAATGGCTTGGGATATTTAGGGCCAGTTTGGCATTGCTGTGTTGTGAAAATAATCGCTGCCAAATTTGCTGTGAGAGAAATCAGCTGTGAGAGAAAGCAGTTTGGCGTTTGGTAAAATTTTTGTTAAAAGTGCTGTTGGTATTGATTTTACGCATAATCAAAAAATGATTGCCGCATAATCATTAAACCCAGCGCATCTTTGAAACTGATTCCTGCATAATCAGAAAATGAAAGCACCTCATTAGCTGCTTTCCCTTATAGCTTTCTCTCACATCAATTTTTAACAATAAGTGATTTTCTCACAGTTTACCAAACAGGTTGTGCTTCTCAAAATTTTTAAAAAATCACTTATTACCCCCAAATAAGCAATGCCAAACGGGCACTTAATATATGAAAGAGAGAATAGGCCAAGTTCATCCTTTTTGGTGTGAGGAATATTTCTTTACAGAGCTTTGTTTTTGGACGTAAAAGTGAGATTTGGACTTCAAGAATCAATATTGAAACCCATAATCTTTACCCATATGAGAAATTTGGGATTTGAATGTAGGTCATGGAGTCACAAGATCATGGTGATCAAAGAGAAATCAATGGTGTAAATAGAGTAAAGAGAAAAACAAAACATAAGGAAGAACTAGAAGATTTTGGGCAAGAATTGGACAAAATCTTTACGGTTTTTTCAAAGCACCCATTTTGTTTTTCTTGACGACTTTCACTTCCCAAATCATATTTTTCTCTGAAAACTAGACAAAGCATTGGTGGTAGATTTGACAGAATCGCTATAGGCGCGTCGGCAATCTTTTCTGCTTCATGCTGCATCGTCTTAGTCGGTTTGTGCAGATCGGAGGCTTGTCATTATGACGATGCTGACGGTGTCGCTTGGGGATATCAGGAAAGTCTCGAACCAGGCATGGCAGAGACTGCCAGTTTTCCAGATCTGAGGCTTGTGGGTTTGGTGGTCTAGATCGCAGGGGGGGGGGGGGGGGGGGGGGGGGGTTGGTTTGGAGGTTAGGATTAGAGAGAGATGATGCAGCCCGAAGCTGAGGAGAGAGAGAGAGAGAGATTTTTAAAAATAATTTAAACAGTAAAATAAATTTTTTATTAATTTTTGGTCCACGTGGAAGTCCACGTCATCAAAAAAAGGGGTCCCATTTTTGACATGTCAGCATTTAACAGACCGACTAACATTTTGGCTAACGGAGGGGGTAAATTGTAGGTTTTCCGCGACTTTGAGTATGTACTCGTAAATGTCCCCAAAATCGGATATGCACTCGTAAATGACCCTATAGGTTGGGGGGTTTAATGTAGTTTACCCTAATAATAAAGTGGAGTATTCCATTTTGTGAGTCTTGAAAATGAAATGCATATGAGTCTTTCTCTCACGGCAGATACAATATTATCTTTAGGCTCGTCACGAGAAAATATAGAATAGTACTCTATTACCACGTCAGCTTATAGTACTTCCATTCAAAATATGCTATGTGTCATTTTTTAAAAACAAATTATAGCTTTTTTTACAACTGGATTTAAAATTCTTTTTATTTATTTAGAATATGATTTTTATTTATTTAAAAAGTTAAAGAACCCAAAGACGCCGCTGGAAACCACCTCCCACAACCCAATCCCCATCTTTGTACTGCCACCTAACCCAATCACCCCTTCAGGGACTGAACATGTTTCTATAGTATGCAGGTAATTCTTTTTCGGTTTGTTGATCATCATTTGTACAGAAACTACAAAGGGGATCATCAGTTTTCGTGATGATCCGGCAATCGATTTCTTTCCTTCTTCTCTCTGATATCCTCCAATCAATTTCTCGATATCATTGCTCAATCTTTGTATGGGTTTTAGTTTCCAGTGCTTTTTTATGTGGGTTCTTGTTTCAGATTAACCAAAACCCTTGGGTGGTTGGTTGGGTGGCAGTACAAGGTAGAGAAGATTGGGTTGTCGTCGTGCGAGCTGGTTTCTGGCATCTCGGTATATATATTATTCTAGAGAGTAAAAGTCCAGCTGTAAAAACAGCATAATTTATTTTTTAAAAATAACACATGTCATATATATATATATAAAGTAAAAGACAGAGAATGATGAAACATTCAAAATATCAGAAAATGCCATTAGTTAATTCAAATATTAAGAATTGAAATTATTAATTAAATGAGGATAATATGGTAAATTCACATTTTTTAATATTAAAAAAAATTAAAATTAAAAACAAAATCAGATACCAAGCATTACTAACTACCTATGTTATCTTTTTTTAATTCTAAAAATAAAATAAAATAAAAAAGAAAAAGAAAACCAATTGGCACATGCATCAAGGGGCTAGTATTTTGAATGAAAGTACCATTAGCTGACATAATAGTACAGTACCATTCTATAATTTCTCGTCCGTCATGTGGTTGCATATGGCAAGCAGTTTTCCATAGACTGTCTGACAAAAGCGTAATCCTACTTGCATTCAATGTTTAAATGCCAAATGTCATACGATTTTTCCAATTTGCTAAAGTCGGGCTAGCTTCATAGGATAAGGATTCGCATTTTATGGAATATACCAGCTGTACGTAGGGATAATGAAAATACTTATAATTAATAGTACAAATATAAAATAATATTTCAAAAACAAAAATATCAAAAATATTTCCATTTAAAAAAAAACCAATAATACATATATTTTTTTATTTTTAAACAATTCATTGAAAAATTCCAATCATCTTGCACTATCTATATCCTCGATACTTGTAGTTATAGACACCGATATACAATAAGAAAAATACTTGGCTCATTGTATTGTATGTAAGAAACTATTCCTCCTTGCAAATAAATTACAATATAATATGTATACATAAATTCTCGCTAGTGATTATGTTTTTGTTTATATAGGAAGGAGCTAAGGAGGGCATCCAACACTTTTTGGGAGATAATTAATTTTGTAAATTAGACTACAAATTTTGAGGGGAATTAATATTAAATGAGGCTAGCTAGCTAGCTAGACCAGTCCACCGACTTAACTTGGTGATTTTCCAAGCAAGTGCAAAAGGTCCATACGACAACTTGGACACGCAAGTTGCAATGTGCAAGACAACAAAAGGTTAGGTTGCACTTGAAGCCTATATATAACACGCCCCCTCTTGCTTACCAAATTTCATCTCAACTTAATTCCAACTTCCAAGGATATAATTTGTTTGGCAGCAAATTTCATTCAATGATAATGAACACCCAAGCACTTCTCAGCCTCACCTTGGCCCTCCTCTTCGCAGGTAAACATAACTTCCTCTGTTATTTTCTTTTTCCTTAACATCTAAATATCCACATATATATATGCATTGGGCTCCAAATATTTGATAGGCTAAAAGTATCTTCAACCGATATGTCAAATTGTCACATTTTTTTCAAAGTCTCAAATTGCCACATAAGCCATCAAATTCAAATTTAACATTTTGTATTTGATATCTCCTTGAAGATGCTCCAACAATGACGTTTATGAGAGAGCTAGAAAATTTTCACACGATGGATTGGACTATAATTTCACGTAGATATGTTTGTGGTTATAGTATCAAATTAATTATAAACTCATTATTTTTTTCTTGGCGTAATGCAGGTGCTCATGCAGCTACGATTACCTTCACAAACAAATGCTCCTACACCGTATGGCCAGGAACCCTAACCGCCGACCAACAACCTCAACTGTCCACCACAGGCTTCGAGTTAGCATCCCAAGCTAGCAGCTCAGTGACCACTCCAGTCCCATGGAAAGGCCGCTTCTGGGGCCGAACTGGATGCTCCACCGACGCCTCCGGAAGGTTTAGCTGCGCCACAGCAGAGTGCAGCTCCGGCCAAGTCACATGCAATGGAAACGGCGCCATTCCACCCGCAACCCTAGTTGAAATCAACATTGCAGCCAACGGGGGCCAAGACTTCTACGACGTGAGCCTCGTCGACGGCTTTAACCTTCCCGTTTCCGTCTCTCCGCAAGGCGGCACCGGCGACTGCCAGACCTCTACCTGCCCCGCCAACGTCAACGATGCCTGCCCGGCTGAGCTGCAAGTGACCGGGGCCGGCGGCGTTATCGCCTGCAAGAGTGCGTGTACGGCTTTCAACCAGCCTCAGTACTGTTGCATTGGACCTAATGACCAACCATCGACATGCCCTCCCACAAACTACTCTCAGATATTCGAGAACCAGTGCCCTCAGGCTTATAGCTACGCTTACGATGACATCAACAGTACCTTCACATGCAGCGGTGGACCTAACTACCTTATTACATTCTGCCCATGAGCCTACAAATTAATATATAGAAACTGGAAAAGAAAATATAAACACATATATACACTCTCTATATAGAAATATTTCCCTTTCTATACTTTCGATGAAATAAAAAGTACGTGGTCCGGTGCTACTGCTAGTACTGGTTTTAGCTGGCAATGAAAGCACTTTTTGAATATTTGACGATATTTGCTAATCTTTCAAGATTATCAAGAGCTAGCTAATGGATATGATATTTACGTGTATTATTTATGTTTTACTGATGTATTTGAATTTTCCTAAGGTTATTATTTTTTTAGGATCTTTGAGATGGGTGATAATATATTAAACTTACCCACAATACACAAATGCTAAGACTCGAACCCAAAAACTTGCCTAAAGAAGTAATTGCTCCGAACCAAGGGTTTTCTTAAGGTTTTGTCAACCTTTGTAAAGAAGGGAAAAAAAAAACTAGTATGTGCCTGTTTTACCAATTTTACCCCCATTAAAAGAAATGCATAACAAATGTAACAGAAGGTAAACAAGTAATCATAATTTCTTTTTCTGAAAATTGAAATTATATATTTTAAAATACGAAGATGTTTAGATGAACACATGTCTTTTTGTAAGTAGCTGGGTAGAGTAAAAGAAGACTCACTTTCAAATCAGACACCAGACTGCCGAATAACGAAAAATAAATAATGTCACTTTTACCCCTACTAGAGAACCGTTATAAGGGTAGTTTGGTAACTCAAATTTGTCCTTCCCAATCCAATAAGGAAAATGGTAGTTCGACAAATAGAAAATGAAATGGTAAAATATCATATGTGGCCTTGTCCAAAATTCCAAGAGCCCCTCAAATGGCTGCCACAGCGTCATTCTCTTCAGCCCGATTAGCCCAAAGCCCATTATCTTCTACGGCTGCTGGACGTTACGTATATGCAATCTGGGCCTAATTTTGACGACAGGGTTCTTCAGAGGCAAACAGTTCCCGCGGGTCTGCCCAGAGATGGGAGTAAAATTATTCACTTGAAAAAGATGGCACCGAGTCAGATCTGTGCGGCAAAACAATTTACCGTTTACCGTTGAAAGTTTGCGGGGCAAATAGCTGCAGGGTCTTAAGCCGTGGCTTCTTCTCGAACATCGCTTCCCTTTTCTTCTTCTTTTTTCTTCTGGTTATTCCATGGCGTCATCAAGCTCTGGAAGTTCAATTCCCGCTCTAGGTACTTTCATTGTAATTTATTATTATTATTATTATTTTGCACATTGCCACTCTCTGATCTTGAAAATTTGACCGTTTGGTGAGCTATCATCGCAGAGGCTGTTCAAGTTCTGGTTTCGTCACTCGCTGATGAATCCCCCATGGTCAGAGAGGCCTCCATAGCCTCGCTCAAGGACATTGCTGCCCTGTACTCTCTCTCTCTCTCTCTCTCTCTCTCTCTCTCTCTCTATATATATATATATAATTGTGTGTTTATATGTGTATATTGAACTGTAATTGCCATTGCAGGAGCCCTCTCTTAGTTCTCGATTGTTGCTCGGCCAGTTCGCGAGGAGGACGTCGGGTATTTTTCAGTTCTTTGTGTCTATTTTCTTGGAATTGAAGTTGGGGTTTGTTTCGATATATTTTCAATTGGAATGTGTGGTGTGATCGGGGTTTTTATTTTTACTATGACGGGTTCAGCGTTTTGGTAACATGGCTGGGGTTTTCCAAGTGATGGCATACGGAGTCAGAGCCTTGGACAAGGACGAAGTGGACCCTCTTTTCATGTCTAAGATCGCGAAGATTGCCACCGCAGAGATCATCTCCTCCAAGGTACCTTGTGTTCTTCATCCGGATGATGCTCCGTTGATTTCTTAGCAGAATTACTTGCGTGATTTAATTGAAGTGTTTTGTTTGATATAGGAGCTCAATACAGACTGGCAAAGAGCTGCATCAGGCCTTCTTGTTTCAATTGGCTTACATTTACCAGACCTAGTAAGTTTCTTAGTGTAAGCAGAAACTCACATTTTCCTATCTTACACTTATGCTATGACTTCACTCACTCTCTCCCACTCCCTCCCTCCCTCCTGGTTCTCCCTGAGATTCTTCATTAACCTTTTCTTCTACTCTGTTTTTCTTTTATTTTCTTAATTTGGCAGATGATGGAAGAAATTTTTCTACATTTACCTGGGCCAAACTCAGCTTTACCAGCTATGGTTCAGATACTAGCAGACTTTGCTTATGCTGATGGTTAACTATTAAACTATCATTTTGTTTGTGCTTTTTGTGGAGCTTGGGGTTTTCATATGTTATTGCATTTCTTTTTTGGCTTAAACTAAAATGTGTCATACCTTATTTCTTTTGCTTTAATTATATTAAAGCATTGCAGTTCACCCCACGATTGAAAAATGTGCTTTCACGGGTTCTACCTATTCTTGGAAGTGTACGAGATGTCCATCGACCGATTTTTGCTAATGGTATGCTGAATTGTCTTTGGCCTCTTTCTCCTGTTGAATTTCTCTTTGCCTTCTAATATTGTGAAGTGAAATTGGAGTTTACCAACATGTTTTCCGGTCTCCTTGGAATTAACTGAAACAACTTCATCAATCTGGCCAAAAAAAGAAAAAGAAAAAAACTAAGTCTATCTGTTTGATAGAGAAAAAAAAGGAAGAATATCTTAAATTGATTAACTCATGGTTAACATGCTTGATTGCCTGGTCCACCATGGCTTACTTAACCCATTCTCGTTTTAGGTTGGTTTCTAGTTTGGTTTTCTATATATGACTGAGTAATGCTGTCCAAAGCATGGCATCATTGAATTCATAAACACAGAGATGCTGGCCATTAGTTTGCGATTAATTACAAGACTCTTCCATGTGCCTGTTTTTACGTAAAGTTTGTAAGAAGTGTTTATTTGGAAGTTGTAATTTGCTGCACATTTTCCGTTTCTCTCTCTCTCTCTCTCTCTCTCGCTTGCTAGTATTTGACACAGGTTAAGTAAAACGGTTACTAAGCTAATTTTACTCAATTATTTTCCCTAGTCATGTTCACTGTCTTTGTCCTATTCTTTTCAGCTTTTAAATGTTGGTGTCAGGCTGTTTGGCAATATAGTCTTGATATCCCTTCGCATTCACTTCTGGATGGTGACATCATGTGAGATCAAGTTTTTGTTGTTCGTAGTGTTACATTTTCTTCAGTCCCTTTATTTTTCGTGTGTTTCATATTTATGTCTAAATGACTAAAAACTGCAGGTCATTTCTGAATTCTGTTTTTGAGCTTTTGTTGAGAGTTTGGGCGGCTTCACGGGATCTAAAGGTTTGAAAAGTATTTTTGCTCTATTTCTTATTGTAATATCTCACTATTTTCCATTGTGATTCTGTTTTGTTTATCTCCATTGCCATTTATTTTCTTTTTTCCCTGTATCTATGGCATGCTTTCGTTCTTTTTTTTTTATTTATAAGAGAACCCATTGCATCATTTTATTGACATGTTCTGGTTTTGATTAAACTCTTTTTTGAGTAGGTTCGCATATCTTCTGTAGAAGCATTAGGTCAGATGGTTGGCCTTATTACCCGGACACAATTGAAGGCGGCTTTACCCAGACTTGTCCCCACAATATTGGAATTGTAAGATTGATTTGTCATACATTACTTCTTCATCCTGGCTGTATATGTTTATGATTCTGCAGTATACATATATGTTTTATGTACAAGTCTTTGTTAAATTGTTTCTTTCTGATAGTGTGCTTATATATTTTCAAGGACAAACATGGATACACACATCCTCACTAATTTCACATCCATACACATCAATAAGGGTCATACGTTTTTTCTTTTTCCTGTCAATCAGGTATAAAAGAGATCAAGATGTTGCCTTTTTGGCAACATGCAGTCTTCACAATCTCTTACATGCTTCTTTACTGTCAGAAAGTGGTCCTCCTTTACTTGATTTTGAGGTATGCACACTATATCACGTTCTTTTGTTTTAATGAGTTTTGTCGGTTCTGAAGTTTCAGAATACTGCTTTTGCAAAGGTTGAGCTTGTTTTTTTTTTTTTTTTTTTTTTTTTTTTCTTCCTTGGTTAACCAATTCTACCAATGGAATGAAACACCTAATCTGTTGTAAAGTGAGGACCATGAGTATGGCCTTATCACGGAGGAGGTCGTAGTGTACATCATAGGCTTTAATTACCAAAAGTTGTTTTCTCTTTTGGGCTACTACTAATTTTGTTATGCATGTGCGAGATGAAAAAAATAATCTATTTGGTGCTGGTTTGTTCTCATGATGGTTTGCAGGAGCTCACAGTCATTCTATCAACACTCCTGCCGGTGGTTTGCATCAATAATGACAACAAGGAGCATTCAGATTTCTCAGTTGGACTGAAGGTGTAAAAATGTATTTCTTTATGATTTGTTGAGAGTAGAATCCCAGATCATGAGTTAAGCCTTGCCTTACATTCTACTAATTTTCATTATGAGTACTATTATTTATTGCTATTAATTTTCCATCTGTCAAATTGGTTGAATTTTGAGATATTTCTTTACATCTTGCCTTTATGTGTACTTTATATCTTCTTCCTTGGATTAGCTAGCATGTTTTATCCTGAATAACTTTGACATTTGTAACAAGTAGGATACATTTTCTGTTCTTTTTTCCCAGAGCAACAAAAGTTGCTTCCTGCCTTTTGCTTCATGGACTTTGTCCACATAGTTTTCTGTGGTTTTGTGCTGATGTCGATGGCTAACTGTTTCAGTAGTCAATAATTATGTTACTTCTTTTTCTTGTGGGCAGACATATAATGAAGTTCAACGTTGCTTCCTGACAGTTGGTTTGGTATACCCTGAGGATTTATTTGTGTTCCTTATTAATGTGAGTATCATTTTCTTCCCCAAGTGTTTATTCTTATTGCTAAGTATTCATCTAACATACAAATGAAGTTGGTGTTCTTTTTCTGTATTAGTTTTCAAAGTATAACTAAAATTTTGTGGTCTCTTTTGTTTTGTGCATGTCTGCTACCAGAAATGCAGATTGAAGGAAGAACCTTTGACGTTTGGTGCGCTATGTGTTCTAAAACATCTCTTGCCAAGGTTTCTTTACCTTCTGTTGCTTTGTCAGTGGCCTCTATTTCGATTCTCTTACATGATCTGACATCCTTATGATTTTATTTGGAGGCTATCTGAAGCTTGGCACAATAAACGGCATAATCTTGTTGAAGCTGTACAATTCTTGCTAGATGATCAAGATTTAGGTGTCCGAAAGGTGCTTTCAGAGGTATGTCGTATTAATTGATTGTTGTAAGCCTTGGGTTTTTCTTTTTGCAAGACTTTCAGTAAAACACTTATGTCATTCCTGTCTCCTAATTTCAGATTGCTTTCCTTTGGTGTAGTTGATTGTCGTTATGGCTTCACATTGTTACTTAATTGGTCCGTCTGGGGAGCTGTTTGTGGAATATCTTGTGCGTCATTGTGCTTTAACAGATAAGGATAGTAATGACCTTGAGAGGTCCAAGGATGCATCAGGCAACCCAGATATTCCTTTCCAATACAAGAGATTGGAGGTTTGCATCTGATTCTATTGATTCCAAAACATAAATGCTGCGACTGATCTTTTTAACTGTCACAAAAGAAATTTATAGTTTGATGGTCTTAACATTTATCTAACATTAGCAAGAAAGAAAATGATAAAATCTTGATGAATTATGGCCCTGAAAATCTCTCATGTCAGTTACAGAATAAGGTGGATTTTTTCCTTTAATATTAAAATCATAGCGCTTTCTAAGGGTCAGATTTGTGGAGGAGATTCAAGGTGTTTATAGGAAAGTAATACTGTTGCCTAATATAGCATTTAATACTAGTTTGCTCTTCTTAGGTGAAAATTGGGACACTTTGTCCAGCAGAGTTAAGGGCAATCTGTGAAAAAGGCCTTCTTCTGCTGACTATTACGATCCCAGAAATGGAGGTATGCCAAATTGGCAATTCTGCATTCAGTACATCTGCTGTTATCTGATTGTTTGAGCTTCGGAAGGGGTTTCTGTGTACAATATAAATGGTAATGTTATCTGAAATAAAATAAAAAACTTTTCTATTTTTGTGCAGCATATACTTTGGCCTTTTCTACTGAAGATGATTATTCCCACAGGCTTATACTGGTGCAGTTGCTATGGTAGGACTTCCTCTGCATCCTCATATTATGCCCCTTTTTGCATGGAGGTTATTTTAGATACCCAAAATTCAGCTGTTTTATTTGAATGCAATTTCCTAGTTTGTGGGGGCATAGATCTCATGAATTTTAACACTTTCTGCTGCTACAGGTTTGCAGATGCATCTCAGAATTGTGCAGGCATAGATCTAATAGCAATACTATGCTTGCTGAGTGTAAAGCTCGTGCTGATATACCAAATCCCGAGGTAGATTTCTTGCTATATTGAATTTTAGACTTCTCCTCGTGCACTACAAGACGATTGATCTCAGCAACCCTTGTTTTACTTGTGTTAATAGGAGCTTTTTGTTCGCTTGGTGGTGCTTTTGCATGATCCTTTAGCGAGGGAGCAGCTGGCGAGCCAGATTTTGACAGTAAGCATATCATAATCATATTCCTTTTTAGTGTGTTTCTAGCTTTTGTCTTAAATTAGAAGGATTGGAGGAATTTCATGTTATTGTTTATGCTATTTCTTTTCGAAAAATAAATAAATGATATTGGTAATGCTCTGGTGACCATTCACCTTATATTGGAATAGTCTGTAATTCTTCATATATTGCCTTGCAGGTTCTTTGCTATCTGGCACCTCTCTTTCCAAAAAATATCAACTTGTTTTGGCAAGATGAGGTATATCATCATCATGCAGCTAGAAAAATACGTATTTGAGTTATATTTGGAAGGTTTTATGTTGGAATTTATGTACTGTCATGTTCTCATGAACTTCATTGGGTTAAAAGGTGGTAAATACCCTTGTGACAAAATCTTTTCAGAAAGAGAAGAAAAAGTAGTATCTGATGATTATCCGATTTGTGTTACCCAACTTCTATTGTACCAAGTTCCCTGCTATTTCAGTTTTTTGTTTGTTCTTTCTTTGGGAGGAGAAGAGAGGGGACGGTGGGGGTTGTTAGGTTTCTGTTTTGTTCCTGAGGGACTTTTCTTGTTCATCCTGTTTTTGCAATTTCTTCTATATTAAAATTGTTGTTTCCTGAAAAAGAATTTGGCAAAAGATTTCACAGCTAAGAATTTACCTTTGTTTATGTGTTCTATTCTTTTTACTCAATTACAGTCAAAATTAATGACTAGTAATGCAGTCTAATTAATTTTGTTCTTTGGTAAGCTCTAGATTCCAAAATTAAAGGCATATGTTAGTGACACAGAAGATTTAAGGCAAGATCCTTGTTATCAAGAGACTTGGGACGACATGATAATCAATGTAAGTGCAATTGAACTTTGAAATTCGATGATGTTTCATTTTTCATAAGTATTCTTGATTTTTGGGCAAAAACTCATTGGCAAAGTTTTCAATTTTTTTTTCTAACATGTTTCTGTAACGTCATAGTTTTTTCATCTTCCTTCTTTTCTTTTGGAATGGGAGCAATGGGGTTCATGTTGTAAATTGGTAACATATAGGCTCATCCAGATTTCGTTGACAAAGAAGATGAATTAATCACTTTGATTTGTGTGACAGTTTTTTGCAGAATCTTTGGATGTGATTCAAGATTCTGACTGGGTGATACCCCTTGGAAATGCAATTACGAAACAGTATGGACTTTATACATCTGATGACGAACACTCTGCACTTCTTCATCGGTATTATTCCTTCCCAAGCCAGTGTTGCTTTACTAGATCTTTACTAGATATGAGGAAGCAATGTTATGTTCAGTATTGCTTTATTATGCTCCAAAGAGAGACTATTTTGAATGTGAGCAACGAATTTATGATGCTTGCTGAATATTAGAATGTGCACGGTATCGTTGGGTGTCTTACTTTTGTGGTAGATTGGGGTTTCCACTATTGTATCGATTGAGTTGGGAGATGTTTTTAAAATTTGATTATTATCTTTTCTATTGCAGCTGCTTTGGTGTGTTTCTTCAAAAAGTGAATGACAGGGCCTATGTCCGGGATAAGATAGATTGGGATGTATAAAACAAGCTAACATCACAATTCCAACAAATAGGCTTGGTTTGGCAAAAGCCATGGGGCTGGTATCTTACTATTCATAGTTAATTTTTCTACTCTTTCCATCTTTCCAGCATTTGTTATTCATTCCTTTTGGCCTCCCACATCCAGGTTGCAGCATCCCACTTGGACACAGTCCTGGAAAAGCTAAAAGGCATTCTGGATAATGTTGAGCAAAGCATTTTTCGAAGGTTCTTGCCAGTCTTCTTGAATGCTATATATATACATTGTTAGATTCTCTGTGTGTGTGTCTCTACTCTACCCCAAAAGCTTTCTAGCTTTCTTTCTTTCTTTCTTTTTTTAAAGGATTTGGTACTTCTCATTATGCTGATTACTTTATTCATGATTTTGTGCTTTTCACTTGTTATCCAGAGTATGTTTGTGGATCATTAAGAAATTGCCATCATGGTACATTCAAATTAAACAAAAAGAAATTCGGTGTTGAAAAAAGTAATTATGTGTTTACATTATGAAAGCTTTATGCTGTTCATTAGTACACCGCATACACTGAAACTGCGCAAACTTCCTCCTTTACTGGTGAAATTTCAGACCACCACTTTTAAATTTCTCCTACCCTCAAGAGCAGGCACTGGGATATTGTGATTATGCTTCTGGATTTAATAGTCTGTCAAGCTTCCCTTCAAAATTTTGGGAGGGAGGTGGAGAACATGCAACAAATATCATCTGCAATGGTTTTTTTTCTCTCCCACAACATGTTGTATCTATAATGCAAGTGGAAACTTTAAGGTGGAATTCTCTAAAACATAAAACTAGGTAACAATTTACCTAGCATGAAACAAATGTCTATCAAATAACTTTTAAGATGAGTTGCTTTGATATTTTCAGTAAATGTAGGTACTCATTTAAAAAAATTGCGAGAAATTGTTGACTGTGATGCAGTATACCTTTATTTCTTTGTTATATTATTTATTTATTTATTTATTTTTATCTTTCCGAGTTCCAATTGGCAATTTACTTTTTGTATGGGTGTAAATATATATTTTTATCATATACAGCAAAACAATTTGTTGCTTCATTTATTGCAGATTCTTATCTTTTTTCTCTGATGATTTTAAAACCGAAGACTCTGATGATATACATGCTGCTTTGGCTCTAATGTATGGATATGCTGCAAAATATGCTCCGTCAACAGTAATTGAAGCCAGAATAGATGCACTTGTGGTATGTGTCGGTCTTTTTCTATTCCTCACAATCAAGAAATAATTTTTTTTTTCTCCCTTCTTTGTACTCTGTGAACTTATATCGTGATTCGTTAAAGTGTTAATATTATTCAAAATGTAAAAGTCTAAGAATAAGAGCAGGTGCTCCCCTCTCTGTATGCTCACATAAGCTTAGCCATACTTTCTGGCCCGGGAGGTGGGTGATACAGGTGTTCATTCATACAGATGCACAAATAATACAGGCATTTCCTTGACTAAGAAGAATATCGAGTTGTATTTCTTTCGTATATTGATGTGAGGGTAGACTCACACAGATACTGGAAATGAAGTCATGTGGTCTCGGGCTTGAATTTAGTATAATGCAATTCAGTGTAGACTTACACAATTATACTTGAGTATTAAGTCACAAGGTCTCATATGCTTGCGCACAAATTCCCCGTGCACGTCATGTACATTTACAACAAGAGCACATTTAAAAGAAACTTCGGCAGCCTTTTCTCCCTTTAAAGTGGTAAATACATAAGGTATAAGAATCAATGGCATGGAAAAGAGGAGATTGTATAATATAAGTTAGGAGGTGTGCACCTCATTTTTTGGGGTTTTATTTGAATGAGAGAATTTCTAAAAGGGTTACCAAAATTTCCAAGGGCCTATTGCTTAGATTCTGACCCTATAATGGAATTTAAAAAGGCAATTTATTTGTACGTAATCAAAGATTTATAAATTGATTATATTTTTAATGTCGGGTACTAATAGCTCTCACGGCGTCTCATGGCGCCACCTCCTGCAAAGCAAGCAGCATTAATGCTCTCGATTTACTAGGTTGTTGAGACATTAGAAATTGGGTTGTCATTTTAACTTACTTATTTTTAAAGCCTGCTGTGGGTTGGGACTTATTTTGTTTATCGGTTTAATTATGCTCTTTATATGAAATTTGTTGCTAAAACTTGGCGACTCCTAGTTATAAAACTGTTCATTTCCATGGTTTGGTTTTATAAAAAAGTTTGTTCCTCTTGGGTTGGTTCCATCTGCTCAGCGTAGGTTGTCTCTGAATTGATTTCTTTTTTTTATCACCCCAGGGAATTTTGTTTTCGTTCGTGGTTCCATATAGATTGGGGCCATATGGCGTGGTTGATCTGTTGCACGGTGGTTTGCTTGTATAAATGATTCCAAGGGTGTAGGTCACATACTTTGTCTTTTGGTTAAGTACACCATATTTCGTTGAAGAAAATCTGTGTTAATGTACATGTAGAACCAACTACGTCTTCTGATCAATGCCTAAGCGTACTGACATCCACCTGAGAAAAGCAGGAAAAATATAGACACAAAACCCTCTAAGAGACAACCGGTTCGCATGCAATTTCTTTTTTCAGTCACGTCCAACTTAAACTCTCAAAAGAAACATAGGTGATGGCATATGAGAGATACTTGTAGTAGTAGGTGGGTGATGGTGTATACTGTTTGTTGTAAAAGGCTTTGTGGCAATTAACGGGAGATATTATAATCACAATCATCAAAATAGGATACAATTGCTCTTGCAATAATAGGATGCAGTTGATCGTGGACACATGTTATGTTCGTGCTTATATGGTGTAGATGACTGCATCGTAGACAATGCAAATTCAGAACACGTTGTGTGGTGATATTTCAGGTGGGGCTGTCATTAATGCTGCAGAAATTTTTTTTTTTTTTTTTTTTTTTTTTTTTTTTTTTTTTTTTTTTTTTTTTTTTTTTTTTTTTTTTTTTTTTTTTTTTTTTTTTTTTTTTTTTTTTTTTTTTTTTTTTTTTTTTTTTTTTTTTTTTTTTTTTTTTTTTTTTTTTTTTTTTTTTTTTTTTTTTTTTTTTTTTTTTTTTTTTTTTTTTTTTTTTTTTTTTTTTTTTTTTTTTTTTTTTTTTTTTTTTTTTTTTTTTTTTTTTTTTTTTTTTTTTTTTTTTTTTTTTTTTTTTTTTTTTTTTTTTTTTTTTTTTTTTTTTTTTTTTTTTTTTTTTTTTTTTTTTTTTTTTTTTTTTTTTTTTTTTTTTTTTTTTTTTTTTTTTTTTTTTTTTTTTTTTTTTTTTTTTTTTTTAAAACTTGGACTATATTCCTCAGCCTTCTTGTATATTTTCCTTATCAGCTTATGCAGCAGCATCTATTAGAGTGTGTACTTTTTCTTTATACAGCTTCTGCTTTTGCTTCTAGGTGCGGGTCCTGGTAAAAGTAACATCCTGTTCCTGTACATACACAAAGGCATGTCAAATATGTAGTCGTTTCGAGGGTACTGACTCCATGCTTTGTTGAATATGATTCGACAAGGTTTGGCGGAGGGCTTTGAAAAGGAGATACACAAAGGGCACCTTCCTCCTCCATTCCATGCTTTGTTTAATATGATTCGACAAGGTTTGGTGGCGGGCTTTGAAAAGGAAATATACAAACAAGTATTGCTCGTGCCCGATGCGATTCCATATACAAACAAGTAGAGACAAATATCACAAGTCGGTCAGTCATGATCATGAAAGAGAAATTTATATATAATTATTGCACGCAATCTGTATACACATTCTTTATAATATAAGTTCGTCTATAGATTCATAGAAACCTTGAGCAAGCGAAGCCATATCTTGTTATTGGTTTCTTTAACCGATTCTTTTTTGCATATTTATTTCACCCATGTCAAGGAGTTGCCTTGCCAGAAGAACTTCCACGTGATGGATATCATAATCGTATTGTGATGATATGATTACAAACAAACCAATATATAACAAGAGAAATGCTAACTACAGTCGCTTCTAGAAATGTTAACTACAGTCGCTTCTAGATTCACTCTCTTTGCCCCCTCTTCCTAGATTACATCATCAATTAAGAAAAACGTGGTACCAAAGAATATACATTTTAACTAAGTGCAATTTCGTGAATGTTTGATCAATCAACCATCATCAGCATCGCTTCTGCAAATATGATCTTCCATAGCTATAGTTGCTTCAATGAGGACCATTAATCTGGGATATATATTTGTTTGTCTGACTGACTTTCTTTTATTAATTTATATGAGTTTTAGCTTTAAGAGCATTTAAGTCTATTTAAATGACTTTTTTGCAATTTCTTTTAAAAGTTTTTATAAAAACTAATATTTATGAAATAAAAGAAAATTTAGGCTTTTTCTTCCCCGATCATAAAAAAATCTATGTTTTGAGTTGGAAACTAAGAGGAAAATCGTGAAAAGAATTTCTAATTAAACATGAAAAAGGAATCTTCCTGGTCAATTGCATGGGAAAGGGTTTAGGGTAGAAGTCTAAATAGATTTTCTTCTGTCTCATCACTTGGTGGTCAGTCATGCCACGATGGAGGAAATCTATCCACAATTTTGGCATGTAATAATTCAGCCAACCGACAACTTAGGTTGTTGGGTGGGCTCCTAAATTATTAGCCTTTGAAGTCAGCCTTATGACGTTCAAATTTAATTACGACTTATTGGTCAGGAAGAATAAGCTAATTTCGACTTAGGCCTAATTTAATTACAACACTACTCCATAAATACTGTATGCAAACCTGCATAAGCTTTGTCTATAAATACCGTATAGCCAGTTTTCCAAACTGAATTAGCATTCATTGATCTGTTCTTTCTTTAATTGTCTAGATTAAAAAGGTAAACAGGGTCATGTATTAGATGTTGTTGGATTTTGTTTGGTGAGGATGAATGTTGTTGGATTGTCTAGATTATATCTTACATAAGATTGGACAAAGTAATATGGCCAATCTTGGATTGTTATAAACATCTTACATTATATCGTTTCTATTTTCTAATTGTTGGATAGGATGAGGATGAAACATTTTACATATTGTTTCATTTTTGTAAGGATAACCGTTGAAATAAGATAAAGGAAATAGTTGATTCAAATCTCAAATGAGATCATACGCAACATATTCATGAGTCTCTTGGCTTTTTCAATCATGTAAATCACTAAGTAGGTACATGTTATGGCGGTACCCTCTCACTTCTCACATATTTATGTTTAAATAGTCAAGATTTGTAACATATTTGTGTTGACAATGACTGATCAGGATGGATTTCTCACTTAAGTTGCTTCCAACTACATGGAGGGGTCATTACGAGAAAATGAATTACAAGATGTAACATTTTATTACCTTTTTAATTTTTTTAGCAGTAATTACTTATTATATACAGGACCAACTTTACCATTGTTGTTTATTATGCACCATGCTCATCAATTTTTTATTTTTTATTTTTTTTAAAATGAGAGATTTTTGCATTTTGATCTGACAAGTGTTATATGGATATGGCGATATCTCACGCGGTCACCAATGCGTGATTGGTTTGAATTGAGATAGCAGTACCAAAAGTGAGATTCTTCTGAGTGTGTAGTTTTTAGTGTGCTGCCATACGGGCCCTTGATATGACATTTTACTGATACATCACCCGATAGATTGAAACTTAAGCCACGCCACAAGGGAGGAAATTTAGGGAAATTGGGGGTTTTACTTTTGGCTCACCTAATTTATTCACTAAAATAAGGATATTAATGAATAAATTAGCTGAGGCAAAGTAAAACTGCCAATTTCCCGGAAATCTATCCATCCACTATCTATCCACACAATGATGGCATGTAAATAATTCAGCCAACTGACAACTTTAATTACGACTATTGATCAGAAAAAAGAAGAAGCTAATATCGACTTGGGCCTAATTTAATAGCAACAGTAATGTAGGTTTAGATTCAGATCTCACATTTGTCTATATGTCTTGTTGTAGCTCATCCTAGCTAGTTTTTCAAACTGATTGAGCATGATTGATCTCTTCTTTCTTTAATTGTCTAGATTGAGCAGAGAGAGAGAGATAGAAAGATGGCAGAAGTTGTTACTTTCGGTGTCCAGGAAATAGTGAAGAAAGTGGCTTCACTTGCCTCTGAAGAAATCAGTCTTGTATGGGGATTTCAAGGAGAGTTGACAAAGCTGCGTGAATCATTGTTGCTGACTGAAGCCATGTTAAGAGATGCCGGGCAATCAAAAGAAGTTCGGCCGGAAGCCGTGCAAATTTGGGTGAACAAGCTTGAAGACATAGCTCATGAGGCCGATGATGTGCTGGATGAATGCGGATATGAACTTCTCCGCCGTCAGGTGGAAGTGCGAAACCAAATGAAGAAAAAAGTGCTCAACTTCCTTTCACTCCACTACAATCCCATTTTATTTCGTCTCAAAATGGCACATAAGATTGAGAACATCAACTCTGCTTTGGAGAATTTGAATAAGAAGGCAGCTAGCATTGGGCTTGTCAATAAGAAATTCTCAGATGCAACCTCCTCTCGTGAGATTGCAGTTGACAGGGAAACTGTCTCCATCTTTAAACGAGATGAAAAGAACATTGTTGGAAGGGAGAAGATTGTGTCAGAGATAGTTACAACCTTGATCAACTCAAGCAATACTCAAGAGAATGAAAATCTACCCGTGATGGCCATTGTGGGAATGGCCGGCTTGGGAAAAACAACTTTGGCCAAATGTGTATATCATGAAGATGAGATAGGGCAGACGCTTCACTGAAAAAATATGGATATGTGTATCTATTCCTTTTGAGGTCAAGTCAATTTTAAGCAAGATCTTGGAACATCTTAAACCAGAAAAGGCTAGGATGCAAGACACGGATGCAATAATAAAAAATCTTCAAGAAGATCTGAAAGGGAAAAGATATTTGCTCGTACTGGATGATGTGTGGAACGAAGATTCTGAAAAATGGAATGACTTGATGAGTTGTTTGTTAAGTGTTAAAGATACCCAAGGAAGCAACATTCTTGTCACTACCCGGAGTGCGAGGGTTGCATCAATTTCACAGACACTTTCTAGGTATGATTTGCAAAAATTATCAGATGATCAATGTTGGCTTATTTTGAAGGATAGAGCATTTCCAAATGAGAGTGATCCTACTTTAAATGAAGATGAAGAGAGAATTGGAAGGGACATCGCCAAAAAGTGTGGAGGTATTCCATTAGTTGCAAAGGTATGTTTGTCCAATTGGTGAATTTTTTTGCTTGCTTTCTACTTAATAAAGCTCTAACCCACACTGGACATCGATAATTTTGTTTGCCATATTAATTTTTGACCTTGAAAAATGGCAGATACCATTTTATTTTCTATTTGTTCTCGACATACTATAAATTTATTTGTTAATTTTCTTGAGGGTGGATTGTTTTTCTTATAAGAGATATGAGAAGGGGGTTTTGAATACAGTAACAGAGTAAATAAAATGCTTAAAGCATATTGTTATTTTAGTTATTTTGTGCTATTATCATTTACTTGTGATTCAAACTCATATACCAATAGGTTTTGGGAAGTATGATGCAGTTCAAAGAAATTGATGGTTGGCGGGTAATTCAAGAAAGTACAATATGGGATTTACCTGAAGAAGAAAAAAGAATCTCCTCAGTTTTGAAGTTGAGTTTTGATGAATTGACATCACCAACTTTGAAACAATGTTTTGTCTATTGCTCAATGTTCACCAAAGATTTTGAAATTGAAAAGGATGACTTGATTCAACTTTGGATGGCTCAAGGATTGCTTCACCCTTCTCCCAACAATAGTGATCTAGAGATGGAGGATGTGGGAAATCAATATTTCAATATTCTGTTGGAGAACTCTTTTTTTCAAGATGTTAGAATGGATTACTATTATGGTACTATTATTGCCACATGCAAGATACACGATCTTGTGCATGATCTTGCAGAAGATGTATCAAAATCAAAGACCAAGGGCTCCAATGAGATTCGACATGTGCCGCAGAATTCAACCATAGATCTACAAGAAATTCCAAAAGGAATTGTTCATAAAGTGCGCTCAATGTTTTTGAAATGTGAAGTTCTTGATAACATCTTACCAAGATTTAAAGGTTTGCGTGTCTTAAAATTAGAGGAGTCTGATATTTGATGAGTTGCCAAATTCAATTGGAAAGCTGAAACACTTGAGGTATCTAGATATTTCAGCAACAAATGTCAAAAAGCTCCCCCAATCTATTGGCAAGCTTTATAACCTACAGACGTTAAGAATGCATGAACTCGAACTTGAAGAGTTTCCCAAGGAACTGCAAAATTTGATCAACTTGAGACATATTTCATTTTGAGGATGGCATGGAGATGAAGATATCCAGTTGGCATGGGGCGGTTGAAAAATCTGCGATCATTATCCTTTTTCATTGTGGGTAAGGAGGGAGGTCGTGGAATAAAGGAGCTGGGTGGCTTAAAGCATTTGAAAGGCGAATTATCTATTTCTGATCTGAAGCATGTGAGAGATGGAGAAGAAGCAAAGGAGGCAAAGTTGGCGGAGAAGACAAACATACGTAGACTAGAGTTGGAATGGTCGCAGACGAAGACAGGTCAAGGGTCATCAATAATGACAGGGATGTACTAGAAGGCCTTAAACCGCACTCTGCATTGGAAAGTTTAGAGATTCGCAACTTTAGTGGTGAGACATTTCCACCCTGGATGATGTGTGGAGATTTGTTTTCTTCATTGAAAAGATTAACTGTTGAAAATGCAAAGAACCTAACTGAATGGACGGAAGAAGCTGCAGTATTTCCACAACAGAAAGAAGAGTGGTGTTTTCTCGCCTTGAGGAGTTGTTGTTGAGGAATTGTGATCAATTGAGAAGTGCTCCCACAGATCATTTTCCATGTTTGCAGAAGTTGGAGATAGATTCCATGAATAGCGGCATGCCGATAGCTAATATTATAAGCACTCAACTGACAACTCTTACTCGTCTCACAATAAAGAAGATAAGGGGACTTGTTTCTCTGCCGGAAGGGATGTTAAAAAACAACAAGAATCTTGCATATTTGGAGATAAGAGATTGTCCTGAGTTCATTTGTATTGCTGCCGATGTATATGGTTGTTGCGCATCCCTTGAGTCACTGCGTATTTATTCCTGTCCTAATCTTAGGTCTTTGCCTCATGGGCTAGAACACTGCACCTTTCTTAAGGAGTTGACTATAGCTCATTGTGAAAGTTTGGAGTGCATCCCAGTTACAAACGGCCTCCCATCCCTCTGCGAATTATATATTTCAAATTGTGATGAATTATCAAGCCTACCGAGTGGGTTACAACATTGTACCTCTCTTGAGCACTTGTCTATTTACTCTTGCCGGAATCTCGAAGCTATTCCAATCACACACGGCCTCCCATCCCTCCGCAATTAGAGATTTCAAGTTGTGATGAATTATCAAGCCTACCGAGTGGATTACAACATTGTACCTCTCTTGAGCACTTGTTTATTACTCTTGCCGGAATCTCGAAGGTATTCCAATCACACATAGCCTCCCATCCCTCCGCCAATTAAAGATTTCATTTTGTGCTGAATTATCAAGCCTACCAAATGGGTTACAACATTGTACCTCTCTTGAGTACTTGTCAATAATGAATTGCGGGAATCTCGAAACTATTCCAAGTTTAGACAACCTCACACAACTCCGTGGGTTGGAGATATGTGGCAGTGGTGGATTAAAAAGTTTACCCCCCAATGTGTTTGCAGCATCCCTCACCCGCTTAAAGCAATTGGAAATTGGTTGGTTCTGGGAGGAGCTCGATTCCTTCCCTACTTTTCAGGTTATTCCACAACTTAAAATATTAACCTTGATGGGTTGGCCGAAGCTGAAGTCTCTGCCTGAACAAGTTCAACACTTCACTTCTCTAACTTCTTTGATAATAAAGTCCTTCGACGGCATGGAAGCTCTTCCAGAGTGGTTGGGAAATCTTGCATCTCTTGAGAGCCTAACGATAGGGCAGTGCAAGAATCTGATGTATCTACCTACACTTGAAGCTATGAAATGTCTAACCAAATTACAAGACATATGGTTTTTCAATTGTCCTCTTCTGGAAAAGAGATGCAATAAAGACAGCGGCCCAGAATGGCCCAAGATTTCGCATATTCCACACATCCATTGTAAGTTTTTCAATTTTCTTATTTGTTTTCTTTGGTTCTGGAAATCAATTATTTTATTCTCTTTACCTTTTTTTATATATATAAAATCTTCTTTTGGTGAATTGGGGGCTAAGCCCGAACACAACTAAACAAAATTACATACGGGACTGGGCCTACTAGAGAAGCCCTATCTAAATTAACTTGATTGTTTTTTGTTTTGTACATTTTTAAATATTTGGTTTACCTTCCCTTTGACTTGTGTAATCATGTAAACCGCTAAGAAAAAATATTTGTGCGATTCGTTCTCATTTATCATTAATTAGGTTGTTATCTTCTATTCGCAATTTAGTTTAATCAGTCAATTACTTCAAATAAAGATATGATTTCTAATCACTTGGAAGTTGAAAACCAAAACAAATTAAACTCTGAGTTTTCAAGTTTCAGTTCAGGGTACCAAATGACGTGTGTAAGTTTGTAACATATTTATGTTTAAATCATCTGTACAAAGAATATTAACTCTGTTTGCCAATGCCTGTCATTTTTTCTTTCCACAAGCAGCATTGACCGAAGTTGTTTTTTATCAGTTCCTTGAGAGGCAGGTGTTGATCATGGGGTGCAGATTGAAGAAGCTATGTTTCTGGAAAATTAATTTCATTGAAATTGTAAGGTACAGCAATTCCCAATTCTCAGTGCATTATAAAAATAAAAAATAAAAAATAATCTTGTTTTATAACTCCACATATAAATCCAAGTTTCCGGCGAGACTGGAAGCTTTCTTTTGAACAGGATACAGTTTGCCATATATCCATGAGAAGATTTACAAGTTGTCACCTTTTGTTCTCAGCCAGTAATTAGCACAAACTTTACATGTGTGACATTCATTGTTTGGCAGGCAGCAAGGTATGGAATTCTGGTTGCGGGTCCTGGTAAAGTAACATCCTGTTCCTGTACATACACAAAGGCATGCCAAATATGTCGTCATTTCGAGGGTATTGTGACTCTATAATAAAATAATTTAATTGCTTCTACCGGCCGAGTAGGAGCCAAATGTTTCTTAATATATCAGATTCACAATTTGACTCTGAAACTTACAGGGCACCTTCCTCCTCCATGCTTTGTTTAATATGATTCGACAAGGTTTGGTTGCGGGCTTTGAAAAGGAAATATAGAAACAAGTATTGCTCGTGACCGATGTGATTCCATACAAAACAGTAGAGACAAAGTCAGTCATAATCATGAAAGAGAAATCTATACATAATTACTGCACGCCATCTGTATGCACACATTCTTTATAATATAAGTTCGTCTATAGATTCATAGAAACCTTGAGGAAGCGAAGCGATATCTCGTTATTGGTTTCTTCAACCCTTTTTTTTGCATGTTTATTTCACCCGTGTCAAGGAGGTGCCTTGCCAGAAGAACTTCCACGCGATGGATATCATAATCATCCTGTGATGAAATGATTACAAACCAAACCAATATATAACAAGAGAAATGCTAGCTACAACGCCTATAGATTCACTCCCTTTGCTGCATGCCAAGTGGTTATACAATTTTAAAAACATTGAAAACCAACAAAAGTCCTTCTTTTCCCCGTTTTACCCTCTCACATTGTTAATGCATTAATTGTCTCACTTACTTCTGCCCTTGCATTTCTCTTCAGCGTTGTTCTCATTTTTCTTTCTCATATCATCTTCCAAAAGTGATTCTTTTGCCAGACAAATAATAAAACGGAGCTTTTTAGTAACATTGTTTGCACTTGATTTTTTTTTTTCATAAAGAAAAAGATCTATATTTGTCGAGTTTTTATCAAAAGTAGCTAAATCATTCATCTTTTCCTTCCAATTATCTTAAAACTTGTTCTTGTCAAGTCTTATTTGCATGATTTTGGCCCCCACTTTCTAGATTACATCATCGATTAAGAAAAGCGTGGTAGCAAAGAATATACATTTTAATTAAGTGCAATTTCGTGAATGTTTGATCAATCAACCATCATCAGCATCGCTTCCACCAACACGAGCTTCCATAGCTATAGTTGCTTCTATGAGGACCAAGAATTTGGCTGACTGACTTTCTTTTATTAATTTATATGAGTTTTAGTTTAAAGGGCATTTAAGTCTATTTAAGTGACTTTTTTGCTTTTTTTTTTTAAAGTTTCTAGAAAAACTAACATTTATGAAAATGGAGGAAAATTGAGACTTTTTCTCCCCGTGCATAAAAAAAAAAATCTTTGTTTTGAGTTGGAAACTAAGAGGAAAATAGTGAAAGAATTTCTAATTAAATATGAAAAGGAATCTTCCTGGTATAGGGTGAAAGTCTAAATAGATTTTTTTCGGCCTCATCCCTTGGTAGTCAGTCTTGCCACGACGGAGGAAATCTATCCACAATTTTGGCATGTAATAATAATTCAGCCAACCGACAACTTAGTTTGTTGGGTGGGCTCCTAAATTATTAGACTTCGAAGTCAGCCATATGACGTTCAAATTTAATTACGACTTATTGGTCAGGAAGAATAAGCTAATTGAGATTCAGATCTTTGTTGTAGCTAGTTTTCCAAACTGACTGAGCATTAATTGATCTGTTCTTTCGTCTTGTTTGAGCAGTGGGGAGAAGAGATAGAAAGATGGCAGAAGTTGTTACTTTTGGTGTCCAGGAAACACTGAGGAAAGTGGCTTCACTTGCCGCTCAAGACTTGAGTCTTCTGTGGGGCTTCGAAGGAGAGGTCACAAAGCTGCGTGATTCGCTGTCCATGGCTCAAGCTGTGTTGCGAGATGCCGAACAATCTAAAGGAAGGACCGAGGCGGTGGGCATGTGGGTGGAGAAGCTTGAAGAAATAGCTCATGAGGCTGATGATGTGCTGGATGAATACAGATATGAACTTCTCCGGCGTAAGGTAGAAGTGCAAAAGCAAATGAAGAAGAACTTGAGCAACTTCTTTTCACTCCACAATCCAGTTGCATTTCGCCTAAAAATGGCACATAAGATTAAGAAGGTGAACGCTGCTTTGGAAAATTTGAATAACAAGGCAGCTGGCATTGGGCTTGTTGCTAGGTCATCGAGATTCGGACCTGAAACTTCTCATAGAGGAGTAGCACTACTTGACAGGGAAACCGTCTCCAGCTTTGCTCAAGATGAAAAGTACATCGTTGGAAGGGAGGAGGTTGTGTCACACATAGTTACAACCTTGACCAACTCAAGCAATTACCAAGAGAACTATCTCTCGGTGATGCCCATTGTGGGAATGGGAGGGTTGGGGAAAACAACTTTGGCTAAATCTATATATCATCATCGGGAGATCAGTAGGCACTTCGACAAAAAAATATGGATATGTGTATCCACCCCTTTTAAAGTCAAGAAGATTTTAAGCGGGATCTTGGAAAAACTTAAACCTGAAAAAGCTGGGATACGAAGCAAGTCAACAATATGTGAAAACCTCCAAGAAGATTTGAAAGGGAAACGGTATCTTCTGGTGCTTGATGATGTTTGGAATGATGATCCTCAGAAATGGGATAATTTGATCAGTTGTCTGTTAAGTGTTAAAGATACTCAAGGAAGCACAATCATTGTCACTACCCGCAGTGTGACTGTTGCATCAATCGTCCAAACACTTCCTCGGTGTGATTTGGAAAAACTATCAGACCAGCAATGTTGGCTCATTTTGAAGGACAGAGCATTTCCTGATGGGAGTGCTCCTTTAGATTTAGATGAAGCTCAAGAGAGAATTGGAAGGGACATCGCCAAAAAGTGTGCAGGTGTACCATTAGTGGCAAAGGTATGTTTATTCAATTTATTATATATATTTTTTTGCGAAGCTGTCAATTTGTCGTGTTCATTTCTTGACAACTTACAGAAGTGGCAACAATAGAAACTGACAATAAGAAAATAAGCATAAGTATGCAAACTAACATATATTACACGATTAGCTTGCTTAGTAGAGGTGTTCCAATCAGACCTAGCAAAGTTCTAGGTTTCTGCAGACTAGCTGTATAAACTGACGCCGCTGTCCTAGCTAATAGCTATATATATATATATATATATATATATATATGCTGCTGACAAGTCCCAACAATAATCTCCCCCCGTTAGCATCTCTCATCCATAGGTGCAAGGCAGTCTTTGCCTCCTTTGAGCAGTTTGTGTAAACAAATTTAAGGAATTCACACACACACACTTGAACACTTACATGAAGAAGGCATCAGGAATCTCTTGCTCACAGAATCTTCATTGTATTGTACTATAGTCATGTTCAATTAATATGCTGATTGTATATTGTGCTTATTTTTCTTTTACCCTATTGTTATTTAATTGTGATTCAAACTCATGTACCAATAGGTTTTGGGAAGTATGATGCGCTCCAAAAAAAGTGATGGATGGAAGTCAATTCAGAAAAGTACAATATGGGATTTGCAAGAAGAAGAACAAAGAATATTGTCGGTTTTGAAGTTGAGTTTTGATGAACTTAAATCAGCATCTTTGAAGCAATGTTTTGCATATTGCTCAATGTTCATCAAAGATTTTACAATTGAAAAGGATGACTTGATCCAACTTTGGATGGCTCAGGGGTTGCTTCACCTTTCTCCCACAAGCAGTAATCGAGAGATGGAGGACATAGGAAATGAATATTTTAATATTCTATTGCAGAACTCGTTCTTTCAAGATGTTGCAAAGGATGGCTATAATGTGATTACCCATTGCAAAATGCACGATCTTGTGCATGATCTCGCAGAACATGTATCAAAGAGCATGGGACCCAACGGAATTCGACATATGTCTCAAATTTCTACCTCACTACTACAAGAAATTCCAAAAAGAAGTGTTCATAAATTGCGCTCAGTCTTTTCGAACGGTGAAGATCTTGGTAACATCTTACCAAGCTTGAAAGGTTTACGTATCTTAAATTTAAAGAAAGCTGATATTGATGAGTTACCAATTTCAATTGGGAAGTTGAAACACTTGAGGTACCTAGATATTTCAAAAACAAAGATCAAACTACTCCCCCAATCTATTGGCAAGCTTTACAATCTACAGACACTAAGAATGGATGATCTCAATCTTGAAGAGTTTCCAAAAGAACTGCAAAATTTGATGAACCTGAGGCATGTTTATTTTGATAAGGATCCTATGAAATTTCCAGTTGATATGGGGCGGTTGAGTAATCTCCGATCATTATCTTTTTTCATTGTGGGTAAGGAGAGAGGTCGTGGAATAGAGGAGTTGGCTGGCTTAAAGCATTTGAAAGGCGAATTATCTATTTATGATTTGCAACATGTGACAGATGGGGAAGAAGCAAAGAAAGCAAAGTTAGCGGAGAAGACAAACATACGCAAACTAAGGTTTGAATGGCAGGGAAACAGGTCAAGCGCCATCAACATTGACAGGGATGTACTAGAAGACCTTAAACCGCCCTCTGAATTGGAACTGTTAGAGATTTGCAAGTTTAGCGGGGATAAATTTCCATCATGGATGATGAGTGGTTATTTGTTTGATGCATTGAAAAGATTAACAATTGATAAAGCAAGGTACCTAATTGAATGGACGGAAATTGCAGCATGGCCAACAGAAGGAACAATACTGTTGTTTCCTCGGCTTGAGGAGCTGTTGTTGAGGAATTGCGATCAATTGACAAGTGCTCCCACTCGTTTTCCATGTCTCCAAAAGTTGGAGATAGAGTCCATGGATAGCGGCATGCCAATATCTAATATAAGCACCCATCTGACCACTCTTACTTGTCTCATAATAAAGAAGATAAGGAGACTTACTCATCTGCCGGAAGGGATGTTAAAAAGCAACAAGAATCTTTCATATTTGGAGATAAAGGATTGTCCAGAGTTAACTTGTATTGTTGACGATGTATTCGGATGTTGTGCATCTCTGGAGGAACTGCGTATTTCCAAGTGTCCTAATCTTAGGACTTTGCCTGATGGCCTACACACTCTACTCTCTCTTAGAAAGTTGATTATTGAGAACTGCAAAAGTCTGGAGTGCATTCCCGTTACATACGGCCTCACATCTCTTTGTGAATTTTCCGTTTGGTTCTGTCCTCAACTACCCAGTCTACCTGAGGGGCTAGAATACTGCAACTCTCTTCAAATGTTGACGATTAGAAAATGCTCCAAAATAAGCTCCATTCCAATTACACAGGGCCTCCCATTCCTTCGCGAAATAAAGATTTCATGGTGTACACAATTATCAAGCCTACCGAGTGGGTTAGAATATTGTACCTCTCTTCAGAAGTTGACAATTGAATATTGTACCAGTGTAGAGTTTGTTCAAACTTTACATGGCTTTACATCCCTCCGTCAATTGAGCTTGTACAGAATTTCTGGGAAAATTCTATTATCTGCGCTTGAATCATGTACCTCTCTTGAGATATTGTCGATAAGCTATTGCCCGAATCTCGAAACTATTCCAAGTTTAGACAGCCTCACACACCTCCGTAAGTTGGCGATATACGAGTGTGATGTATTAAAAAGTGTACCTAGTGCGTTAGCATCCTCACACTACAGCCTCACTCGCTTGATAAAATTGGAAGTTGGCGGGTTCTGGAAGGAGCTTGATTCATTTCCTGCTTTTCACGTTATCCCACAACTTGAAGAATTAACCTTGTACGGTTGGCCAAAGCTGAACTCTCTTCCTGAACAAGTTCAACACTTCACTTCCCTGACATATTTGGAAATATACTCCTTTGACGGAATGGAGGCTCTTCCAGAGTGGTTGAGAAACCTTACATCTCTTGAGTGCCTATTTATATCCATGTCCAAGAATCTGATGTATCTACCTACAATTGAAGCTATGCAGTGCCTCACCAAATTACAGCACATACACATTTACCATTGTCCTCTTCTAAAAGAAAGATGCATCAAGGACATCGGTCCAGAATGGCACAAGATTTCACACATTTCAACAATCCGTGGTAGGTTTTTATTTCCCTTTTTGGTTCCTAAATCAACTATGCATGCATAATGTATTCTATTTTCTTTTCTTTTATCTTGTATTCAAAGGTTTCAGGATACCATGTATGCGTACGTTTGTAACGTATTTATATTTAAATTTCTGCAGTTGACCGTGTAAAATGGTCCTGAAATATTCAAGGTTTGTCAATCTGGATGGAACCCAAAACTCAAATTCAATAATCTTCCAAAGTATCCATAAAAATGTTCAACTCAAGTCCATTCACTCTTCTAAAGGTACCATTTTCTTTCTAAATCATCTCTGAAAAAAATAAAATATTGTTTGTCCCTGTCATTATTTCTTTCCTTCGGCATTGACCAAAGTTGTTTTTTATTAGTTTTTATTGAGAGACAGGCGTTAGTGAGGCAGATTGATGCTATGTTTCTGCAAAATTATTTTCATTCTAATTATGAGGTACAAACAATTCCTAATGCCCAATGCATTATTATACTTATACTCTTCGCCAGCCTCTGTTTCCTCAGCATGTTGCTTATGCAGGGGCATCTATTATTATTATGTTGGCATAATTTGAAGGAGCTTTTCACTCTCAACTGGGGGAAAACAGAGGCCAGGTACTTGAGTTCCCTTCCTCCCACATGGTTATTTGCTTAGGTAATGCACAGATGATATCAAGTGACAGCAGTTCATGAGAATTACTTGTTTTTGTTTTCTATTCAAATTATTATTTATTTCTAAATCCTCTCTCTAACAGCGTGCTAGGATGTTGGTTGCTCTAGTGTTGTTGTGAAGGTTGGGGAAGGCACTCCAATTGCTACAGGTATACATATTTTATACTAATATAGGCATCAAAATCTACTACTTGAAGGGTTATAGGCATCAAAAATTTCCAAATTACTTTTGCTAAGGTTTCATTCTTTTAATGGATTCATCTTTTTTCTTAGGACTATCTTGACTGTTACTTGGGGTTCTTTGCAATTATCGTCATTGGACTAAACTTTGAAGGCTAAAACAAAAGCGGAAAAGGGCAAGCAGGTTCATGTTGATGTAGTTTGGTGCATCTCAATATAAGTTGGTTAAGAACCATCTTCATGTTCACTAGTAAAATAACTTGAAATTTATGTTCTTGAACATTCTTAGCTAAGTTTCAAGCGTTTTCGATTATGGTTCGGTTTATTTTTCATATTATTACCCCATCTTCATTCAAATTGTGACAACTGAAATCGGGTCATGACTCATGAGCACGGTCTGGATTCTGGTCAGCAAGTGAATAAAGCGCAGTCTCAAATTCTCAGTGGGAACCATATTTCGGCACGGAGACATTCAATCAATTGTGGCAGTTTTTCAAGCTCAACCCTTTTCAATTATTTTGGTTTGGAAATCATTGCAAGCTTAGAAGATGCTACGAGGAAAGGTATGCATAGACCTTAGCTTGTTTCGTGTTGCTTTCTTTTTCAAGATACCACTAAAGTTGCACTCGTTGTTTGGAAACAGGCTCATTAATGTTGCTTTTTCATTGTCTTTCCAATTTGTACCTTCAGGTTTTTTGGGAGATTTTAGTTGTATGGGACAATTCTTTGTCAAGAATCCGTTCAAGCAAAACTTTCTCCCTAGGTTTTGTGGCCCTGCTCATATCACATGGGGAATGATTATTGAGTCATTATATGGGGAACAATTATTGATCAAATGGTTAATTAATTTGATCCATTGATTAAGATAGGGTCTCATTTAAGGATCTAAGGGCCTTATTATAGAATTCTTGAACAATTATCATGGTAGGCCTTTTTGGAGTGCGATAGTCTCAATTTAGAATGGATTCTAATTTTGAGTGTAATTGGAGTTTTCTGTTGAGAACTAAGATCAGGCCCTTTTACGATTAGATTGGTTTTGTTGGGCATTTGGGCCTCAATGCCTTAAGCCTGAAGTGTAAGAAATATTGATCAATAAAAAAGAGCATACACATAGAGGCCCTATTCTCTAACAAAGTAGAGAGCGGGCTTTTCTAATTCTCAATATCTAAGGGTCCGTTTAGTTGAAAGTTTAGAAGTTTGGGGTGGAACCTCAACTTCCTTCATAATATCAGAGTAGGTTGTCCACGTGTGAAAGCCTAATGACTACACGTGCTCCATGTCTACCCAAAATGTGTTGTCTACGTGTTAGGCTTGAAAATGCGCTACACATACGGAGGCGTGTGAGAATATAAAAATAAAAAATCTCACATTGAAAAGTTAGAAAACCATACAAGGGCTTATAAGGAGTTGAGTTACCTTCTCATGGCCAATTAGTTTTGAGATAGAACCCCAACTTCCTTCGTGGTATCAGAACTTTCATCTGGCTGGGCCTTACTAATCCTTTTCTTGATTCTTCATGCGGTAGTCAACAGTTTAGATTGCAACTTATGGTCACATTGGTCATGACTCAGGACTTGTTGGCCAACCTACTAGGAGAAGATATAGCTTCACTTTTCATTTTTATAATTATGCATCTGATCGTCGCCATATTTGACTTTTGAGCCATTGATTTTCTAATTAAAATTACTTTTAATTTCTTCTGTTGGCTGGGTAGGAGCCAAATGGGTGTCCTATTGAACCTGAAACTTTAGTATTGTTAGTACTGTACCGATGGCTAGGTAAGTGGCATGGCTAATTTTGGATTTTTCAGATTTTATTAAATATTAAAATTTTATTCTATTATATATATGTTTTGGATGGAATTTTTTTTCGGGATTTTGGATGAGACATGGTTCATATTCTAATTATGAATCGAAAATTAAAGCTGAAGAAATTTCACACATTCATTATTTATGTTATTAATTTATTGTACTACTAGACCCATTTTCACTGTTTTTATTTTCTGAATTTATTTTTCAATTAAGCTATCAGACACATATTTTCGAATCCTGAAAATGAAAATTCGTTTTCTTAGGTTTATTTTCTGAAAACATTCTGCGAAAACATTATAAAAAAGGAAAGATGCTTTTGCTTTCCGCTAACCTAAAAGAATCAACAGCTTTTGCTTTTGCATGCATGATCAGTTGTACACCAACAAGACAATCCTTTTGCTTTGCGCATGCAACGACACAACTTTGCCTTGTCCTTATCTTTCACAATTATTTTCAATATAGACAATATAATTTTTAGGGAGATTTTGGAAAAACACAAAGGTGAGAGAAATTTTGTAAAAGAAGCCAAAATTTACAAAATTGCCCTTATTTATTTTTGAATTTCCTAAGGAATCCTTTACATTTTCATGTCTTTGATTTGAAAGTTGAGAGGTTTTTCTGTTTTTTTTTTAAAGCTTTGGCTTTTTCCAAAAGTGAAAATTTTCTTTTGGCTAAAACCAAAATTTACTTAATTTTTAATATACGAAATTCTGGTATTAATCACTTCAAATGACTCTTTTTTGGTCGGGGACACGAATGACTTGCATCATGTATAGGTTTTTTTTTGCCAAACGATGAATGGTTTCTAACCATACACATCACTCACTATATACATATACATATATATATATATATGATAAACTACATAATATAAAGTAATTTTCAAGTTCATACTCATCTTTAGAGACATTTACAAGTATATATTCAAACTTTTGGAAAACCTATAAATTATCCCCTTTGTTAGACAAATTATTAGTCAATTTATTAAATTCTTAAGTGTCAAAGATGAGACTTATTTTTTAATGATATGGACAAAAAATTAATAAAAAAAGACCGTTTATTGTTTAAATTAAAATGAATTAAAAAAAGTAAAACCCCAGGCTCCCAACACCCACCACCAGCACATCCCATCCCCGGCCCAACCTCCCTCAACCCACCCTCTACACCACCGCACCACCCATCCTCTGCCTCCTCGACACTGTTATTGCATTTATCAAACCTCATTTCGTTTTATTTGTTTGTTATTTCTTCAAATTCATTTATTAAAGTTTGTTAAAGTTTATTAAACTCCAAGTTCTTTTTCTTCGTGTCCCTCTAACTCTTCAAAATCTCCAAAAGACATCTCACAAACAACCCCAAAACCTGTACCGACTCCGAATGCACCACAAGGTCATAGATCTCGTCGGGATCGGGATCCGACGACTCAAAATCGGCGTGGCAAGGTCATCAGTCCCTTCAGCCACATAAAGCTCCTCCTTTGATCGAGCGAAGCCTAAATTGGGCCTTTTTGGTGTTCTGCAACCTTACGGTTTGAATTCAAATTCGAATTTGATCAAGAAATGGACCAAGTACAAATTAGGTTTTTAAATTGATTTGAGTTTGGGTAGGTTATGGCGACTGGCCTTTTCTTTTTTCTTTTTTTTTTCTTTTTTTTTAAGTAATCAACAAAATAGACGAACATGGTGCTTCAAAAAGCACTAAAAATTACAACCATTAATTGTGTGGTCAAATGATATTGGATTCAAATGATTTTTAGGAGATGATCTTTGTAAGAATATTCAAAAAATAGACGGTTCTGATTTTGAAATACAATGTGGAGTATGCCCACAAAAGTGTCTCTCAAATATTTAAGAGATTTCTCAACTGAAGCCTGTCTATATAAGTATGGAAAATACTTGAGTGATAACATTTCTTTTTAAGGAAGAATGAGTGATAATATTATTGTGTATTACTTCTTCAATAAAGAGGTGATTCTTATATCCTTTCTAAGCATCATTACAATCATGACAAATTTTATAAATGTTGTTAAACTTTAGCCAAAATCTACTGCATGAAGGGGTATAGCCATCAAAATTTTCCAAATTACTTTTGCTAAGGTTTCATTTTTTTTCATGGATTCTTTCTAATTCGTGGCTAAATTTTGGGTGTTTTTGTCCCAAAAATAACAGAGTAGGACGGGTGAATATGAGCACTGATGGGTTTACATTTTCCAGTAAATTCTTAGGACTATCTTGTTACTTGGAGTTCTTTGCAATAATCTTCATTGGACAAAAATTTGAAGGCTAAAACAAAGGCGAAAAGGCGCAAGCAGGTTTTTGACTATAAAAAAAAAAAAGGCAAACAGGGTCATGTAGTAGATGTTGTTGGATTTTGTTTGGTGAGGATGAATGTT